GACTCCCTCAATACTTGACACAAGTTCTAAAATTGACACTCTATCTGTATTTTGAATATAAAATGGTAATTAAGATGTATTTAGCTTACGTCCAAATATCAACAAAATTTTGTTTTCAGCTTTTTCACATGTTAGAAATCAAATGAAACCAAGAACACTCCTCCATATAAATTTTGTAAATATTAATATGTATACTAGTCAACATATGTCAAAATAGCATAATTAAAGCATTACTATGTATTTATATGAATCATTGACAGTGTATGGTAAATTATAAAATTGGATTTTAAAATACAGGATCGAGATCACACGATTTTGACCCCTGTGAATGATAGTCAAAATACATGTAACATCTCCACATACTTACATGTTCAGTTCAATGGAATAATATGAACAAGTCATGTACATTTTTACTCAATAAGATTGAAACAACAATGTTTGTTTCTTTTTTCGTTATTGTAAAACTTTTTATAATTGTCGTTCCCAGTAGCTGCCCCAAAAGCTGAATAACTGCTAATTCTGATCCAATTCTGAATCTGTTGTCTCTTGAATGTTGCCTATATATCTTGCACTCATCAAATAAAGGTCAAAACTATGCACACATTCTGTCATACGGCCTCAGTTCTAATAGGTATGTTGCTAAACTGGGATATTCTGAACAAAATAGATTGATGACGTCACACTTTATGCAAATTAGCTAATTTGCATAATAGAACATTGTAATAGTACAGGAAATTTAATAAGGTCTAATTCGATACCAATATCATTTCTATAGACCAAATAATGACAAAGCTACAAACATTTTAAACTTCCATAGTAAGATGTCTGAATATAAATGTCAAATAATGACATTCACAGTAGCTTCCTCGAAAGTTTAATAACTTTGGTAATACTGATCCAATTTTGAATCTGTTTTCACTTTTATGTTGCTTATACCTTCTTCTTATAGTCTGAAGGACCAAATTTTGCAGAAATTCTGCCATACGGCCTCAATTCTAATAGATATGTTGCTATACTTGAAAATTCTGAATCAAAAATTGATTGATGACGTCACAATTTATGCAAATGAGCTAATTTGCATAACTGAATATCATTAGTTTATGGGAAATTTAATTAGGTTTAATTTGATACCAATATCATCTCTGTAGACCAAATAATGACAAAGTTAGAAATGATCTAAGATTCCAAGGTAAGATGTTTATAGATGCGTAACCATGGTAACAGAATGCTACAATACAGAGCAACCAATGAGAGTTTGCAAGGGCATCCGGCAGAAAATTGAACCTCAAAGTGTTACCTTTCAAAAAAGTATGGATGCCATAAATTAACAGAGACGAATACGTTGGATAAATTTTTTGAAACGATAGAGAGGCATGGGTTTCTGACTATTAGGGGTGTCAGCTTAGCAATATTTTATTTGGCTTTTCATTCAGGGGTGTCAGGTCGGCAAACTTTTATTCGGCAATAACAATTTTAATCCAATTCGGAAAATAAAGCACCCGGATTTAATACATGTTATACAGTAATTCTTGATAAATTTCGTAATGTAAGAATCCCATATATCATTTAATGTCCCTGACCTTCGACAAGAATGTAAAAACATATGAAAAATGATAATCTTAATATGATGAATGAGGTCACAATAACAGTTGAATGAGAGTATCAATATTTAGTCCTGTGTGCATTATGTGTATTTGTAGTACAGGCCCTCATCCTTTTAAATTAGCAATATAGAATGATACATGATTCTTTATTCCTTAAATATATGATCAGCACTGATTTTATCCTGGCCAATGCCAACAGCCTCAATCATTGCAGCATTTCAGCCAACAATCACTGGTCACTATCAAGATGCAGTAACAGCCGTTACCTTCTCATCTAAGATGGTGGATGGAAAGTGTCGTTTTTGATATTTTTGGTTTTGGTGGAATTAAACTACTTTATAATTGACTTAATGCTTTGATATTTGAACTTGATAAGCCTTATATATCATTGAAACTTTAAAGTATGACAATTTGTTCTTAAATCATGCGGGGGTGCCATGATTCAACTATATGTTACATCGCTTAAGGGAAGGTAACTGAGATTTTGATTTTGCAAATGATACGATAACTGATCTGTGGTGATGCAGTAACATTATGAGAGTTTATAATGGAGGGCGAGTTCACATAGCAAAACCTGATATATGACAAGTGGGGATTCACATTATCTCGATTCCCAATTTCAATTAATTAATCGACATTGACACCTGTCCCGACATTTAGCTCCAATTTTTTATAAGAAAAGTTGCTATCTGGGACGTCTATTGCATGGCATTGTATCGTATGGTCCAGGATAAATGCTACACTTTCCAACCGTAATGTACAAAAACTGCACATTATAGCGAAGTGCATCATTTTGGTCTGAAACAAAAAAATCTATATCATTAACTTCATACAGTAACCGCATCATCTTGGAAACAGACTTGTCAGTTATAAATGCAGACATGCACCTCCAGTTACCTTTCCTTAAGCGGTGACATAGAGTTGAATTATGGCGTCCAAGTATGATTTACGAACAAATGGTCATACTCCAAAGTTTCCATACTATGTAAGGCTTATCAAGTTTAAATATCTAAGCATTACGTCAATTATAAAGGTTACCATTATAAAGTAGTTTAGTTCGACATAAACCAAAAATATCAAAATCGACACTTTCCGTTCGCCATCTTAGATGAGAAGGTAACGGCTGTTACCACATCTTGATACTGACCAGTGAACAATGAACAGAATAAATTGAGCAGTTTTATATTTTGCCATATATCATAAAGGCCTTTATTCCTTATTTGATATCTAGGAAAGCTATTAGAAAGTCCTTTCTGGCTCCTCATATATCCAGTTGGCTATGGTATCCACGAGCTTGTTTAAGAAATACGAGTACAGGGTGACCCAAAAAAAATGCAACCCTCCATTTCGTCAATATTTTTCTTAAATGGAGGTGAATTGCTCTGAGATTTAGCACACAAGGACTTCATTCTATGTGGGATCCTTTGGCAAAGTTTTAATAATCATAGTATTATATTGATAGAGTTCTGGTTGTTTCAAAATATGCTCCAGATGTCGTCAATTTCCCTAAAAACAAACTTGCAATGTTCAAGGAAAACTGTTCATAACACGTATGTATTCTTCCCCATGGATATGGCTCAAATTTTTGCAGCCATTGCTTATTGGAGTTCTGCAATTGCGGTAGGGTTATTTTCATACACATTAACCTTTAAATAACCCCGTATATAGAAGTCAGAGGCATTGAGCTCAAGACTGTGGGATGACCATGGGTCCTCCATCCTAGGAGAGATAATCTTCTCATAGAAATGACTAGTGAGCCAGGCTATGCTATCATTAGAAGTGTGAGGAGTAGCTCCATCCTTCTAGAACCACTGTTCTTGTCTATTGAAGCCTCTGTGTCACTCTAAAACTGCCTGGGGAACACCAATATTGCGCTGTGTGTTAACAGTAACAGTGTTGGCATTATCAACCTCAAACCAAAAGGGGCTGATGATTTCATGTTTGAAATTGGCAGCCCAAGCTGTGCATTTAACAGAATGTAGGGGCCTGTGAAGCACTTTATCTGGAATTTGTGATCCCAGAACACATTATTTCTTGAGTTTACATGTTCAGAAAGAAGGGAATGTGACTCATCCGAAAACCTAACATCGGAAATGGAAAACATAAACTCTATCAATATAAGACTATGATTATTGAAACTTTGCCAGAGGATCCCACATTGAATGAAGTCCTTGTGTGCCAAATTTCAGAGCAATTTACCTCCATTTAAGAAAAATATACAAGAAATAGAGGGTTGCATTTTTTTGGGGTCACCCTGTATAACTATTATTCATGAATCTGTTAATGTCTTTATATTTCTTATAAAGATGTCAGGCTTGATATTTAGCATCCATAGCTCAGCAGTAGTGAGGCATACTTTCTGCAATAAAAGCACAGTGGAATGGGACACTTTCAGCCAACTGTCCCTTGTGCAATCATTTCCCAGAAAGATCCACAATTTTTGAATTACATGTAACTAATTGGGTATAGATTTTGTACAGTGCAACTTTTATGGAAGAAAGTTTTACTGCACATAACATACATGATATATTAAATTTCATTCCTATAAGTCATGATATTCTACCTAATAATTAACCATGTCTATACTGATGTTGAACACACAATCAAAATCAACAAAAGAAACAATCTGACCATTGATAAAGATACAATTGTAGTATAACTGATTGAAGTTAGTATTCAGCATACATGATATGCATTCCATCCTAGTATGTATATCATGTGTAAGTATGGTCAATATTCTCATATCCCATCACTCCATCCATACTTTTTTGTAAAATTATAATTCAGTTTTCTTAACTTTTACAGAAACTTTTATATATGTTTGCAATAAATACATGCAAGTTATTTCTGTGCAAGTGTTATGGATCAGTCACACAGTACCTTAGGAATCAAATGGATTACTAACAGTCCTCTCTCAATGGACTTTTCTTTGAATTGGTGAAAAATTTGTATTTTCACAGATCTTACCAAAATTGGCCAAATGTTTTTGGATCATATGATGGTAAGCCTATGAAATCACCTACTGTTCATCTGTCTATCCCTGGTGTATCTAGATAGTACAAGATCTATTCAAACAGTCAAATAGAAACTACCATTCATCTGAAGCAGTGCTTGTATCAATTTCATGGGGAAGGGGTTCTTTGAAAGGAGTTCACTTTTTTGTTGTGATGGCGGTTGAGATCCAGCGTTAGGCATCTGTAACATATGGCAGGTGGTGATATTTTGCATGTTAATGTCTTGTTGTATTTCTTTTCTAATCTCATTTATAATTAGGTGCAAATGGAGAATCAAGTCTGTCCTAGCCTAATTTCAAAGCTTCATATGGGGGAGCACCCTTTTCATTCATTCAATACATGTGGTGTGTTGTTATCTACATATGGTTTGGTTATTTTGAAGATGCAGAAGACGGTGGCTGATTATGGTGTTGGCATCAACCCTATATCTCGCCTTATCCAGATCCAACAAGCCAAGAAGGAGAAAGAGCCAATATACACACTTGTTCAGGAGAGAGGACTTCCAAGGAGAAGAGAGTTTGTCATACAGGTCAGTTTGGATTTTCACCATGGACCTAAAAGTGAAGACAAAGTTGTCAAAATACAATTTTACAGGATAGCATGAATACTTTTGGTACATACTGGCTGGTAACCTAGGATAACAATGTTGCTTAATGCAACCCTGGACTATAACAGTCCATACTGTTTGCCAGTAGAACCTACAGCCATTTATCAAATAGACACAGAGCGAGTCTTCAGCCATGGCCTCATATATTAATTATCATTATATGTTGAACTATTAACATTTACTATGGCAAATATTATTGCAATTGTTTAAATACAATTTCTGTAAATATAGGTTGGTAAAGGAAAAAGTATTACTCTTTTTATTTGGAATACATAATGAGGTATGTAATAAAACAAATAGAGACTGCCAAATTTTCAGGAAATAGTGCTTTCAATCCCTTCATGATTATGGAAATGAACCATAACTGTCTTTGCACCAACAGAATGATTTTTCAAAAGTTTAATTTCATTTTAAAGTTATTTAGTATTATTAAAGTGATTTAACAATATTTACAATTTCAAGTAACAAACTCATTTATTAAATAAATAAATACATAATATTTAAAGGGACAAAGTGCGTAAATGAAGTCTCACTTTTTATCTTCATAGTACTTCCAATGGATTAATAAGTACCCAATCTTTCATTTGACACTAAAAAAAGCTCAAACAGACCACATCAGAGTTGACACTAGATCATGACAAAATATTTTTGATCTATCAATTTATATATGTCAAGTTTTTAGCAATGCCATAGAAAGATGGCATTGTTGTTTGCATTAATTATCAATTCATTTTTGACAAGATTTTCAAGCATACGCCATCTTTTAATCCAAGAGTTATTTAAAACATACACTATTTGTGAAAAGTGGTAATTCACTTTTTTCAATCTCTGAACTTCAAGTGCTGTTTTCTATCCGAGTAATTTTTTTTTCACTTCAGTATTATCCCAAATTAAAGTTTTTATCATATTTGATTGACTGTATGAGTGACATGTCTCAAACAATATTTTGTCCTTTTTCCTGCAAAAATAGGCGCATTGCCTGTTTAATCAAGAATCTTGTTAAATCAATCATGTTCTCATGATATTTATTCAATTGATATCTAATAAATTAATAATTCATTAACTCAGTGTTTTGTAAGACAAAAGCTGGCCATGGCATTGTACACCATGCCGATAATAATCCCACCGAACGAAGTTCGAGGGGGATATAGAGAAGCCGTCCGTCCGTCCGTTTGTCCGTCCGTCCGTGTGTCCGGGCGATAACTCCAATACCAGTGGACAGATTTGGTTCAAATTTTATAGACTTATGCCTTATGAGTGTAGGACCTCTGCTCGAGAAGGAATTTTCAATATGGCTGCTCAATTCAAAATGGCCGCCATTTTTCGTAAAAAATGTAATTGTTGATAACTCAAATACAAGTTGATGGATTTGGTTCAAATTTTATATGCTGATGCCTAGGGACTAAGGAGTTTTGCTCATAAAGAGATTTTCAAGATGGCCGCTTAATTTCAAATTGGCGGCCATTTTTCGTAAAAATATGTAATTTTTGATAACTCAAATACCAGTGAACGGATTTGGTTCAAATTTTATATGATGATGCTTAGGGACACAGTGGCTATGTTCGACAAAAAATTTCCAAGATGGCCGCTTAATTTCAAAATGGCGGCAATTTTTCTTGAAAAACGTAATCTTTGATAACTCAAATACCAGTGAACGGATTTGGTTCAAATTTTATATGATGATGCTTAGGGACACAGTAGCTATCTTCAACAAATTTTTTTCAAGATGGCCGCTTAATTTCAAAATGGCGGCAATTTTTCGTAAAAAACGTAGTCTTTGATAACTCAAATACCAGTGAACAGATTTGGTTGAAATTTTATATGATTAAATCTAGGGACACGGTAGCTCTGTTCAAGAAATAATTTTCAAAATGGCGGCTGAATTTCAAGATGGCGGCTGAATTTCAAGATGGCGGCCAATTTTCGTAAAAAATGTAATCTTTGATAACTCATATACCAGTGAACAGATTTGGTTCAAATTTTATATGATGATGCCTAGGGACACAGTTGCTATGTTCGACAAAGAATTTTCAAGATGGCCGCTTTATTTCAAAATGACGGCAATTTTTCGTTAAAAAAACATAATCTTTGATAACTCAAATACCAGTGAACAGATTTGGTTCAAATTTTATATGATGATGGCTAGGGACACAGTTGGTTTGTTCAAAAATGAATTTTCAAGATGGCCACTGTTCGGTGGGATTTGCTACTCCGTGGAGTTGCTGTTTTTCTAGTTGATAATGAATTGATCAATTAGATAAAAACAGAGTTCAAAATACTGTATTCTACTTTGGAAAATGATCATAACTTATTGAAGATCAATTAGATGAGGACTTCATCTAGTTAACAGGGGGTGGGGGTTATCCTTGAGTTGAACTTTTGCATTGGTTTCTAATCATCCTGGCAAATTTCATAGTTTACTTGTGTAAGTCGGAGCAAAAATAAGTCGATGACAAAAGATTTCTGCTTCAGAGTGTACTTAATCACTCAGGTGTCAAGCTAGTCTGTAAAGGTGATAACAAACACCTGCTTTGTGGAAACATATTGAAAAAAACTAAAAATAGGGGATTTTTTCTAAAGAGCCATTGTTATAATTAGCTCTGAGTTGGGATCACCCGAACCTCTTTACCTGCCATTTATTCAATAACTATTTTGCTTACTCTATTTTATTAATTATATATTTCCTATTACTGTCTTCAATCAAATCTCAGCTAAATTTCAAGTTCTATTGTTACTATGGAATGCATGTCTGTTTGTCTGTTACTATGGAGTGTATGTTTGTCTGTTACTATGGAATGTATGTTTGTCTGTTACTATGGAGTGTATGTTTGTCTGTTACTATGGAGTGTATGTTTGTCTGTTACTATGGAGTGTATGTTTGTCTGTTACTATGGAATGTATGTTTGGCTGTTACTATGGAGTGTATGTTTGTCTGTTACTATGGAATGTATGTTTGTCTGTTACTATGGAGTGTATGTTTGTCTGTTACTATGGAGTGTATGTTTGTCTGTTACTATGGAATGTATGCTTGTCTGTTACTATGGAATGTATGTTTGTTACTATGGAGTGTATGTTTGTCTGTTACTATGGAATGTATGCTTGTCTGTTACTACGGAATATATGTTTGTTACTATGGAGTGTATGTTTGTCTGTTACTATGGAGTGTATGTTTGTCTGTTACTATGGAATGTATGTTTGTCTGTTACTATGGAATGTATGTTTGTTACTATGGAGTGTATGTTTGTCTGTTACTATGGAGTGTATGTTTGTCTGTTACCATAGAATGTATGTTTGTCTGTTACTATGTATGGAACGTGTGTTTGTATTGAGCTGAACTGACATCCAGATTAACCCAAGCTTGGTACATGCTTCTCTGTGTGCTGAGTTTATCATCATCTAAAAGTTGACTCAGGCATCATAAGATGAAGGTTTTATTTTCCTCCCTTAACTTATCTCAGTTCCAGTTTGTTTCAAAATATCAATGACATTTTAATCTTCAAAGTTTTGTGATCATTATGTCCTCACCACATAGTGCGGGGCCATATTGTCGACCTAGGCGCATCCGTCTGTTTCCGTCCATCCGTAAGTCCAGCAGTTTTTTCCAAAACTGCTACAGATATCACCTTCAAACTTTCAGGGATAACTTATGAGTGCATACAGATGTGGATGAAAAATATTTAACTTGATACCTACTTCCTGTCGGTCATTTTGAAGTCAAATGCTAAAATCCTTGTCTGCAAACTTTAAGAAAAACGGCTTCACAGGCAGCCATTTTGGATTTTCCGTCCTAAAATCTTGCCTGTAAAGTCTTGTCTACGCATTTGCAGGTGAACCGTTTGGTAGATAAATTTCAAATTTTCAGGGATGATTTTTAGTATGAAAATCTAGATCTAATTAATTTTTTGGCATTCTGGATAAATGTCAAGGCAGCCATTTTGGATTTTCCGTCTTAAAATCTTGCCTGTAAAGTCTTGTCTACGTGTTTTTAGGTGAACCATTTGACGGGATCACCCATTGGTGGAGACATTTTGTACACATTTGTGTTCTTGTTTTTATTTGCATCCATATCCACAAATGTTTAGAAAATTGGATCAATGTAGAAGCTGTTAAATGTTTTCTTTTACTGAATTCAATTATGTGTCTAGGTGACTGTTGGGTCTCAACAGTGTACTGGTGTGGGCCCAAACAAGAGACTAGCCAAGCGTGCAGCCGCAGAGGCCATGCTCCAACAACTAGGATACAGCCAACGTATGCCAGAAGCTGGAAAGCCAGCCATCAAGCTTGGGGCACATGAGAATGCTGGGGACAAGAAAGTGAAGTTTGTTGACCAGGAACCTGTAGCAACAAGTTAGTGAAGAAATATTTAAATGGTTTGCTATAGTTGAGTAAAGAAGATTGATATAATGATCTATTTGCCAGTTTAATTATACCACTGGAAAGGAAAAAGGATCCTGCTTTGTAAAATGCATCTGAACATTGATTTAAACAAACCTATTCGTAAAAGTGTGCCGCTGATTGAAAAACACAAGTCTAAGTAAATAACATCCAATAAAAAAGCAAAACTAAAAGTAACGTGAAAATATTCATTAAATAGTCGTTTCATGAATAAAAAAACATATTGATATCATTTTCATTTATTCCTATAATGATTTGTTATACTAGAATTCAATGCATTTCACAATTCACCAAAAATAATAACAGCATGATGATATTTATATCTCAATCAATTAGCCCTTTGGAAGCATCCAAGATCTAATCAGGAGGTCATGTGTTCAACAAACCACATGGTGGAGTGACTTTTTCACATCAGCCCTTAGCATAAAAGTTGATCCTATGTTTCAAAGAAACCAATAAGCCCTTTGGAAATGTTCAACTTGCCAACTTTGTTACGAGTGACACTTGATAAATTGACAATAAATATCCATAAGGCTACCACTTCCATCTTTCCAATGGTGTATTGAAAAATTGGGCAACTCGCATCAATTGTTGAATCTCCACTTTGCTTATTAAATAGAGATTTTAAGTGGGAGTCTCAGTCTAAATACAATATGCCGAATGAATTATTAATCATCATATTTTATGAAAAAACACATATCTTATATGGTTTATTATTATTTTTTTATATACTGATGAGTCATAGATGTCACGCATGATAATTTTCCCATTAGGGCCATTAGGCTGTCATCCTCCTTAAATATGCAATATGTGATCTTTTATATCAGCAAATATTGAATATATTTATTATCATTTCATGAGCAATGATTCAGAATCACAACAGTCTGAGAAAACTAATATTTTTCCCGATTATGAAATATCAGGGAATTTTAGAATTGCCTCAAAAATGGCTATGACGGTCAATCAATTTAAAATATTTTAAAGAAATTATTTTTAAGAAAAGTCAAGGGGTTTTAGTTAAGTAGACTTTTGAAGTAAAAAATTGAACCACAAACTGATAAGATAAACTTATGAAAAAAACTCAGTGAAAACTACCAAAATCATGCATCATGTGTGAAATACTAACAAAAGTCAAATGTCTTACACATTTGCTTAGGGAATGTAAAACTGAATCCGAAAAAGAATTTTTGATTTTTATTTCACCACCACTGAGTGGTTGGTTTTCAGTAGTCAGTCCGCATTTAGCAACTGTAACAATTGACGAGTGCTGACATTTTGCATGTTAATGTCTTGTAATATGTAGTGGCAACCCTGAAATGTTTACACATAGCCACCTAGAGCATTTGAGGGTTGTAAAACTGACCAAATGTAATTAGTTAATAACATATAAAAATCAATCATCAAACATTTAACTTGATTTTTTGTAGCATCATCCGATGGTTTAGGCCGGCAAGTTGTGCCTGGAATCTTACTGATGCCTGACCCTAACAGACCTGGTGTGCAGGGAATACAGAACTACCCAGTGAACCAGCAGCCTGGACTGCAGCGCTCCCCTGGGCCACACATAGGCATGGGCTACTCCCCACAGACAACAGCAGCCATTGCTAAAGAACTCTTAGACCAAGGTATTTCATCATAATACATGAATGTTCCTGATTATCTCAATCCTGACTTTTCCAATCATCTCCAATTTTGTAAAATGTGTTAAATTCACCTACCGTATTTGAAAAATTAATGTCATGTTTCTGTATGTACGCGCAAATGGCAGATTTCTAATCTGGTGCCATTGATCCCCATCTGCCTCAACCCACTCATTGTACTTATTACAATTATTAATTCATAAACTTTGGAAGATAAGTGAAGTTGATAATTGCTATTATAGGTTCATCTCCCACAGCTGAGGCACTTGTTAAATCTACAACAAAACCTGTATCTCCTCAGCAGTCCAATGTCATCAGACCCAAACAGCAGCTATTATACCTGGCTGATGTACTCAACTTCCAGGTTCAGTTCACAGACTTCCCCAAGGTCAGTACTGTATGTTTTGAGAACATCTGAAAAGTTTTGCCCTAAATTCTACATTTAATCCCTTTTCATTAAACACACATTTGTTTATGTAACAGACTTTTTGCAAGTCGTATAGGAATGTTTGTACATTTGATATAGATTATCTCATATCAGAGGCTTGAGAAATTGTGTTATCTTCATCTACTAACCAGTGGAAATATATTCTTTTATGTCTTTGGTCACAAAGAATTTTTAGATTGTTTGTTCTCATTGGTCTCCCTTTCTCAGATAAAAAATTATTTTGTTTAGATGTTGACAAATCAAGTTCAATACAAAAAACTTTTTCTCGCTTTCAGGGCAGTAACAAGAGTGAATACCTTTCACTAGTGTCCCTCTCCACGAATCCTCCACAAGTTAGTCATGGTGCAGGAACAACAATAGAGGCTTCCCATGATGCCGCAGCACTGACTGCATTGAAGGCACTCTCTGAGATTGGATTGGGTGCTGTGACCAGGGATAGTGGGGAGAAACTTGCAGCTAGTGGGCCTAGTGGTGATGGGTAAGTAATATGTCCATTGTCATGACAGCAAAGATCATGGTTCGACATTGTATATTGTAACTTAAAATTGTAAGTTTAGAAGAGACTCTCTTGCATTCATTCTTAAAATCTGTATTTTGTATTGAATCCTTAATCACCACATAATATGTGAGTACATTACAATTTACATTATAATTTTGGATTAAAACATATTTGCATCAGCATGTTGCGTTTCTTGTACATAAAATAAAATGCCTTGTCATTTAAATTCATATTACAATCATCATCTTTTTTAAATATCTTGAGAAGATTTAATTAATTGATCTTAATTTGATGATTTCAGTCCTCATCTAAATGAGCTAAATGGGAAAGCTCCAGTTGCGGGAAGCGACTCAAATAGCACGAGTGTTCCCATCAAACAGGAGAAGTAAGCAGTTCATTGGTCAAACTACATCACATGATAGTCACGTGATCATCACATGATCATCATCTGATACATCATGATTACATGTGAAGACAACCATGTTATATTTGTAGTCCAGAAAGTGTTCTTCTTTATTCTTAAGCAGTCAGTCTTTAACACCATAAAGTGGAAGGAAATATATGGATGTAAGTGCTGACAGGGTGCTACGATTAAAACAATGTATCATTAACTCTAATAACTTCTGGACTATCAATATGAGAGAAAAAAAACAGTTACATATTTGTGGAAATGTTTTCAACGAGGGTTAGCTAATAGTGTGAATACCTTGAGTAAAAGTGTTCACTTAATGATTTTATTGTAATTATATATTCATAATGAAATTATTTCTGAATTAGATGATCATAAAATTGGAATTTTAGATTAAACAAATCCTTTTTTCTGTCATCACATTCTGTTTAACAAATAACGTTTTCAACATTTTCATGATTTAAAACAAATTATGAACTTTAATTTCAAGTCTGTTCATCCCATTAGCAGATTGCTATTGTTATGCTGCATTGCTTATATTTCATGTTAAAGTACAGTTCAGGTTTTCTTACTGGTAAAAAGACTGGTTAAAAGAAATATGAATCACTCTCGATAACTTGAAATTAAAGTTTCAATTTTACATGTATATTGTATTTAATCAAATATGATTTTTAAGTGTGCATACAAACATCTTGGTGGCATTAATATACAAATGTGGATTACATTTTGTAAAGGTTATTCATAAATCGAGAATTAATGAATACATTTAGTTTCATTGTTAAACAGATCAAGAATATTATTGCATCACAAATCACTTTATCACAATTGTTTAACTGTAGATTTGTTTGATGAAACCTCCACAAATCACCAAGTTGTTTGTATTAACTATTTGAAAATGATTACTTTCAAGTTGTTCTTCCTATTTGCAAGGTTGATATAACATCCAAGTCTTGATCAACAACCAGCAAACTCTTTGATGTATGTTTCAATTATGGCTTAAAAGCACATACTAAAAAACACATATTTGCAGTCAGATAAAAAGTATGCCTGAGTAAATAGACTTATCATTTATCAACGTTGCAAAATTGGAGATATGGGTTGGTTAGAAATCATTAAATACATTTTTGATTTGTTGTCTTCATGTCTTATCATTAACTATAAAAACAGACTGAAGACATCAACACTACGACAAGACAAGACAACTCTAATTTATGAAAACACTTGCAAAGTACTATTATACCCTTAATATTGACTTGTCTAATGTTTCATTAATTCGGTTTGTAAAAGTAGAAGTCAGCCTATAAAGAAGACTTGGATTGCTGGGTTTATGAAGTGGAAATGGAATAAGACTCTTTTATGTAAATTATTGATGATTGGTAGTGTTTAACGATTTTGGTGACAAGTTTATGTATCACGCGTTGTATCTGTGAATGGCTATTCAAAGTATTGAATATAGAATATGCATTCAGATGAATGACGTCAGTGCCATAGTTTTGATAAGAATTTGATCTCTAAGCTACCCAGATGGTGCATTTGGGATTTGATCATGACAACAGTTAGGATTTTGATCAATATGTTAGTGCTGGTTTTACCCTAAAATCTGCTTTTTCCCAGCAGTCCAGTCACCTTGACTGTTGTCTGTACCACAATATGTTCTATCTTCCCATGATTCATGCAGTCAAAGACTTTTGGTTGGTCAATAGAGACCATGTGACTGAAAGATGAATGCATTCTTTGTGGTATAAGACAAATAGGTTGACTTAATACTGAAGTAGCTGTATATGAACTTCTCAGTTAATGATTATTGTTAAGTACTTGTCTTACAGTGCTCTGCAAACATATTATTATAATTGAAGTTCTTCATAGTAATCTACAACTGTTGTTGGAGAAAAACTCACTTTATTAAACTTTGATGAATTAATTAGCCACTAATTGCTTTTTTGATCATCAATACAAAGTATTTAATAATCTGATAATCTTGGGCTAACAGAATTATTCAAATGTGAAAACCATTTATATTCAATTTTATCCTAGTTTATGGAAATGTAGTTTTTTCTAGCATCTAGTTATAGATTACCTTCATAACAAAGTAAAGCAAAAAAAACGAACTTGTATCCTATATTTGAACAATGTGTGGGCTGAGCGCAGATATTGATGGAACTATTTGTTTGATCATTTTAACAGCTGATTTCTGAAATTCAGTGTTATTGGTAATTGCTTGCTGAGTTGTAAGGAATGATATGAGAGATTCCGATCAATGATCAGATAGTAATCACTAATCAATATGACAAATCTACCAATATACTGAAAAGGAGTACTCATGTTTCAGTCTGAGAAGTTGTACGTCACATGCATTTCACTGAACTTGGCAGAAACCTGTTATATTTAACTGGTAAAGGTTCCTTTAAAGGATCATGCTTTACATCACTATGTGTTGAGTGTTGTGATTCATTTAAAGTCCTTTAAGAAACAGGAATGCAATATGTGTGGATAGAAACATTTTTATTACGTTTTAAGTTGTTTTTTTATTACATATTAAATTTTACAGAAGATGAAGGTAAGGATGAAAGATGAAGATGAAGGTAGTAAAATTAAATAAGCGTACAATATTAAAAGTAATATATGTTCCAGTTCACTAACTTGATGTCTTATTACGAAATGGATGATATCACTTTGTTTAAATAAAGGATAAAAGTTATGACAAGATATTGTGTTATGTTCAAATATAACTTGTTTATCCACCTTTTTGTCTTATTAACAATAAAAAGTAATTTTCTTAGTTTACCTAGAAAGATTCTATTTTTAGAAAACATAATCCTGATCCTTAATGAGAAAGGTTTTCCCTCTGTGTTTGATTAAAAAATTGACCATCAAGAACATTTCTGTATATATAATATTGTTTTATGTTACATGTACAAACATCAGTTATAGATGGATCAAATAAGCATAAATAAAATGCTGTTAAGAGTTGCATTTTGCAGGTCAAAGAATAGCGTTTAAATTTTGGTTATTCTCTGGCTAGTAGCTTTTGTGGTTGGGCCCTCTCAGCCATATTCCCGGGCGTTTAAAATGTTTAGATAGTATTTAACTTTTTCTCAAATATAATTCTAAGACTTACAGGCAACGAAGGATATTAAAACTTAAAAAACAAATGGTAGTGTGCTTTTTGTCTGAGCAAGCGGTACTCTGCGAGTTGTTTGTAGAATGAATCGGGGTAGTTTTTTCATGCATTTCGCTTGTGTTTTTCATCTAAAAAACATCAATACACTTTAAAACATCTAATTGACTACAAGATTGCACCATATAATCCCTAAAAATATTTCTCATTTTCGAGGATTATCTCTGGATTAACGCCCAGATATTGTTATTTCTCGAACTACAGAGGGCTGGAAATCATTATTACGATCGCTTTTGGATAATATTAATGCTGTTTTAAATAATTTCCATGTGTGCCAATAATTTCTCAAATTGTGTTAATGGTACCCCTTCCTTAATCCATAGAATTTTATCTTTGATGAATTTCCCATAGTAATTCAATGGTTTAGTTTCTGAGTTTCAAGCAGATTTTGAGATAACAAGAAAGTTAACTATTAATACACACCTTATTTGGTTGTTTTGGCTTATATTACAAGCCAATGAGGTGTGTAGAAAGCCCTATGAAGTTTGAAAAATAACAATACCAAGGTGTTAATCCAGAGACAATCCTTGAAAATGAGAACTATTTTTTAGGATTATATGGTGCAATCTTATCGTCAATAAAATGTTTTAAAGTGTATTGATGTTTTTTAGATGAAAAACAGAAGCACAACGGATGAAAAAGCTCCCCAGATTCATTCTACAAACAACTCGCGGTCCTTTGACAAAATTAGGCGTGACTCTCATTGGATTCCACATTAAAATCAGATGTTCACCACTTACTAGTATTGAACTTTTTCTTAAACTCATAGAAGCACAATTTATGGAATTTACGTTACATTTTGAAAGGAAATTATGGGTTGTTGACACTAGTTGTTCATCAATTTTAATCTTGTACAATGTTACTCACTTCGAGAGCCATGTTAGATTTTGAAACTTATTATTCGCAGGAAGTAAGTACAATGGACATACTAGAATAGTACTAACATACATTTTTGATACCTCATATTCGACTTACTGCTTGCGGCCATTCGTATTGATGAAATAGGCTTGTCTGGATCATATGTGATCCGGTTTTACAATCAATCTGATGTGAGTTTTTCACGATCCTTTAACAAAAGAAAAGTATCTCTGCAACATTTGCATGAAAAACATCATTACTAACTTATGCTGAACGTAAGTGACACAAGCCTGTAGTTAGACGATATTAAAAGTGACATAATTTTCCGTCTCACTAATGCCTCACATTTGATCTACGGCAACCATACGGCGGTCGTAGCTTCCCAAAATCGAGAGAAATATGCATCATTAATATAGGGATAAGCGGTCGGCCTACAATAAAGATCTTCTACATCGATTTTGTGAAGCTACTTGTACGGCCGTCGTAGAGGAAATGTGACCAAGGCTTCTCTTGATGTAATTTCAAGAATTTGATATATCACTTTTTTAAAATAAAGGGCATGAATTATGATAAACTTGACATGGTACTAATATTTTCTGAAACATATAATAATAAAAATCAGATCTAGAGAGCATCTCCACAGAGTAGTCCGAAAAAGTGAATCCTTCCAACAGTATATTTCAGTTATAACCCGCATCACTGGGCTAATATTCTAACATGTTTTTGAGGACGCTCTTAAAAGGTCACTCAATCTTAAAGGGTGACGCATATCGTTTAGCAAATCGAACGCTCGTTTCTGGTGTTGCTCACCGTTTAGTATAAAAGGCCCGATCCCGGAATAATACTCAAGGGTTCACAGGCTCGAGGTCGTTGTGTCAACACCTCTAACTGTTATATAGCATAAGTATATTATAAATCGTCACATATTTATAAAACGGTGATTTTTATTTTGACAAATCAATTCCACATTTATGGGTGAAGTTTCAGGATCTTCTATTTGTGTATAATAAGGAAAAATTGACATCTTTTCCCCATAACGTAATAGCACACAGCTTGGTATATGAAATATCCTACAAATGAAACAAAGCAGTTCTAATACAAGGATTTATATTGGCTGTTGTACATATTCTTTGAACGCAATCACTCTATGGATAATGTTTTCAAAATCATTATAAACGGATTACTTTATCTCAAAGACAATTTCAATAAACTGGATTTTACAGAACTCCCCTTATTTCTTAAAAATGGACTGATCCGGTCGATTCGCCTGGAGCCGCCATATTGTTTTTATACGGGATGCTTATCGGAACCCTTTAAATCTTTCAGAAGTTAACGAACAAGTTTAGATTGGAAGATGTGGGATAAAGAAAACCGTAAAGATTATTTTTGGAAGTTATGACCAAAATGGAGCTGAAAAATAACTACCATAATATAAGAGAATTTCAAATGAACGTTCTTCCTTTGTTTATCAATATTGTTTATTCCATTTTACGCTACTATTGTATCAATAGTCATAAGTCATAAATATGTACAATTATAAAAGCTGAACAATATATTGGTAAAGAATATATCGAGTACTATGTAAATAATAAAATCTATACTTTTAAATCCACAGGATATCTTATTATGCAAAGTCTAATTATTCTGGTAAGAATTGAATGTAGAATCTCTACATTGCATTTATAATAGAAAACCATGCCTGGTGTTTGATTAAGAAATATAGACCAAGATCGGGTGTTATATCGACGAATAAAACCCGCAGGGTTAGGAAAAAACCTTATCTGTACCCCGAACAACCGAAAGGTTTTGTGCCTAGCCCTAAGGGGTTTATTCGTCGATATAACACCTAATTTGAGGTCTACATTACGATTCGAACAATGAAAACTCCCTTAAATGATGTTTCGAATATTCATTATTATGACCCGACGTTATGACTCGTCACACATTACTCGTATGACCAGGGGTAGTGGTAACGAATATACCCCGGGTGAAATGTTGACTTTGTTCACAGTTTATAGAAGGCGTGAACACAGTCATGTTCGAACTCGTATTAAATGCACGTCTTTCAGTGGAGCTATCAATGCTCGTGAAAACATACGAGGCCCGATCAGAAAGTAAGTAACCAACTGCTCTTATTTCTTCATACTTCATTCAATCACATTGAAATTTTCACAGATGATGTAGAAAATATTAAACTATTAAATAAGACCAAGGACAATGGGTTAGCGTCAATTTCATTGTTATTGATGTTGCTATGGTGACAATTGTTTCGGGTAGGCGGGGCACCCTGTTTTAAGTGGCGTTTGAAGATAATTTGTAGAGTTTTTCTACATGTTGTAATACCTCCAAATATATCAAATTCAAATGTAAGACTACATTTCAACACAAAGTCCTTCAAATTAATCGCCACAAAAGTCAATGCAGTTGAGGCAATGTTTTACTCCGTCCTTAAAGAAGTGCAACATGGCACCATTCAATGACTGCAAACTGCCATTGAAATTTTGGCCTTATTGCTATCCAAACGGACTCTACATTACAAGATATTTGCATTTGGAAAGAATTTGGCCACGTGGGGCCAGGTCTGTGGAATAGTGAGAATGGGGTAGTTGTGTGGCCATGGAAAAGGCTTAATCTACTGTATCGTCGGTAATTTTGGCTCTGTGGAGGTGGACCAATTATCATCATGCGAGTAAAATCCCCCTTCAACAACATTTGACTGGATTGAAACTGTGACTGAATCATGACCATCATTATGACAGATATACCCTTGATATCTTGTCGATAAAACAAATTATTCAGTCTTGCATAAAAAAATGTTAGGTCATTTGGAGGAATACAGCATGTAAAAAACTCTATAAACCATCTTCCAAAGCCGCTTACAAAAGGGTGCCCCGCCTACTCAAAACAATTATCATTATCATATAGCAACAGCTATAACAATGGCATTGGCGCTAATCCATTGTCCTTGGTCTTCTTTAATAGGTTAATATTTTCTACATCATCTGTGAAAATTTCAATGTGATTGAATGAAGTATGAAAAAATGAGAGCAGTTGGTTACTTACTTTCTGATCGAGCCTCGTACATACATATACAGTATATCAAATCTGTGTTACAGACATCTTTGCCTTATTTGTCTACTATCCATGTATATTTGTTTGACTAAAGTTGTGTATCTGTTGCCTGTTTGTCGATGTTGGAATCGTTTATACTATAGATTGTTGGTCGATTTATTTGTCTCGATTAGTAATCAAGCGTTCCTTTAAATGTAGATTCGAGTTCGATCTTTATTTTAGAAAGGGAGGTAATCACCTGGACCTGAAAAAACACAGACAAATAAATGAAAATGCGAAACGATACCTATCACAGATGAAAGTTTTTCTGTTAAAATTAATTGTGAATAGAATGTAATTTCTATGTCTGTGCAAGTAGTATAGAATGACAATTCGCACGACTCCAATTAAACAAATAGATTATACAAGTTATATACCGGTAACAGGCCCGTAGCCAGGATTTGCCAAGGGGGGGGGGGTCAGTTTTCAAAAGTTTCTAGGGGGGTTCACATTTGACAATTTTGGTCCAAATACGGCTAAAATCACTTGAGAAGTGCTCAAAATGGTGAAAAACTGCATGATTTTGGAAGCATTTTTGGCCAGGGGGGAGGGGGGTTCGAATATACACCCCTTGACTACGGGCCTGGGTAAACATACGATCGTATTAGAGAAATGATCATGAAACGGATTTAGTGGAGTCCCTGTTAAAAGTATGTATGAGAAATGTATTCTTAGGGACAATATCTTTATAGTGCTCGTATGTAAAACTCATTTCTCATCCTCGGCATTATGATTTATTACATGAGAATGAAATAACATTAAATTACAATAAATAGTTATGAGAAACGTTTAATATAGTGATTTGTATTTAATTACTATTGATGAATGATATTGATTTAGATCAAGTTCATGGAAAAAGAAAACACAATAGCGTTTGTGGAGCCAACCTATGTCAAATCTAACAAACAAAATACTGAATGCTGGAATAAAATCAATTACTTTCACTGCTTGGCTAAGAGAATATGCAAATTATCTACAGGAGTTGGGGAACAAAGGCGTAGCGTGTCTAGAATGTCCCATTAGGTCGTTTACCCTGTTTTAGAAATTGTATTGATAACAAAGTCTATCAGATGAAAATAAATACTTGACTCACCTGTTGAATACATACACCTGCTCCCTGAGAAGCCCTCGTTGCATTCACATTTGAAGTGGAAGTCGGTGCCGCCATTGTCCACAAACACACACTTGCCCTGGTTATAATCCTCGCTACAGTATCGTGGGCAAAGATTATCTGAAAGTTCAAACATGAACTTGAACTTTTCCTTTTCAATATGTGAAATAAAAGTGAAAATACTGATTGTTCTAAAAATGTTCCAAAATGATACGGAAACAACCCTTTTTTCCTTCATAGAAAAGGTACGTTGAATTTTTTACTTGATGAAGAACAGAAATTTCCCAATAAGCAGTTTAAAATTCAACGAAATATTTCTATGCTCTAAAAGAACTCTATCACGATCGATGCATGGTTGAATACAATTCCAAACATGGAAAAATGGGTGATGGTGCTAAAACAAGCTTTTCTTTCAAACTTCCAATAATATTTCCCCATCACAAACAGAGTCATTTCACGTTTGTATCGGCACAATTTTCCAAACATGGAAAAATGGGTGAAACATATGTTCCTCTAAAACTAAATAGAATTACTTTCAGAGATTTTTGAGAGTCAAATTCTCCACCAGATGACTAAATTTCTAAAATATTATTTTATTCACTTATAAAGTTATTCCATATTAGTCTCGGTACAATATTTTGGGCTACCCTGTATAATATATTTTAAATATTTTCGATTTGTGATTTATTTTTCGCTTCTTTAGAAACCAATTTTAGGTCTGATCGAAAAACACAAAGGCAAACATTTGAAAAGTTTATTAAAACGATAAGACCGATTATATATCTATTATATCCACGTAAATCACCTGATGGTATAGAGCAGAATCGTCCTTTCCATCCGGGTCTACAGACGCACATGGCCAAGCTAGATTCCCCCTCCACCATACAATAGCCCCCGTTACTGCACAGCTTTCTCTCATAAAACTCCTCACAGTCACTCTTATACTCGTAATCATCTGGTATATTATCTGAAATTAATAAATGAATAAATAGATAAATAAGTATAAAATAATAAAATGACAGCAGAAAAGTGTCTTCGGATCGTATAGTAGTTGTATTAGTTGTTGGTCTATAGGTGCGCACTTTTTTCATATTTTCATGATATTTCTGGCAATATCGAAACGTCATTTTTGATCATATGTTGAACCAGTATATGTTTAACAGAGCCCCATGACTCGAATGGAAAACATTGTTCGTGAATTAGAAGTACATAATTCAACAATGCAACCTCAAAGTGAATGCTTGGACGTTTTTCATTTTATGTAGAAGTATACAGAGTATACATTTAGGTTAGGATTTGAATACTATACGTACTGATATCAGCTGGTCCAGCACACCAGGGGTTACCGGGGTATTCTTCCTCTTCTTTGTCTTCCATACCCCATTCAGAGATCCACTTTCCCTCTCTACACTCAAGGTAGCTAAACGGATAGACAGTCTGGTATTCGCCATTGCAGGCAAACGTCACTGTACTTCCGCATCTGTTCGCTTTTGAAATATATGTATTTCCTTCAAGGGGGTCTAATTTTTTGACTGGACTGCATCTTTCGCATTCTCCTTTCTCCAATTGCCGAGCTCGTCGATGTGCACTGCGACCTCGTGCTGCTAATGTCCCTTGAAAAAATGAAATTATAAAAATTCATTTCTATCGCCGTGAAAATATTTTTGTTTGAAAAGTAGATTATGGAAGTTATTATCATTTACATAACTCGTTGACTGGTTTGATGATCATGACAGTTTTACAAAGTTTACAAATGTCGTTAAATATCAAAGTTGATTTCTAGGAAAGGGGTGGCTGGTCTTTTAATTTTAATTTATTTCCCCCATTTGAGTAGCAAATGTTAAGATTTTGATACTTTTCTCTTATATATCTTTTATGCTTTGCTGCAAATATTATTCGCCTGTCTCATAGTTAAAAGTCAAGTTTTAGAAATTTCTATACGATTGGGTCTACGAAAAAATAGAATGATTTCTTTTCTCTGAATCAATATTATCTGTGATTATCTTTTTGCTTTTGATTAGTAAAAGTGTATAGTTCTGACTTAATTATTTTGCCATTAAAATATAAGCTTACATTATGTCTAGATTTAAGATCTAATATTAGAGTATGACCCTACTGTGTAATAGTAAACCAGCTGTTAATTATATAATATAGAATATGTCCATTATTATCCAAAAATCATAATTCAAAAATTGGTATCACCCTGTTTGTCCACCAAACCATGGCATCTCATTTCTTCTCGGCAATGATATCATGGTGGATATAATGAGCTAGATTCAGAGATCCAAGAGAGTCATTAAGGGCAATGATTACGTAATAATTACAACCATCGACTCTTTCCATCGGATTAACTGATATTAGAGAATATGTATCATACTAGTATTATCATTTTAATATTTTTCTTGAAATATATTTAGCAGGAAGATGTGATGTATATCATAATGTCATTTGAAATGATATTATCTCATTTAATATTTTCAAAATTTCGTTATTTTTCGTTAGGTACGCTCCCGTCAGATTCATGTGCACTAACAATGTTGGGGGACATTAACGCATATGAATACGTTTTTTATAATTAATTTTCATTGTGATTTGTGATGAGTCCTAAATTAGGAATCAATACTGAATTTTTCCAAGCACTGTCAACCACGTTTAAGTCCGATAAAATATTATTGAATAAAATTCTTAAAAATGCTTACCGTATATGCATATTTGTAATACTGATAAACCCAATAAAAGTGATCGCAACTGCATTGTCCCCCTTTGACTGCTATCCAAATACGATGTTTACTGTGTAAAGTTGGAATCGCGTAAATGGAAGATAATGTGGCTTCCCTTCATTGATATAGGCCATCCTACGTTTGATTGACATTGATGATTTAATCTTTATCCTGAACATTAATATTTATCGGAATAAATATCTAATACTGAAGAATATATTATTAGGGATCCCTCTTCAGGTAGGCCTATTTTATTGGTTCATAAATGGGCGGACGTTGCACAATTACATTACAGAAATTTATACTAAAATAAGAAAAATAGTATATTAACGGTATTTGTAACAAAATAAAATAAACATTGAATACTTCGAGAGAATGTCATTAAGTAAATGATGTAGTGCATTTATGTTTATTTTTATTATGTTACCCCTGTTAAGGCCTGTGAGTCTTATGTTGCTATGTAAGTCCAATGGACAAAGTCAAGATTTATATTTTATTTTTTGCGGCGGGGAGATACCGTATGTTTATTAATTTTCTGTATCTTTATTCCATGCCTTATGCTCTGGTGGGGATTCGTATAGTATCTAATTTCTAAATGAGAAACGGATAAGATCATAAACATGGTTTAATTTCTCGGAGATAATTAATCACCACTTCTTTACCTTAGTATACTAATCATTTATTTCTCTGTAAATTAAGTCAATATAATTCAAATGGATGTAATAATACCGGTACAAGGATCAAGACAGAAGGAAGCATTAATCCCAGAGCTGTAATTAATTTCATTCGCCCTCATGTCTGACATTCAACAAAAGATCGACTTCTTCAAATATTACATTTATTTCATACAACGTAAGTTTTTAGTAAGTATTTACAAATAGTATTATCCTGAGGGAAATATATTACAACATAGATAGATATATTGTATTTCCCGAGGGTTACACCCTTTATCCCATCGTTACAAGGATATAGATCGAATATCAGGTGAAGATATATTTGATATGTTTATCAAGATATCATATCTTAGCAAAGAATCCACAAACCATCGAATATCACTTCTCAAAAAGCGATATTCGATGGTTTCAAAAGTGATATTCGATGGTTTAGATTTTAAAATCTTTTCGATTTTTCACTTTTTTCAATAAAATTTAATTTTTACATTTTGAAATTCTTTTTTCAATTTTTTAGATTTTATAATTTTTTTAAAAAGATTTCCCATGAGATAAACGGACAATCCTATGGTTTTTCAAATAATATCAATTATATTCACTAATGGATATAAATGATATTTTTTCAAAACCATAGGATATTCCTAATAGTATCCAAAACCGAACATTAAGTAACTGATTTATCCTATACTTCGATTTCAAATACACAGATCTCTCTGATTTCAACTTTTTTTGCCAAGTAGCCCTTCAGAAATTATACGTCAAATTTGGTTTTACGGCTTATTTTCATTTTTTCTTTGATTTAAAAATTTATCCACAAATTCATCATTCATTCATTGCTAAACCATAAAAGTTGACCTTGACCATATTTCACCTTATCATAGGCCGCCAATGGACACATCAGTCTCAAATAAGTCTTAATACACCAAACACCTTTATATTGAGATTTGACCGTAGAATACCTTGACCATTAAACGTTGGCCTTGATCTCAGATAGCAAAATCAAGTTTCACAACGACTTCACTAGTATAGGGCTTCGAAAGGGCTTAAAACGCCAAATGCTTAGATATTGACTTTTACGCCCCACGATAACGATTATGTTTTTATAACACCGGTGGTTTGATAAAAATTGCCTCCAAAAGAATGTAGCATTTCTAAACAAAATTTATAACTGGGGCCAACAACAATGGCCAAGAAGTGCATGTCTTTTTCGCACGTTTTTTATATTTTTCATTGATAAAGTGCCTAAGAAATCGATCAATATCATGGTTTATGGACCACTCGAACTAGTCGAACTGGAACATCACGTCTTACCCGTTCCTCTAAAAGTCTCTGACGCCCAGAAAACCGTTTGAATGGGTTAAAATTCTCTCCTAAGAGATTACGCTTCATGAGGCAAAGACCTTGTTTAAGGGCTGGAAGGTCCAAAATAAATATAATCAGGAAAAACAGCATTACAAAACCTGATGACGTAAAACCCAAGGCCTTTGCTGACACTCTTTCATCAGGTTCGAACACGTCAAACAGTAATTTTTTGTGTTCTGTCACTTTGGCTGTCGTCTTTATTGCTACAATTGCCTGTCCTAATGTACCGGTTGATGTAAATGAAGCGTTTGTAGAATTTACATGTTGCGTTGTGGTCTCTGTTGATCCATTTATTAAAATTGCTGTGAACTCTGATGTTGGGCTCTTTAGTGTTTGATTTGAGGATAGCGAGGAAGTAGGTTCACTTGTGGGTATTTTAGTAAATTCAGTTGTGCGTATTGTAGTAAACTGCGTTGTAAATACTGTAGTACGCTCAGTAGTGGGAATTGTAGTAGGCTCCGTTGTAGGCTCTGTTGTGGGTTCAGTTGTTGGGACTGTGGTGGGTATTGTTGTAGGTTCCGTTGTGGGTATTGTAGTATGCTCCGTTGTGGGTTCAGTTGTGGGTGTTGTAGTAGGCTCCGTTGTGGGTTCAGTTGTGGGTGTTGTAGTAGGCTCCGTTGTGGGTTCAGTTGTGGGAATTGTAGTAGGCTCCGTTGTAGGTTCTGTTGTGGGTATTGTAGTAGGCTCCGTTGTGGGTTCAGTTGTGGGTGTTGTAGTAGGCTCCGTTGTGGCCACCACAGTTGTGGGAATTGTAGTAGGCTCCGTTGTAGGTTCTGTTGTGGGTGTTGTAGTAGGCTCCGTTGTAGGTTCTGTTGTGGGAATTGTAGTAGGCTCCGTTGTAGGTTCTGTTGTGGGTATTGTAGTAGGCTCCGTTGTAGGTTCTGTTGTGGGTATTGTTGTAGGCTCCGTTGTGGGTTCAGTTGTGGGTATTGTAGTAGGCTCCGTTGTAGGTTCAGTTGTGGGTACTGTGGTGGGTATTGTTGTAGGTTCAGTTGTGGGTACAGTAGTAGGTTTTGTTGTTGGTATTGTTGTAGGCTCCTTAGTAACTGAAATTGCAAATTATCTTTCAGATTTACTGAAGGATTAACAATGAGCCTTGGGTCTAATGTGAAATATTCGCTATTATTGTTGCAAAGTGTACATTCTTTAAAAACAATAATTGCACTCCTCTTTGTTATGGCTGAAGATTCTTTAAAATAAAATACATCATTCTATTGTGTTGTGTGGTTAACACCCCAGTCACATTTGTCGTACGGCGGCAGATCCATCAAAATCAGAGAATTTCTGCGGCGGGCGTAGGAAAACTACGGTCGCCTTGCGGTCTCCGTACGGCGTATGCAGATCTTTACAGGCCGCAGGGTAGGCGTAGGAAACAGGTTTTAGGCCAGGTTTTAATTCTTGTCGTATCTTTGCTGTGAACAAGTTCGCAAGACGTTTGACCCAATTTCCCCGAAGATCCAGCTCGGATTGAGCTTGCAATAGGCAGAAGGTTATTAAATATCAGCGAGTATGATTAAAAGAAGAAAAAAGCTTTCTGTTGGTGTGTTGGTTTATTGTACAGAGTCCCTAGCTGCGAGAAGTGCTTCTCACAGCTAGGGACCAAAACGCCGTTAAAATTAGGGGCCCTTTATAACAGAATAATGATCAACAGGAAAGCATGTTTTGCTTTGAATGGAACAAGTGTGAAGAAAAACGGTGCAGTATGAGACTCACAATCCTTGATTTTCAAACATCTGTTGGGTTTAAACTTCAAATTAACAGTTTTTTTTTGTATATAGTGGACCCCCATTCTTTGTTATTGCGGTATTTTCATGGTGGAGGTCAAACAGGTATAAATGGGCCTCACAAAATTCTATAATCTTCTGAATGTCAAGGAAATCATCTTCCTCTTCATCGCCCGATTCATCAGGAATGACATCCTTGTTCTTCCTTTCCTTTAATACGCTTATATGTAATGGCATTTGCCAGAGTTGTCATAATATGTGACCGGGGTCTTGGGAAGACCCCAACACTTTTTATTTGATATTAAGGATTTAAGACCTGGGCTCAGTGCATTGTTTGCTGAATCATACCATGAACACGTGGTACTAACTCACCGGGGCGTATCGAAACCAAAACGCCCCGCAAAACCGTTAATTTAAATTTCAAATCTACCATGTCTTTGGAAAATCAATGATTGTGAGTCTTACACTACACCTTTTTTCTCCAAACTTGTTCCATTAAAACCTTCACAGAAATACCTCTCAGTCGAGACATTGCTTTTGTTTACAAAGTCCCTCGTTTTAGTGGCGTTTTGGTCCCCAGATGTGAGAATTTGCAAATTCTCAGAGATTACAACCACAATCCTTGATATCTCGCCAGTTCTTCTATCACTCTCCCCCATATTCTGCGCAAGGACACCCATTACAACCCTCCATCGCTGCATCAACATGTTTACTACATGAAACGCAGAAATTCTACGCAACTGTTCGAAATTGACCAAAACGCCCCGTTGTCTTCCAAAACGCCCCACAGAGTCTTTGACTACAAACGTGTAGTTTCAAGGTGTATATATCCAACGGGGCGTTTTGGAAGAGAACGGGGCGTTTTGATCAATTTCGAACAGATGCGTAGGACTTTTGGAAATTGCTGCGTTTAATGTAATAAATATGTTGATGCAAGGGCGTTACAATACCCGGGAATTTATCGGTTCGTGCAGTACTTGTTTGTGATAGCGCCCTCTGTAGGTCACTGTGCTTAAGCCTACATTAATACGGGGTAGGATATCGGGAATTCGGTCAGTTTCCATCCGTCGATTTCGCTATGAATTGAAGCAAGTGTGACCACTTTATCCACTTAAACAATTTGATAATTGATTAAATCTTTAAACAAAATCGATAAACACGTTATACACTTCCTATCTCCTTAGAAATTAGCATGTATTTATGGATTGTGTTTTCGAACAAGGCTCGACCCAAACCAATAGGGAAATCCTTATGCTAATTAGTATGACGTCATATTTTCCTGGGGAATCCTAGATTTCAAAGCCTCAGTCTGTTATTGTGTCAAATGTAAACGCTCTTTTGCAGACAGAAAATTGACAGATTAGCTTTTAACTTTCAGCTTTGATGTTTAAATATTCTGTATTTCTACCGGACTTCTTGCTGAATATCATATAATGTTATAACTTGATTTGGACCATTGCCTGATTGATCATTCTGAAATTTTGATTGTGACCGTATGATTGATTGGCGAGAAAAATAATTCCTATTGTTTTCCAGCGAAGTCAAAATGTTACAGCATGAGTTATAATGTCGAGTTTGCATCATGTTAAATTCTGCTAGTGATTAGAAGTCCATGCACAAGCATACACATAACTTGAGAGACAAACACACCCAGGCTCCAGGCCGTGGATGGAAATATAAAACTATTTAAGGCACAAACTTGTATTTAATAGGCCGATATGTAGTGTCTGCCATGTATTGAAGGTAAACAATCTGCATTATTAATGTTACTTCTATCAATACATGGATTGTACAATGGAAAAGCAATGGCACAATCAAAAATGTGCATATCAATCGTGAATATCTCTCGGTTCAAAGCTTATTTCCAACAGAATCGTGTCAAAATATGTGTCTGAGTAACAGTTATACATTATAAGATCGCAAACTCTTACCAATTATCAGCCGAATGGCTCATTTTCAACGAAATGTCCTTAAGACAACAGCCCTGGGTCGCGCCTGAGACCAAAAACTATTTCAAATAGCCCTCCCCTAATTATATTGGATAATCACATTTATGCGTGCGCGCGCAGCTCATCCACTGAACGAAACGCCACTTCCCGCTGAAATCACCGGGTATTGATCTTTCCCTTGGTTGATGCAGAGATGGAGGGTTCTAATGGGAGTCCTAGTGCAAAATATAGGGGAGAATAATAAAAGAACTGCGATATATCGAGGCTTTTGGTTGAAATCTCTGAAGATTTGCATCTTCTCACATCTGGGGACCAAAACGCCGCTAAAAAGCAATGTCTGAGTGAAAGGTATTTCTGTAAAGGTTTTAATGGAACAAGTTTGAAGAAAAACGGTGTACTGTGAGACTCGCAACCATATAACTCCGAGTTATAATTTCTACGCCTTAATTCCCTGCGGCCTGTAAAAATCTGCAAACGCCGTACGGAGACCGCAAGGCGCCCGTAGTTTTCCTACGCTCGCCGCAGAAATTCACTGATTTAATTGATCTGCGGTCGACTCATTTCTGAAGTTATGGTTGCTATGGTAACCTCAATAACGTCATAGCGGGATAGGGCAATATTTGTGAAGTTTAAAATTAGTTCTCTTTCGGATATAATATCAAACCCCGTGTAATCTTTATTTATGGAGGAAATAAAGAAAATACATATACACACGGTAGGGATTGTCATCACGTGACCTTCGCAGTTGATGGTGTCTGAACAAGATGTAAGATTTTCTCGATTAAGCAAGAAAAACGAATATTTTTCATATTTATACTTTGTTAAATGCTTCAAATCTCTCCCCACTTGTGCATATTATCTCAGTCTCTCAAATGAACCTAAATTTACTAACAGAGTACGCATATTTTTTGAGATATCACTGTTTTTTGTTTCGAAAAATGATGGTGTCCGAACAACTTTAAAATTCTGTATGATGGTATCTGTACATATTTTTAAATACACTACTTGGATGGTAGTCCTCGTGTTTTCGTGTGTTATTTAAATATATATCCTTCTTTCCAATGTGTTGTAGCACTTGAACATGCTAATTTGGAAACTCTGTTTTCCAAATCCAAAGAGAGGGGCATGTTATTTTATTTATTTTTATTCCAAATGCTATTGTTTAATTTTGGATTAAACCAAATCAACCTAGAATCGTGATGTTTGCCTGTTATCACTGCTATCCATTGGTTGAATTTCCAACGCTGAACGATTTGCAAATCATGTGTGGCACAATCATCCATCAGAGGAATTTAGATACATTGTGTATTGTCGCCAGAAGCTGGGCGATTGAGTCATTTGATCAAACGTTATCTATTCCATATTACAAATTAAAGATTGAATACTTGAATAAAACAAAATAAAATGAGTTCCATCAATCGATTTAGACTGCCCAGGGATGGTATTATTCAGTAAAGCCTGCCACCCTTTGAGAGGCCAGAGAAGCTATGCAATATTGGTGATGTCATTGGTTGTAAGTAGAAATCTGACCAATCAAAATACAGGATTTCGTGTGTCATTGTCCTGATTAAAGTGCTATGCAAAATTATTGCACATTAGTAGGGTCTAGCTTCTGCACTGAACCTCATACCCGCGTACATGGTAGTAATGTAGCCTAAATATTGCAATATAGTCACACCTTAAAGACGACTTCCTGGAAGTCCACAGCAAGTGAAAAACAATCTTAGTGAAGATTGCTTCTAGTGAACGAGCATTCAATAGATAAAGGATCCGTCATACTCAGTATATAAAAATGCCCCAAGGTCTCTCATAAGAGTCATAACCATTATGACATATAATATGGAATTTAGTGAGGAGTTAATTATGGCATAGTGTTCAGTTGCATCCTAAGTGTTATTGAGGTCATAGTGACCTTGTAAAGGTCAAGTTGGTGCATATCTGAAAATTAAAGATTCTTGTGTACAAAATCATCATTTACAAAATTTAAAATGTGAAAATATGATTAAGAATGTTAAGAAATTTCAAATGAGCTGCTTCACTTTTACGGTGCTTCCGCAGGCTTAAGCCACACTAATTTCATCACTAAATTGTACCCTTGGTAATAATGTTTATATTGAGGCATAAATAAGAGTGGCTTAGGCCCGCGGAGGCAATGAATCATTCAAATATATAGAACAGGCATTGAATTTGCTAACTTTATTTAACCAAAAATGCATACGTTTCTTCAGGTTCAACGAAGTTATAGGTCTTTAAAGTCAAAATTGTTTTCCAAAAAAACTGTCCCATTAAAATAACATAGGAGGCGAAAAATGATTTTCAAAAATTACTTTGAAGCTCTGTAGCTTTAGTGTTCATCAAGTAAACCGAACACTTAGTGTACAAAAAAGTTAGACAATTCAATTTTCTATATAAAAATATTTTTTGCTAAATCTTTTACTGAATAGATATCCTGATTTCTGATTTGCCCCGAACCCGCCATTCCCTATTGGTTAACATGGGAATGACGATTTTCAAAAATTCATCAAATTTACCATCAATTTTCGACCTATTGTAATTGAGGAAAAAAATTGAGAAAATTTGGAGGTATTGGAAGTAAAGTCAAATTACGTTTCCGTTAATAGTAAAAGTATTTTCACCGCAGGTTAAGTAAATAAAAATTCAAAAGTAAAGAGGCTTTAACACGTAGTTCAATGGGGAGCAAATGTTGCCAAACTTATGGAGGGGAGTGTACATTTTTTTTTTTTTGGCAGTCATCTTGGACATCCATATAAATAAATTATTCAATGATTTTGTTCAGACAAAATTAAAATCATTGACCTCACAAATTAGAAATGATGTCCTAATTGCTCTATGTTTAGATCAAAAGTTACATATTCACTTCTGCAGCCATTTTGGCGGCCTTCTTGATGTTCAAATGAAGGAATTATTTGATGACTTAGTTATTCATATAATTGAAATTCTTATCCCATTAAACTTGAACATGGTCTCCAAATTTGACTGTTCTTAACTGTTCTATGAGCTTGAATCAATAGTTACATATTTGCTTTGGTACCAATTTGGTAGCCATCTTGGATTTCGATAAAAAGTAATTATTTGATAACTGAGATTTAGACATAAATGAAATCCTTGGCCCCTACTAAATATTCATGGTCTACAAAATCACTGTTCACTGTTCTTTGACGGCTTAAATCAATAGTTACATATCCATTTTGGTACCCATTTTGGTGGCCATCTTTGATTTCTATATAAAGTAATTGTTTGATGACTTGGATTTAGACATAATGAAATCCTTGACCGTAAAAACGTAGACATGGTCTCCAAAGTCACTGTTCTCAACTGTTCTTCTGAGTTAAATCAATATTTACATATTTGTTTCGGCACCCATTTTGGTGGCCATCTTGGATTTCTCTAAAAAGCTATTATTTGATGACTTCGATTTAGACATAAATGAAATCCTAGACCCCGAAAATGTATTAATGGGCTCCAAAATCAATGTTCTTAAGTGTTTTTTTAAGTTTAAATCAGAAGTTACATTTTCGTTTTGGCACCAATTTTGGTGGCCATTTTGGATTTCTATGAAAAGCAATTATTTAATGAGTCAAAGATTTAGACATAAATAAAATCCTTGACCCTTAAAATATACACATGGGTTCCAAAATCACTGTTCTTGAGTGTTTTGAAGCCTAAATCAGAAGTTACATATTCGTTTTGGCACTCATTTTGTCGGCCATTTTGGAAATCTATGAAAAATAATTATTTGACAACTCAAAGCTTTAGACATAAATGAAATCCTTTACCCTTAAAATGTAGACATGGGCTACAAATTCACTGTTCTTAAGTGTTTTCGAGTTTAAATCAATAGTTACAAATTCGTTTTGGCACCCATTTTGGCAGCCATCTCGGATTTCTATGAAAATCTATTATTTGATGACTCTGATTTAGACATAAATGAGATCCTTGACCCCTAAAACCCATACATAGATCCTACAATCACAGTTTTTGTATCTCGGTATCGTTAGATATACACAACCTACTTTTATATTGTAACTCACGCACCTAGCCATTTTGAAAAATGGGTGATAACACCTATTTAGCTACAACTGTTGCAATGCTATCGCATATTTTCTTACTCTAGAGGTTTTAACCGTCCCAAAAATCACCATGGTGATTATTCCCCTAACTTGATACCGATAACCTAAATTTTGGAGCGAAGCTGATGGCCTAAACAGCCCCCATAGACAAGCTTCCGAACCCCGTTTTATATTTTCCTTCCGCATTTTACCCCTCATATTCCTTCCTTTCTATTCCTTCTACCACCTCAATACGAATGAGTCCGTATTATCCTTTCAGACAGTTTTACGGACCCGGCCCCACTTATATATTTTCCCCTCTTCCCTCCTTCCATCCCATAGCCAATTAACCCTCTCCTGACGTGAATATAAGAGCAAAATGTTGGCCTGGTGACGGATAAGTAAGAATGGTTTTAAGGGAAAAACTGCAAATTACCTATTCCCCGGGACCTTTACCTTGAATTTATCAATGAAATATAATTTTTAGTAAGGATTATCACATTCATCTTGTTAAAATTTGGTGTAAAAATACTGAATAGAACTGGTATATAAAAACAATGGTGCCAAAAGGAACCTATCGTCTTGAATGGTATTTAAGAAATATAGACCGAAAAGCAGGGGTTATATTGTCGAATACACCCCGCAGGACTAGGCACAAACGTTTTCTGTTCGAAAGCTTTTGTGCCTAGCCCTAAGGGGTGTATTCAACGATATCACCCCTGCTCTGAGGTCTATATTACGATTCGAACATGAAAACTCACCAAAATGTTTCGAATATTCATCATGGTCCGCCATTACTACGACCCACCGTTATGACGTCACACATTACACGTACTACCAGGGGTATTGATCGCGAATATATCCCGGTGAAACGTTGACTTTGTTTACAGTTTATAGAAGGCGTGAATACAGTCATGTTCGAATTCATAATAGGGCTCCATATGGAGCCTATCGTCATGAAAGGGTTAATAGGTTTACAATATTACCCTTTTCACAGATGTATCGATAGGCAGTTGAACAACCGCGATCCTTCCAATATCCACCGCTTAACACAACGCTTGCACAGGTGCCAGGCTCATTCGGGCCCATAGCAGACCAGCTGGAAGCGAATTAAAAGAATATCAAATTGTAGCGTTTCCACTTGTTTGATTCCACTTCTTTAAAATGTAAGTTTATCTCACGAGCTAGGCTCTAATCATCAGGATTAATCTAAGTCTGTGTTGCGGCGCAAGTATATAATATGTTGCATAATATTTGATAAGTTTTCCCCCTAGGTATCATGAAAAAGAACAATGAGCCAATGCGTTGCAAATTACATGCTCACACGATTTCATCAAAATCAGCCGCGTCTGCCCGTTGCTAGTGCACCGCAGGAGTTCGACTTCAATAAACAGCGGTATCTTTTAAAAGGATTATTTGAGTGTATGTGCGCTATTTTTGTTGAAAACACACGAGCATGTAATTTGCACTGCATGGCTTATTGCTCTTTTAGTGGTGCCTGGAGAGAAACCTCGTTAAAATATTACGCAATTCACTAGCACCGCGAGCATACAAAACTACAGTTTCAGAGTGATTAAGAGTACTTCAATACTTAGAGAAAGCAATGTTTCGAGATTAAAAGTCCTGGTTAAAAGTATCTTGAATTACTCACTCTGAATAATATGACTGACCGGGTACCGGGTTGCCAATTGTCCCGTCCACCCAGTAGAAGTTCGAGAGGCTTGATCCCATGTAGAGTCCTATGAGATGGTCATAAAAACTACTCACGCTGAAAATATTAGTACCAGCACACCGGAATAGCCTGACAACGGTAAAGTCAGGTATACCGTTGTCACATATGGCGGACATAATCGTCGCTTCAATTAGATTTTCATGAACTGTATGTTTAATAGAGCACCTAGACTAAATTCCTTTGGAACAACAATCAAGCAAAGTGTCTTAATATTCATTACACAGTTACATATGTAATAATGTTTTACCATCGAAATGAAGTCTTTAATTTAAGGGATCAAAATGAGATACGGGACAACGGCCACTGTAATTATTACCATATGCCATTGTCTTTTTAAATTACTCAAATTCAGATTCTGTTTTGTTGTCATTGACGATATCGGAGACGCTATATTGTGGCAATTCACGACCCAATAGTATAGTTTCCATATAGCTTTTGAAATCTCGCTAAATCTCGTTTTTCGTGAGATTTTAAGAGACTTGCATATTAGACCTCTAATGACTTACATTACCTTCTTTTAAATGGTATATTTGAATTCAGTGGAATGTTTTCTCCTAAAATAGCTTTGATTTACACAGTTATGTAATTTGAATAATTTTCTATGACAATTTAAAAAAAGTTGGGCCAAATGTCCATAGATGCAATGCTAAAATTCTTTAAAACCGTGGATTATTTGTATGTCAATCTACATTAGCATGTTTAATCACAACGTGTTCATAAACAGGGTCATCATGTGGTATATCATTCAAGTTTTATACAGATTCAACAAACACACTTTGATAAATCATGAAATTAAGCCACTTTTCCAAGATTTTAGCATGTAAGTGAATGGAGCTCTAACCAGAGTTAAAAGCTGAATAAAAGATGGCAGCACGAGATTTCATTGATTTTTCTGCTAATTAGAAACTATCCTATTTGATAGAAATTGAGATTTCATATGAAACATCATCACAATAGCTTAATACGTGCACAGGATTAGTGACGATAAAATCCCATGAAATGAAGTGATTGACGGTTATGTCCGTCATTTGTGACAACGGTATCTGACTTTACAGTTGTCAGGCTATTCCGGTGTGACCAGGGGATATTTCGGTTAGTATTTGAAGAATAATTGCAGGGTATTTGCAGATACATTAATATCACGTCAATTAAACATAGGTTCGCTAATAGCTATATCTATATCTATGTTAAAGAATGTGGGATCGATCGTGGACAAAAAGCTGACATCATTATTTGTGATCTCTTCTGAACCTGCTTTGAACAGAATAGCAAGATAATAAAATATAAAACTAAACAAGCAAAGTTATAATTCACCAATATAAAGCAAATTATGGGGTTATGAATAGATCATGATCTACAAATGTGATTTCTAGAGTAACACGAAATAACATAAAGGCACACGAAGCACTTATATGTTAGCTCTTTGGTAAAATATAATTTTCTGGATCATTCTGAACAATAGAACAACACATTTACAATGCAAACTCCGAATAACACAATACAATGACGTAAAAATATGAACTTAAATCAAGACGCAGAAGACCCAAAGGTGATCCAATTCTCACCTTGTGATGGCAACCATTTGTTTTAGAAGCAAGTATCTCTCTCAACAATAGAAATATCAATCTTATGACCCAAACAATTACTGCAGGTGAAACATCTGAATTATATGATTACTTAATACGAAATGTCATAATGATTTCTATAATCAGAATATATAAAACATGTGTATCAGAAGTCATGATATATGTTACTTTAAAAACACTATTATAAAGACAGTAGTTTTACAATAAGGTTTTACTCACTGTCCATCTATAAAGGCCATCTCTGCCGAGTCTCCTATACTGACTAAGTTGGCATCTTGATTAACACATATAGCTTGGGCGGAGTCTCTCTTTTGAAGATCATTGCTGACGACCAAGTATTGGTGCCCAGTATTTGGATCAGTCACCCAACCATTGCATATCTTCATGGAAAACGTACCTTTTAAAATAAAAGGATGGTGTTCTATAATACTAAATGTGAGAAGAAATAATCTTGATTTACGTCATTAAATATTCAAAAGGTCTATGTTTTAGACAGTCATTTTTAACCATGAGTACTTTCTGGGCATAAATAAAGTGTTTTCTTTATCAAAACAATATGTTTTCTTTCAAGTGAAGTACCCATAATGATAAAAATATCAATCGAACAATTCAAAAAATTATGGATAGGGACCCCCTGTCAACATTTTTTTCAAAATGTTGAAAAAATTTTCAAAAGAGGATCTTTTTCTGTTTTTTATTGCATGAAAAGATTATTCAACAAGGGGTCTAAAACTTCTTCAAAAGTAGAATGGTATTGAAAGTCTAGTTTTGAAGATATCCATTTTTTATGACCAAAATTATGCTTAAAACAATGGATAGCACGAGTTTTCCCTATGAAAAAATAACATGGGAAATATGGTTTTTAACTTTAACGCATTTCAATACGCATCGGAAATATGCTTTTCAGAAATTGTTAATGTAGTGTTGAAGAAACTTTTGATATGTTTAAATTGAGAAAAATAAGATCGTCTTTTTGGAAAATGAGCCTAACATCAGAGATTTTGATTAATAGTTTACTTTCATGGGGACTCTACTTGAAAGAAAATATAATTGCTTTAATAAAAACCGCTGTATTGATGGCCAGAAAGTACCCATGTTGAAAGATATGACCATCTAAAATCACTAGCCATACTGCACACGGACCTTTAGTTAAGGAAAGCATCAAAAGTTCGATGTCGGATCAAAAACTATATATTTAGCAGTTATGTCCCTATCATTGAATATATGCCTGAGGTCTGTCACCAATATAGCCCGAGCTTGCGAGGGTTATATTACGACAGACCGAAGGCATATATTCAATGATACGGACATAACTGTTGTATTACATACTTTTATATCATGGCTACGTTATATCAATGACGCCACGTGTCTGTGTGCGAGTGAAATTAGGAATAAATGAAACATGACGTCCCGATGACGTCATAAGATTGTCATGGTAAAAGGTTTGGCGGCTATACAGGAATATATAGCCGACCTTCAGCTCCATTGACTTCAATACAAATGCTTCGCTGGGTATGTAATACATATATATATATATAGTTAGGGGGGAGGGGGTTCAAAGCCATTTCAGTTTGCTATCCGACAAATCTCAAAATTCCATTTTTTTTAGGATAGGAATTAACAAAAACTAGAAAGTTTTCAAATTCTCAAACCGGAAGTCAGCGATCAACTTTCATGGTAATTAGTTTGCTTTTTTTTGGGGGGGGGGTCAGATTTATTTAGTTTTCTGTTCCGACATCGAACGTTTGATGCCTCCCCTTAAAAGGGATATCATATTTGAAATGTAAAATTACATCTAGAAATGTGTTTTTGAAAAGTGTTTATCAACTTTGGAAATTTAATCTTCTTTGAAAATGTAACTTCTAGGTCGGGGAGATTCACCATAGACCCCATTTTACAAAGTCACAAAAGGTGAAATATCTTTTCTTGTGTTGAGCAGATAATATTTTCTTTAACTGGACATATTTTCGTTTTTATAATTATCAGACACATAAGGGTTATATGAAAATGTTTATATACCTGCCATGTTAATTAACCCAAACCAGTCACCTGGTGGTGAAACTGGTAACTACCTACTCGCATCTGGGTAATTAATTCCCTGGAATGTCTTTATGGTAGTGCATAAAATATAAACACGCAAGGTGTAAATTTCGCATAACAATCTATGCATTTGAAGTGACTACCAAGAATAGAAAATAGTGGAAAGTACGTTTCGAAACTTGTTACAAATTGACAACAAATCCCTAGTTTTTCAATAAAGTTAGGTTAACCAAAGAGTTTTTCAAAATCTTTGGTTAACGCCACATTGTGGAAAAGATGGTGGCTGTCAATTTATAATTAAACGCTGCAGCGTTGTACTTGGAACATCACGAACGTATTACAAGGTAATGCCGGAAAACTACAAAACGTTTTTACTGAATAGAATTTCACCTCCTGTTTTCCGAAAGAAAATACTCTTGACGTGTACAGACCTGGGAACAATTCGAGAAATACGGGAAAATGTCTCATATAAGTGTTAGTCCCCGCGTTATCAATAAAACTAACCATGTGTTTCATGTTTTTTGTGTTTTAAAGTACTCTTCATGCGCATTTTAGTGATACTAATTTTTCTTGAAAAATTTGATCTACCATTTTTAGGATTAAATATATCCCAACATCGCAAAATTTGTTGTAAGACGTAACACTTTACCCCTGCACTGCTAGTTTAAATAGACTAGATGCGAGAAGAAATAATCTTTACTTACGTCATTAAATATTCAAAATTCAGTCAAAGTGATATCATATTTGAAATCTACATGTAAAAGTACATCTAGAAATATGGTTTCGAAAATTGTTTATCAACTTTGAAAATTTAATTTTTTTTGAAAAAGTGACTTCTAGTTCGGGTTGATTCCCCATAGACCCCATTTTACAAAATCACAAAAAGTGAAATAGTTTTTCTTGTATTAGACAGATAACATTTTCATTTACTGGAGAAATCTTAATTTGCATAACTATTAGATACATAATAAGGGTGATATGAAAATCGAACCACTAAAACAGATTTAATTTAAGTTAAAGGGAACTTTCTACTATACCCGCCATGCTATCTGACCCGAACGAGCCACCTAGTGGTGCAACTGGTAACTACCTACTCGCATGTGCGTTATTGGGATACCTTTTTTATTTAGAACACATTTAAATTTTGTGCGAAAATGCGCAGCGCGCACATAAAATGTTACGAGTGACGCCGTTTTTAACATTTTGATCAAGTAGAACGCTCTAAAATCTCTTATAGAATAAAATATATACTTGAGATTTTAGAATCATATAGCATCATTATGAAGATTTTGGTAGAAACAGTAACATTAATGTTCGTTCCGCATACTATTCCAGTATTTACATGTTAATAACGCCAATACGTCAAAAATTGAAACATACCCCAGTATTGAACTTTGGTTCTATATTATTGCGTTTTCGGGTACATTTTATCAATTATTATAAAAATTTGGAAATCTGAAATACTTACATAAAATAATTAATATGTTAGTTATCTTCCAATCAAATGCGACAAACGCAGATTTTTCCATGTTCAGTATTGTCATTAAACAAATGTTTATCTATGTACATTCAGTCAAATCCTTAATGAAACAAAAATCACACATCGAACCGATTTTAAAGTGAGATGCGCAGTAACTAATAGTTACTGTCGTTTATACAATCATGTAGTTCATGGTATCACCCTTTTGTACTCGTATATGATCAATCCATTGTTTATACTTACCTTACGGAACCGATAATCAAGTCACGATCAAAATAATTTTAGTCATATCCTCAATACAAGGCGTTCAATAAGTTTTGATAAAAAGGCTGTAATTTTATATTTCTGATTATCTTTTCAGCTGCGTAATGTTTTGAGGTAGTGTTACAGTTTCAAAAGTCTACATGTTTGAGAAAGTGCAGGTATGGTGGAGATTCAAGTATACATCAAAAATTGACAAATGTCATATGGAGGGGTATGTGATGTTATCTTGCAAGAGCATGAGTATGACAATTTCATTGTCTATGCCACATCTGCCACCCCTTATTCCAATAGCACCTTTGCCCCGTGCACTGACTTTTGCAATGTTTTAACGCTTGGTCCTGAGCTGATTTTGCCCCACTTTGTGAAAGCAATTTTTATTCGGTCAACCATGACGCCATGTCAATAAATGACGTAACATTGCAGAGAGGAGAAATTTGGCTTTCTGGAACATTGAATGAAAAGGATGCAGTCATCACTGCTAGTTTCTTCCAAGAGTCTGTGGTTCTGTGCACTGACTTTTACGATGTTTATAACTTGGTCCCAAGCTAATTTTGGCCAACTTTACAAAAGGAATGATTATTCGCCCAAACATGACCCAATGCCAATGAATGAAATACCATTGGAAGGAGGTGACGCATGGCTTTATGGTACACCAGATTAAAGCAATGATGCTTTCACCAGTTTTATGCTATTCAGAGATAACAGTCTGTTTCAATTTTTTTAATACGCTCTGTATATTACGGATAAGCAAGGATATACTTACGAGGGCCAATCATATTATTTGAATAATGGTCAATAACGTTTTTGAAGTGTTCTAAACGTGCAACATTATAAGTCATTGAATGATTTGAAGTGCAATACAGGATATATTCTGCTCGAGAAATTCTGCATTGGAACGAGACGAAGTCGAGTGTCAATACAGAATATCGAGGCAGAATGTATCCTGTATTGCACTTCAAATCATTCAATAACGTTTTTATCGTGTGATCTTATGTCAGTACATTTTACTTGGGAGATAATCCCTAAAAAATATTCTGTATTGCTACTGAGATTGTCCCCTCAGTACCAATATTTTCTGTATTACTACGGAGAAGAATGGGGACAATCTCAGTAGCAATACAGATTGATACAGTACAAGAACTGACCAATCAAAGGGCTTCATATACGGTAATATCGCATAATGGGACATTGAACCAGGAATTAAACAAGGTTATTCAAACTAGCTCATCAATATTCAAGCCAATCAATAGGGAAGTTCAGTTATTTGAAATAAAACGTGAACCTGAACGTCGATACTCATATGTCATATTGATTTATTTGCGATGTTGAATTCTTGACTAAATTGCCATATTTACTTAACCCTATCAATGCTACAAAAAGCAAAATATCTCATTTTGCTGCTAATTCAAGAGTGAAGACTTTTCATGGTAAATATGGCAATTGAGTCAATATTATATTTGATCAGAGACAAATAAAACATATCTCTGATTGAATGCAGGTTCATACCATCCCAAGTAAATTGTGCACCACACCATACAAAACGTATATGTCTACAAGACAGAATTATGTAAAGAAATTGTTAAGTTTTCCTTTCAATAGAAAATACTTATCACCCTTTATAAAGTATAACAATTTTAATTTATCAAGGTTTATATCAAGTACATGCATAAAAAGTCTGTTTAAACAATAAAAATTCAACAAGAATTGCTTGCTGCCCGTAGCCAGCTTTTACCAGGAGGGGGAGCTTTTTCCTAGGGGGGAGCTTTTTTACAATTTTGGCTAAAAAGCTAAAAAATTCTCAGAATGGTGAAAAACTGCATGATTTTGAAAGAATTTCTGGCCAGGGGGGGGAGCTTCCGCTCCCTCAGCTCCCTAAACTGGCTACGGGCCTGAATTGTACGTACAATTTTCTTTTCAACTTCTCCATTGATTTATTAGATAAATTGAAACAAACATTTGAATTTTTAGGTAGGCTTGGTACAAGTCCCCGAGTTGGCAACACACGCCTTGAGGTTATTATCCCATTCCAATCGTTCTCCAGTGATGGGATCTTTTACGGGGCAGTCCATGACCCGCATTCCAGTGTCTGAACAGGATATGTACTGGTTACAGGATTCACATGATTGGTACAAGCCGCTGGGCATGTCATCGCAGGAACGAATACCCCCACCGGTGGGGCAACAGGAATTTTCATTACATGAACGCGTCTGTAAACATAACATATATCATCAATACGGTCAATGACATTTCTGATGGTGACATTATAATAAAATCGTACACCTTTCGATCTTCACAGTTCCAAGCCTTTTGTAAGTGTCATTATAACAGAAAATATAGATTTACCCAATGTAGAACAAGACAAACGTTTTTTTGGATCTGTGATCCAATAAACCTCAAGTACGTATTTACTACTAGTAATCCAAAAAATCAGTCTGTAGGTCTGATCTATTCGCCAATTCTGATAGGGATAACATTTTTGGATGACTGCTGAAGCGCGTATTTATCTTGACCAGCCTATACGCATGATCATCTGATACGTCCTACACATGTACATGTACATTGAATTATTAAAGTAACATATGCATATGTGCGGTAGGTGCGGTTAATCTACAAACAATCGATAATTAATCGGATATTGATGAACAAGCAATAACACCAAATCAGTATGTGAAGGAAAAAAGAAAATGCATTAGCTGACATCTTTTGAAATAAGTGAGATCTTTGTGTTCATTTTATCCAAGTGAAGACACTCAATTAATGTACTGTATTAAAGCAATGTTTATGCTAGAACTAGCTAGACGATGACAAAGTGTGATACACCAATTGCGGTCGTCACCACACTCGCTCGTGCAGATACAGACTCAATCATGATTCAAAATCCAGCCCTAAAGAGGGATCCGAGTGTCTCATGTTTTAGAACATTTGTTCAAATCAAGAGTGCTTGTTGACACCTGAGGACTGCAAAATGTATGCAAACACATAGATTGGATAGATACAATGCAGTGTTTTAATGCTAGAAGGACATTGTTTTGAGTATCTTTATTGAACTTTATCTCAAATTACTAGTAAATATAGGATTTCACAGTTGGATTTAGTTTTCAGATTTTCAATTTAAATTAAAGCGTCTAATGAGTCCTGGACCAAGTGCCTCTACCATGGGGTAGTAAAAGTGTGATTATATAATTTTCTGTCAATCAATCGTCCCTGCGGTGTATAGGCATATAAATTATATAAATTGTGTGAAAATGTCAGGTGATTTCCTTTACTTAAGAAAAAAAGACAGCATTTTTATCAGAACTTATGGATCGGCCTATGTACGAGGGGTGATCCAAAAGTTTTGGACGCCCCGCTCTAACTTTGCTATTTTCTAATATAATTACATGAAACTTTCAGATAATAAAGATCAACATCTTAACAACTTTGTGTATAAGTTTCAAAAGTTTTGTTATCTCATTTTAAACAAATATGCGTCTGTCACATACATAGAATTTGATAGTTTTAATGTACGTATTAGTCTGAAGCACCCACGGGTAGTTAGTCAACAATCGTCATCAAATGATTATTAAAATACTAGCAATACAGCTTTTGTATCTTATTTACCTCAATCGAAGGTCCTTCACAGTCTTTGCCCCCGTTTGCTGGTTCTGGATTATTGCATAACCGTGTTCGGTTTTGTGTTCCTCCTCCGCACGTTTTGGAACATTCTCCAAAATCTGACCAAGGTCCATAACCACCGTCCACAGGGCATGGACTGGTACTACATTCTCTCGTTTCCGATGTTGGACCCTCACAGGGTTTACCTCCATTTTCAGGTCCAATGCAGACTCGTGTGCGGGTCTGTATTCCCCCACCGCATGATACGGAACACACGGAATAGTTAGACCAAGATCCAAACCTTCCATCAACAGGACAAAGTGGGTTGTCGGGACAATTTCTAACTTCTGTTGATGATCCTGAGCAATCGGATCCACCATTTCTGGGTGGAGGGTTGTTGCAGTAGCGGTTTCTGGATTGGGTCCCCTCACCACACGATGTAGTACATGCCGAGAAGTTACCATAGGAACCCCAAACTCCATTAACTACAAGCAGTAGGGTCAATGATGATAAATGAAACAAACTGTCACAATGATCTTATACACCAATCTCGATAAGACTCTCGAATGAACGAGTAGGCCTAGTACGTAGCCCGGTACGTAGTAGATTACATTACGTAAAAGTGTTTTAACCTAGTATGATATGTAGTCACATCTGATGTGCAAAGAAGGATAGATCAAAAGGTCTTATAAAAACACAAAAGAACGTAATCAATCATGAGGAAAAAGAAAACAGATCCCCAATATCCCAAAGTATGATCCAATGCACAAAGAGACAATGTCTAACAATCCAGCCTCTCCCAAAAGCCTACACATTCATTCCAGGATTCATTATCACAATCCAAATCAACAAAACTATGGAACTTTTGTTGAGTACTCGTTGGAGAACATTATTAATAAATTAAAAAAGTGCATTCAGTCTCAATTGATATTTGACAGACAAAATCCAATATAATCAACATATTAAACATAATGCCAAAACAATATTATTATTAGCAACGTATAAGCTCGTGTTCTTGATTAGGCTAGCATTCGCAAATTCAACTGCCGGCTGTCGGCTGACGACTCGACTGCCATCCCATGGCCAACTCATTTAAACATGAATATGAATAGTAGCAGCCTATGGCTTCGGGAATAGTACTTTTTAGAGGATATTCCATCGGGGAAATAATTTACACTATTGCCCTCAATGGCAGTCACTATTTGTATACTATTCATATTTAAATGAGTTGGCCACAAAATAGAAATCAAATCGCAGTCAAATCGTCAGCCATCAGCCAGCAGTTGAATTCGCGAATGCTAGGTCTTTTCTTTATCCTGGATCGAGGGGATAGAATATAATACACTCACCTGTAAATGAAAATGATCTCTGCTCACTTTCATTCGGCCTGAACCAGCAGTCACACGCATTTTCATTGGTAAGACCACGTGGCCGATCGGTGATAGTAACCTGGAGAGAAGGAGGTGGTCGTGCAGTTGTAATAGGTAAGTTACGAGGAATGTTAATATACAGGGTGTCTCAAAAAAATGTACCCAAAAGTATATCAAGAGCACAGATAAACCAATCAATATTTTCAGACATTTTTTGCATGGTCATGTAGCCAAAACATGAAAGTTTTCTCCCCAATACACCATTTTTATTTCAGTCTTGTCTTTTTGATGCTTTAACCCTTGACCTTTTACACCACATAATCGATGTACCCTCTTATTTCGATGACAGCCTGTATCCTTACTGCTACATTGTTCATCACATTTGATAATAATTCTGGTAGAATGTTTTAGATTTCTCTTTGGATGTTGCCCTTAAGTTGTTCTAGGTCTTTTTGCTTGGAATGAACATTAAAACACTTCTTCAAATAGCCACAGAGAAAGATGTTTGAGGATGACGATGGCAGAACAAACACAGATAATCAGGGCAATTATCGTCAAATGATTCAGGAGTTACCTTCCAGAGTTAGACAGGCTAGCCTGGAGACCAAATCATATCCAAATGAAAACACAGTGGTCTCAAATTGGTACACAAACAAAAGCTACATTGGAATCCCAAGCAATGTAGTTTCTTGAACCTCTGACCTCTCTGTATAGGGGGGCTATAAGACATCGTGAGGGCCTCCCTATTCACCATATTTGACGGCCCATACTTTTTTCTCTGAGGCTATTTGAAGGACCATTTTTATGCTAAACCCAAGCTAAGAGACCTAGAACAACTTAAGACCAGCATCCGAACAGAAATCAAAACATTCCACCAGATATATCAAATGTGATGAACAATGTAGTAGTAAGGATGCAGACTGTCATCGAAATACGAGGTTACATTGAATATGTGGTGTAAAAGGTTATGGGTTAAAGTATCAAAACGGCAAAACTGAATTAAAAACTGTGTATAGGGGAAAAAACTTTCATCTTTTATCTACAAGACCATGCAAAAAATGTCTGAAAATATTGATTGGTTTCTCTATGGTGTTGATATACTTTTGGGTACATTTTTTTGAGACACCCTATATGTACTCATTTTTGTGGTGACATATTGTTATGGTTTCTTACGTTTTCGTGGACGATGTTCGGCATTCGGTGTCTGTTACAAATGGCAGGTGGAGACATTTTGCATGTTAAAGCCTTGCATCGATTTGAATTGAATATGTTATACATGTATGTCTTCGCTAATTACAAATAATAACGTCAATTTACTTTTGCGAGTTTCCAATCTGGACCAAAACCACAATCGTTCGGATTCATGTATATATCGGCTTGATGTATCGCTCCATAATCTTCATAGATGAACGTATCGGCCTTGCTGCAAATACAGGAATCATTATTTAGACGCAGATGTTCCATATGTATTATCTGAGACCATCTATGTTAGTCTCAGGTATTATGTATGAAGCAAAACTGATCCTGAAAAGTGATACAGGAACGAACATTTCCGGGTCTTTTCACAATTGATCTGAGTGGTACATGGTCAACTCGGACCCTAGTTAACTCGGACACTAGTCAACTCGGACCCTAGTCAACTCAGACACTAGTCAACTCGGACCCTAGTTAACTTGGACCCTAGTGAACTCGGACCCTAGTTAACTCGGACCCTAGATTACAACTCTAGATTATAAGTTCCCAGTTGTGGGTTGAACCATGATATTTGGCAAATCAATGTACCTTTGGATAAGCTTTAAAATGATATACATGTATGACACATTCTATGGAGACATTGGTAATGGTATATGTCTGCCTGAGGGCATACTTTCGCGACACCCTGTAATACCTGTATATCCAATTTTCACACGATTCGAAAAATCATGTCAATGTACACATTACAGCGTGTAATGCCTTGGTCACATTTGCTCCGATTTTCACTACGGCGCCCGGCCGATTGAGTATTTTGTTCAAAATTGAATACAATATTGAACAAAACACTCAATCGGCCGGGCGCCGGTCGATGGATCGGAGCAAATGTGACCAAGGCATTAATGTCGATATAATGCTCCATATGAATTATCAATTCTTACTCGTTTATTTGAAAATTTCCATCTAATCGGCGCCTGTAAAGTGTACCAAGATGACCATAAAGAGAGATATAAATTTTACAATCTGTACCGGCAAAGAATTCGTCAGCTGTGTGGATATTGACATGGTAGACGTATGACGTCACTCCACCTGTGAAAGTAAAGGATAAAAGAAATATGTTTCAATATGTAATTAGTTCATTTTGAAAATGTATAATGTAAGCGTTAAGAGCAAAATATTGGAGGTGAATTTTTTTGGAAAAATCAAATTGAGAATATTTTTTTCTTGTCTTAAAATAGTACATGTAGTTATAATATCAAATATCTACAAAAATCTGCACAGATTTCCAAAAGAAAATGTACGATTAGTTTGGAATCGTGTTACGGTAAAAATACATATAATATTGTAGATTGTACAATTATTCTTGAGTTATTGTAATATCATGGTATTGTCACTATTTTTAAAGTGATACAAAGGGTTACCAATGCAACTTACCCACAGCAATTGCTAATAATACCAGAATTGCATTTATAAACGCCATATTGGAAAGTTGTTGTTGAAAATGTTGAATCAACACATGGCCAAGTTTAAGTACTCTATAGACTGATAAGAATAACATTAATCATTCTTTTTTGCATATTTTTGATATGTGCCCCCTCTTATTTTTTAAATTTGCAAAAAGACTGTATCGGTATAACTTCATTAATCATGCTTTTGAGTCAAGTTGAGAAGTTGATATTAAAAAGATTTCATAACTTTTATTATGCCGAGAATTTATTCACTATGGCGTTGTTTTTCAAAAATGTTATAACTAAATTTGTCTATTATCATGTCTTATCATTTAGGACCCAAATTGCAAAAAATAATAAGATGATTATTTGGTTTTCGTTGTTTTATTGTATCTCTTTAGTCTTATAAAACTACAAAATCATTGCTCCCATTTGCTTCTTCTAGGAAATCACATCTCAATCTCATCCTTATTGTTGTGCTATTTTTTCGTTGAAACAGCTCCAAAGATGGAATGAATGGGCGTATGTATTTCATAGGAAAGCATCTCACATATTTAATGTTTAGTAATAGCTTCATGATACAGGAGTCGTTCAAAATATTCTGCGGGAAATATTTTCAAACAATCGTGTTGTCCAGCTGCATGTTTTCTACAATACAGAAATCAAGACCGCGATATACCTATTAAAACAAAGGTAAAAATATAAACCCAGAATATATAAAACAAACTGCAATGATATGAAGCTGGACACATAATGGGAATGGAACATATAGGGATACTGTTCGCAACTGATGACGCAAGGTTGAAAGCACACCAAACAACACGTTTAGCTTTTCTCACACTAGTAACATGAAACGAGGACCTTTGGATCAAACCCTTCGAAAATGAACAAAAGTACTGTAGGTCCACAATCATTTTGTAATAAGATCAACGCTACAAAATCTGTCTGAGTTGTAAATGTACTTATTTTGAGTCATTGTTTCATTATTTTTTTGTTTCAAAGGGCATAAAAGTGCAATGTGTTTAAAACGTTCATGAATACTTAAAACGTTTTATTTTTTCTTAAAAACACTTAACAATTATATATTCAGGAATGTCTGGCGGATGACTAGTGTGTCGATCAACGTTTATGGAACAATTTAAAAGAATTAAAAATAATGCTCCAAAGGATTGGTATCGATATGGTGAACTTTTTAAACACATGCTTCTCTTAAACCAGTCATAGAAAAATTCTGAAAATTTTACACATCGTCAGTGGTCATCTATTAAATGGTAACAATATAATTAATTTGAAAAATAAATATTTTTTTCTCTTTATTGTTTTAGAAACCACACCAGGCACCACCTTTGGTCTTGGTATCATATGTTTGGAATAAATATATCCGAACCTCATTGGAACAAAATGTCATAAACACAACGTGTTTAGGTCTCTCAATATTGTAATTGTACAAAGGAATTTTTTAAATCTATTTTGGGGGTTTGTTTTAATTTTTTTAATACTTTTTCAACCAAAATCAACCAAAAGGAGTGGTATCGATAAGGTGAACTTTTTGAACACACGTTTCTCTTAAACCAGCCATAAAATAATCTAAAAAATTAACACATCGTCAATTTATATTGGGGGGATTTTGTTTTAATTTTTTGAATACTTTTTAAAATCAACCAAAGATTCCTTTGTATAACTATAATATTGAGAGCCCTAAAACATGTTGTATATGCTATTTTGTTCCAACAAGGTTCGGAAAGACATTTTATTTCATTCTCAAGAATTGGTAGAAGGGAGCAAAAACAATTGCAAAACAAAAACAGATTTTTTTCAATGATTGGTTTAAGAGAAAAACATTTTTGAATTCAGTTCACCTTATCGATACCTATCCTATCCTTTGTATAACTATAATATTGAGAGGTCTTATAAGAAAATGTTGTATATGCTATTCTGTTCCAACAAGGTTCGGAAAGATATTTTATTTCGGCATTCTCAAGAATTGGTAGAAAGGAACAAAAAACAATTGCACTTAAAATGTTAACAAAAACAGTTATATAAGATATATATAAATAAAATTCGCATTTAATTGTTGTCAGTAAGTCAACATTACATAAAGGACCGTGTTTTTTAAACAATGTTTTCAATAATTGGTTTAAGATAAAAACATTGTTGAATTCAGTTCACCATATCGATACCAATCCTTTGAATTGTACAGAAAGAAGACCCAAAACCAAAAATCAGAGCCGCGCAAAATTGTATCAGTTTCTCAATATCTATGGAATCAACCAACTGCTGGAATTTTTTACTTACACACAGAGTTTGTCATTAAATCATTAATTTACTACTTACATGAAACTTGTTTTACACATTACAAAAAAGGTTCAGGACGACGATGAAATATAGCGTATATGCTTCTATTGGACAAAGATGATGCTCTTTACAACGAGTACCATATGTGACGTATTTATCCTATTAATTAAGGAGTGCAGCTTCTGTGAAAGTGTTCGACAAGTGTTACCAAATGTTACAAGTTTGAAAAACATGCGGTCCATAGTGACCTCCACATAAGGGTTACCTCTTAAATGACAGACAATGAAAAGATCAGACAAGATATTGTTATTTTTGTGGTGGATTCGGGTTTTGCTGTCCAATATTTTGTATCCTCCAAACATTAAGATGTCATCAATGCACATAAATGATTTCAAACAATTATTTTCAGAAATGAGACTAATTAAATTAAGTATTTAAATGATTGTTATATAAAATCTCAATTTTATCGAATTTTTTAGTAAATTAAATATGTTGAGCATGTGTTGGAGGATACAAAACATATGGACATTATAAAACGTGTTATTTTTTAATGAGTACTACATATCTACAACCCCTTTTGAGAGATGGTCGGAAACATAATTTATTAACCAGTTAGAAATTATCGACGTACTTGATGCATATTCTGCTATGTTGTTGTCCGAGTCTCCATAGCAAAATTTGATTTTTTTGTCAAAAATCACAATTCAAGCTATTTTTAAGAAGCAATATGTTTAATATATATATCGCATGGTCATGGTAAACAGTTGTGTTGACATCACGATAGCACATATATAATGTCGTTTATATCAATACACTTGGCGCAGGATGTGGTGGACCTAGAATAGCAGAATTCATGGCCGGATTTCAAAAATATCAATTATCGTAAATTTGCCCTTATGTACGAAATATAAGAGAAGATAATATTTATTTAACGTCGGTTTTCATGTACAGGCAACATATTAGCGCAAGCGCTATTCTCCGACTAGTGTATAATAAAATATATGGTAAAAAGTGTAACAGATATTAAAAATACATGCATACAATAATTTGACAGAGACATCTATAAGACTTTATGACTAGAATAAAATTGATACACAGTAAAGACTGGCTAAATGACTGAGACATCTAGTGACTATAGTTTATAAAAATTGAGTGAATAGAAATTATTTGCAACTGCACATAGCACATTTACAATCCTGACCCTCCAAATGGGAGATTAAACGTTTGAACTCTCCCAGGGAAATAGCCAATCTGCATTTATTGGAGAGGCTGTTCCAAATGAAAGCAGCATCCACTCTGAGTGTTTCCATAGCGAGAACTACGGTATGGAGGGACATTGATTGTTTTGGTTGATCTTAAGGAGTATCCATGAGTGTTAGTTTGAAATAAATCTGACAAGTAAGATGGACACGTGCCTTTAATGATTTCACGAGGTTTCAATTGCGATTTGTCGCATTCGACTGAATGTCAGAGTGGGGCCTCAGATTTAACAAGTAGTTCTTCATAGCTAGACTTGTAATCATTATGAACAAATCTGAGACATCGTTTCATTTTGCCTGAATTGAGTTTACCACAGTGATGTCATATGGTTGGGCAATAATTGAAGCAGGACAGGATAAATGCCTTGAAGATGACCATTCGGGTATTTACATCCAGGTGTTTAGAGATTCTCTTAACCCCGGGGGGTTCACTTCAAATAACAGCCTGTCTTGCTACTTTGAGACATAGGCCTATATCTTTGACATGTACGTTAAAATTAAGTTGATTATCAATGGTAATAATACCTTGAATGTTAACATTATCTTCAGTTTTGATAGTTTTACCACTAAAAGTCAGTTCAGAGGGTGCACCAGTTTTACAAGGCTTTAAAAACATACACTGAAACTTTTCAGGGTTTGCTACCATTTTGTTCGAGTTAAACTAGCCTATGTGACAGCTTGCATCAGTTTGGCCTTCACTTGGTCCATGGTTTCACCCGCAAAACATATAGACCAGTATTGTCGTCAGCATAGTTATAGATACTCATATCTTTCATTACTCGAGATATGGGAAGTTGCCTACACTTCTTTTGAAAGCCCATGAATATGGAAAGTTTCAATCTTTCCAAATAGCTATAGTAAAATGCAATTTGTGCTAGGAATAAATTTAAAACTCCCGGCAAAATTTACAAGTTTACGTCATATTAGTTCTTAGCCAATCAGCTTTAGAGATGCTTGCGTTCATAGGCAGCATGTTGCGCTAATCTACAGCAGTGAGAACAAAAGCAAACTGCATGTGAGTCCAGTGGCGAAAGGACACCAACAATTTACCATCTTTTTACCATCTTGAATCATGTCCGACTCCGAGAAACAACAGGAGGAGAAGCCAGAAGTTGCCGAGAAGAAAGTGCTAGGTTAGTTTTTCTATTTTACTCGAGTTTTTAGGAGTTATCAAAGTTTTAGTGGAGAGAAAAAAGTAGGTCAAATAAAAAAAATGGCGGCCAACATGTGAATCACAAACTATTCCTCACTTTACGTGAACTTTTATGTTAATATTGAGGCATTGATGCCAAAGGTTTATCTTTTTTCTAATACTTGGGATATTTTTCGATTTAAAAATTGTATCTTACTCTCACTTGATATCATATGTGTTTCAGCAAACAAAGTTACCGGCACAGTAAAATGGTTCAACGTCAAAAGCGGATATGGCTTCATCAATAGGTATGTTCTGCACCCCAAAATAGCTCGATGAGCAATGCTTTAACTCTTGTGTAACTCACTGAACGCTTCTTTTTAAACAAAATGGCATATTGCTGGGTGGATGCATTCATGAATAACATCATAGCCTTTTTAAATTGTTTCCGAACAAAACAAAAGTGAAATTGTCTTGACTTGGTGAGATGGACAGGAATCAAGCTGCAAGTACAGTTGATGATGAATAGTTCATTTTGCCTATTACAGCAACTGCAGTGTTTGGTTTATACCTCCTGCAATTCTCACAGTAAATGTATACAGTGCTCGGCATAATTATAATAATTGATGTGAGAGTTCCTTCCAAAACAGATTCGCCTATAGATGCCTAAGACTCGAGGATAGAATACGTTTATTCGGCCATTTTTTAGGAACCATTTTTGTTCCATTGAAATACAAATTCCATGGAAGGAAAAAAAGACGAGAAAAAACATGGCACACATGGTTCAGGGGTTTCATTAGCAGCAGGCAACACAAAATCGCCATACTTTTCCATTTTGAATTTATGATTTCTGTTAATTCCATCCGCTCCCCTTTCCGTCCCATTTTGATAATTTTCGATTCTTTTTTATGTGCCGTTTGGAAACTATTTTATTGTCAGAAATGGCATTAATTTAGTTACAGCGTCACTTTCAAGTATATATTACTGGTCACGTATACCATTGTTGCTTGATTTATAGCAAAACATTGACTTTTGCGCGTTGGTGGCCTTGCACCTTTTTTAATAGATCTCAAATCTTTGAAGTGTATCAGTTCAGAAAAAATCGTAGAACAACCCAACACATTTTACCCTGCCGTGCACCTGTTTATTCAGGAATTCATTAGTAAACTTTTTTCTTGAAAAAATTAATCTTCCAGAATTTTCGGCCCATTTCCCTGATCACCAGGCGTGTTCGAGAGAGTGATAAATTCCCAAATTTTGAACAAGTGGCGGAGGTAATTCCAACACTGTTCTTGAAGGTTATATCTACGGAAAAGATAATTCCTGTTCTGTACCAACCCTATGACAAGTCACATTCACAAATGGCTGTACAAAAGCATTTGTTATCCCAACAAACAAAGTTCGAGGGGGATATAGGAAAGCCATCGGTCTGTTTGTCCGTCTGTCCGGGCAGTAACTCAAATACCGGTTGACTGAAGTGATTCAAATTTTATAGGCTTATGCCTTGTGCCTAGAATTAAATGAACTCTGCCCAAGAAACATTTTCAAGATGGCCATTTAATTTTAATAAAAATGTATTGTTATCATTGATGACTCAAATACCAGTGGATGGATTTGGTTCCAATTTTATATGCTGATGTCTAGGAACAAGGGAGATCTGCTTCAGAAGAAATTTCAAAGGCGACAGCTGAATTTCAAAATTGCCACCATTTTTTATAAAAAATGTAATCTTTGATAACTCAATTACCAGTAGATGTAATGTTTTGTCCAAATTCTTTGATTGAATCTGATCATTAAGCAAGGTTTATATTTTGAAAATTTCTAATGATTATATCATATTTACTATATTTGGTTTAAATGCTACTCCTTGCATCACAATCTTTTTCTTTTATAGTATCATCTATTCACCCTCTCTATCCATACTTTGAATTTTGATCAATACAAAATCAAAAATACAAATATAAAACTGTATGTCAACCTGACTCTTATTGTGATTCTTGTACATGCAAAACATTGAAAATGGTGAATGATCTCAGAAAAGTATTTTCTTTAAATGGATTTCTAATGTAATTCTGTGTTCTTGCTGTTTTTTGTGTTTAAACATTCTGTAATATCCATTAATCAATGTCTAAACTATTGGTTTCATTTTTTCAGAGACGACACAAAAGACGATGTGTTTGTCCATCAGGTAAGTTGAAACACTCCTTTCTTTGTTCAATACTTTATTTATTTTGCATTTACATTAATATGCCCAAAACTTTCATTTTATATCGTAACGAATGAAGTTTTCAGATAAGAATTGTTTGCTCATGTACTACTGACAAATGATTTATGAGCATATGTTTATATATGAAGTAGTATGTAGTAAAGTAGTTCATAGTAGATCTGTTAGTGTATTTAACAGCTGTGAATATCTTCCAATATTTAGTCAATATAGAACATTGTGGTAGATATCTGCTCTTTTTACATTCCACGTTATGAATATATCATATTTTTGTTAGAGCTCTGGCACTAAAGTAGAGTAGTTTCAATAATGACCTTAAATTATCTGAAGCGAATAAAGCTGATCAAGTATTGTGCAAGTGTGTTTGTCATTCAACAGACAGTCCATCCTGAATGTGGAAGGATTTTCTTCATAAGGCCAAACAAAAATATATGTCCGTTTCCGGAACCCCGACCGACCCTAGTTTGAACCCCCGACCCTAAGACATTTTTTAGTACACTGAAAAATAAAATATTCTATCTCTGGCCCTACTCGATTGAAACAATACATTTCCTTCTGAAATGTTTTACTCACATCAGGCCCAGGTGTCCATATTGCTCATACCTTTGAACATTTGCAGTAATATTATCGTTAGGGGCCCCAAAACACTTGAAACACAGGAAATATTGTTTATTTTCTTGAAAAGTTCGCCATTTTTGCTCTTCAAAATAGAGGCCCGCAATCAACTCCCAGAGGGGTCTAGCAATTGCTAGGGAGACATCTATAACACTAAGTACTAACTTGGTTTCGGGTTTCACCCCCTTCAATAAAATTTGCAATTCCCATTTTACCATGCAGATTTGAAATAAGAAAAATAAAATCTTGGGGAGGGAAACCCGAAAACACAACAGCTATTTGCATAAATCAGCCTGACCTTTCACCTAGGAATGTTTATAGTGGGAAATTTGAATTTGAATGTTTAGACCACATGATTGGTCTATTATAGTTTGATCTGATCACATGACTTATCATCATCATTATCAAGTTTAGGAGGGGTGGAGGCTTTATACCCTTTAATGTTCTCCCATCTGATCTATTAAAATTAAAACTGAATTTAGGGAAGGGGACTGATTATTGCTCACTAGTGGCTATTTGTAAAGATCTGAGTACCATGCCTTGTCCAGGAGGGTTTTGAAGTGGGAAACTGACGTGGCATCAATGATACTCTGGGAGAGGGAATTCCAATGTACCAGATGAAAATGTTATGTATATACAAGTTTTCTCTGAATTGTTTGAATTAGAAATATTCTTCTAAGGTCTTCTAAAGCTGATTCTGTTTATTTTTGAGTCAGAAAAATTATATTTTTGAGGCATATGTTAATATGATGACAACTTTGTAACCTCTGCTGATCCAGTGCTAAATATACTGATATTTGATTTCCATGAAGGCCTTTATCCAGAAGTTTCGAATGTTATGGTGGAATAAAATTGATAATAGATCAACAGATCAATAGACTTGTTTATTATTATATAGGCCTATTGTAAAGGAAAACTTTGTCTTATCGCGATAATAACAATTTCAAGCGATAATAACAACTACCTTACTTTGGTATTTAGTTACCTAGAAAAAATCTTACGTAACAATTTTCAATACCAGGTGAGAAAGTTAAGTTCGAACCCTGACCAAGTTGTTTATTTAGTTCAATATCTGAAGGTTTTAAGTAAGTACGGATCAAATGATTATAGATTGCATGATGAATTAAGGTCTCATGGCAGTTAAGAGCAAATGACAAAATGAAGAGATGACAAAAAACATAAGATAAAATATTTTTCTGACTGACCTACCCTAAAAAAAAATGAGTAAAATTTTAATGAAAAATAAAATAATCCTCCTACCTACCTACCCTAATCTGAAAATACATGGAGCAGGAAACAGACATATATTTTTGTTTGGCCTAATGATTGCTGAATGTACATGTTTTTCAAATGGTTTTCACACTTATCTATAATTTGAGAATTATGACATTTATTTGCATTATGTATCTTAATTGTAACATTTATCACATAAGATAATCTAATATGTCTCACATCGACTGACATCATGTGAGGCAAGTATTGGTGATCTTAATGTTTACTTTCACAGGGAAACCTTCTTCATGAACATCTCTATTGAACATCTTAGTCTATAATGATTACAATGATTCTTTCTGTATTGCAATGTGTATTCACTATACACAGGTTTTACTGTAGTTCCTCAACTCTTGTTAGAATCCCAAGGGCATGAGTTGTTGACAAACATACATTTTTCTGATGGTGATTGAACTGATTGTTGTTACAGTTAAAACTTCTATTAATAGTCTGAAAACAATAAAAACTCCATCAATTATACTAACTGTTGAAGTTTCTTCCTGATTGTATGAACATAATGTATTTTTGTTAAATGAGTAATCAGTTTTATTTTGATGTCCACTTTCTATCATCAGAAAGTCCAATATAATCAATACTCACAAGGGGATGAAACAAATGATTTGAATTTTTTTTAATGTTATTTTATTTCAATTAATGTTTTATTTAACAACACAGTAAATTTGTTTCTTTTTACTTCTTGTTCTAGAAAAAAATATTTGGGCCTGTACAGGACTCAATTGGCCTAGAATGTATTAATTCAGCTCAAACCTCTTATATACAGCTCCTAATGTAGTAAGCCTCTCTCGTCTTCATTCTTGGCTGAAAAAGATCTGGTCTCCTAAAAACACAATTGAGAGTAACCCCCTGATTTTTTCGTCTGATTTGATGTATAACAAGTTTGTTTAAATCAACTTATCAATTCTGAGGCTTGAATTGATTCGTTAACAGTATCAATTCGATGATTGTTCCTAGCCATGAATTTACATCAATAGAAATTAAAACTAAAATTTAAAAAGCCCGCTCAAATTTGTTCCAGTCTGATTGGCTTTTTCCTTCAGATTATTTTGGCTTAGAGAAGCCATATTTATTACTTCTAAGAAGTTACAATATAGATAAATCCCCAAAAAAACATTGTATTCTGTTTTCGACTTATTGCGTTCAATTCTGACAGTTGGTTGTTCTTTTGGTTGTCCTGTTGATATCCTCAATATATTGTCAATATCGTGCTTATGATTTGGTCTCAAGATATATCTAAGGTATATATGATGTTTTATGAGCAATTATATTTGGATTTTACTGATTGTCCAGAATAGAAATCTGGACGACTCGATCTCTTTAAACTGAAGAAAATATTTGAACAAAATCACTTTTTGTATTCCAGACCGCCATCGTGAAGAACAACCCTAAGAAATATCTGAGAAGTGTGGGTGATGGCGAGACTGTAGAATTTGACGTTGTTGCCGGTGACAAGGGTGATGAAGCATCAAATGTCACTGGACCCGATGGTGAGCCAGTACAGGGCAGCAAGTACGCGGCTGACCGTCGGCGCTACAGGAGGCGTCGATACTATTCTCGACGCGGGGAGGGCTCCAAAGATGAAGGGAGCGGTGATGGAGAGGCTGTCTCTGGGGAAGAGAAATCTGGGGATGAGGATGGAGAGGGCCGAGGAGGAAGGCGCAGACCATTCTGGCGTCGCCGTCGCTTCAATGGTCCAGGAGGGCGTGGTCGTGGCAGGGGAAGAGGACGTAGAGGTGATGGGGAGAAAGGGGAGGGAGAGGTAATGTAACAATAATGCTATCTACATGACTGACAGTTTTCTAGATTATCAAAATATTTGATATTTTAAATACAAATATAATGGGATGCTTTAGAATAACAAATGTTCAAACTTTTGGAAATTTAAAGGTTATTGACATTCAATTACAAGACTCGTAATGAGGCCCGTATGAGGTTGTACAGGGTCCGTTAACACAACGAGCTCTGTGCAGGTGTGTACGAGGTCCAATGTAATTTGCCTGTGTAGGGAAAACGTTTTCAGCTAATTTTGGTCACCAATAATGGATATCTTCAAAACCCCCGGAGGAATTACTTATTCCTTTATAGGGTTTAATTGTGTGTCAAAACACAACATATTGATGCAACAAAAATTAGAAAAGCAGTGGTGGAAGGGGTTGAAAATAAGGACAACATTTCAGAAAAAACATGTGGGTGGGTTGTGTGCATCTTCCCTGTCTCAAAGTCAAAATTATTTTATCTCTATGATTGCTTTCCCTGGAGATAATGTATTGGCCTAACATATTCACCTGTTTGAATCCTGAGAAAATGGCCAAAGTCCAACATATGTCTGAAATCTGTTGCGATACTTTCCCTCCTCCTTTAAAAGTCTTCGACTTTAACTTTAAAACTGGCCTTAAGGTGATCAATTTGAGTATATCAGAACATGTCCATGTTTTGCTAAACATGAAAAGTATACATGGTCTAGCTTCCATAGTAGGAGAGAGATGGTATAGCAAGTAATATCCCGTTAGATTACTCCAAATGATTCATCTAAGCATTTGAGATATAAGTCATCCATGCTTGTTATATTGTCCCCGTGTGAACTAAAATAAAAAATAATGCTGTATGACCTAAATAAATCATGTCATATTTGCAGGATGATAGTGGTGAGGAGGGTGGTTCAGGCAAGGAGGGTGGAGAGAGGAGAGGAGAGGGCAGTGATCGACGTCCACGTAGGCGATACTACCGTCGCTACTACAGGAAGAGTGGTGGAGAGGAAGGAGATAAAGAGGGTGGTGAGAGCGGAGATGGGGAGGGCAGTGAACCTCGTAAGAGAGACAGACCTTACCGTCGGAGGCGTGGGCGAGGTCGTGGGGGTCGTGGACGTGGTGGACCACGTAACCAAGGTGATCGTGAGGCCGCAGGGGACCAGGGGGATGAAGGAACAGGTGGCGGGGAGCAGGCTGGAGACAGCAAGCCCCCACCACCAGTCGAGAGTGCTGCACCCCCTGCAGCAGCCCCTGATGGCCAAACATCAGTGTAACCAGCAAACACCACATTTACCATCTAGCTAGAACACACACAATATAGCAGAATAGCTGTAAAACAACATCTCTTCAATCAACACTGGACACTAGTATTTGAATGGATAATATTGCTCAATGATGTGCTGTGGGCACAGTATTCAGTTTTCGTTGGTTGAGTTGATGTAAATAATTTTATGAGCAATTAATGATGAACAGTGATATGTTATTACTTTTGTAGAATGTTGTTTTTATTTTAATAACAGCTTTTTCCATCTTTATTATTTAAATGGCTATTATAAGAATTTACAAGATCTATACAACCAGTGTGTATATCCAATGAATGAGTTTAAAGCATGTGCTTTTCAAAAAATAAAGTGCCTTGTTGGCCATTCAACATGATGTTTTCATAGTTTTGCATGCTTATGGAGAAAAAAGTGTTTTATAGCACAATTTGGTGCTATATTGCGATTGCTATGATTTAGGTTTCCACAGGTTCCCACAAACTTCAAACACAAAGTCAAACTTGATTGAGGGATTGATTATACATTTTCAGAAATGTGTGAGAATAAAGAAATGATCGGGTTTGGTTATACTGGAAAATGTTAAGATGGTTATTTTGGATTTACTGTCCTAATCTTGTCTGAAATTTATCCTAATCCTAAAATTGTTGGCAATGAGAGGTTCAGTTCCAGCAAACTGATTGCATTTACATTTTCAGAAATGTTTCTAGATATGACAATCTGATTTGTTTTAGTGCATGATGGTCAGGGTGACCATTTTGGATTTTTCATTTAAATTTTGAGCGTAGTATTTGGTGCATGTAATGTACTGTATATTAATTTGCTCCATGGTTGTAATGTTGTTCCCTATGTCTCCAAAGAAAGCGGTCATATTTGTGTATGACCCCTCATCTATGTGATTAGTTTCTAGTTTAAATTTTTGAAGGGTTATGAATGTCGCCTAGCCTGTAAGCTAATGTGTTTGGGTATTTTAGAGTTGTAAACACCCTTCCAATGCATTTCATTCTTTAGGAAAGCAACCATTCGGTCATTCCCCAATAGTACCCACTGCATCTTGAAAAAAATCTAATTTTTCTATTATGAAAAATGATTTGAATAAAGACCCTTTTTGCTGAGCTAAGGAAACTAGGGTATAAAGTAGGGCAATCTGGATTCTGCAGGATATGTTTGAATGGTGCTCCATTCTGTTCGTATTTTACATGCCCTGTTCAGTTTACCCATCCAATAGTGAGTGAAATTAAAATTTTAATTGTTCCCTTTTCACTGGTGATCCACTCGATTACGCTGGTTACCGAAACTGTTCGTTTTAGTAACAAAATGTCGGAACATGGAAGGTACGATTTTTTTCCTTATTTCACACATTGTAGGCAGAATTCCCACGACATTTATATCACAAACGTCTATCAGTATCATATGTTTAAGAAAATGTACATATTTGCGAACACATAGTTCAGAAGACAAATTTAATTCCTCACTTAAGTTACATATAAACGGTATTTCGAAAAACATTTAAGATCTAACCCAAACCGTTTATGTAACTTAAGTGAGGAATTAAATCGACGATTGTGTTGTCCTCTGAGCTATTTTTTCGCAAACATATACATTTTCTTAAACATATGATACTGATATACGTTAAAGAGAAAAAACGTCGTGGGGATTCTGTCTACAACGCGTGAAGTAATGAAAAAGAAAAATCGTACCTTCGACGTTTCGACATTTTGTTACCAAAACGAACCGTGTCTATGCCACACCTTCTTCCAATAGCCCCTATGCCCTTTGTACTGACTTTTGCAATGTTTGAAACTTGAGTCTGAGCTGAATTTTGCCCCACTTTGCAAAATTAATGATTATTCGGCCAGTCAGGACTCCTTGTGAATGAATGATATTCCATTGCAAAGAGGAGTATTTTGGTACATTGAATGATTGAGTCAGTCAGCATTGGTTTTATGTTTTCTTCCAATATTGCATCGGGCTCCGTACACTGACTTTTGCGATGTTTATAACTTGGTCCCAAGCCAATTCTGGCCCACTTTGCAAATGGAATGATTACTCGCCCTTGGAACCATGACCAAATATCAATGAATGATATATCATTTTAAAGAGGAGACACGTGGCTTTATGGTGCATTGGATGAAATCAATGCTGTTATCACTGGTTTTGTGCTCTTCCGAGATAACAATCTGTTGCGTTTTTTTGATACGCACTGGATGGATATTGACAAAATTGAAAGAGCACAAAGAGCAACAAAATTAGAACCATCATTGAAAGACTTCGTTATGAAGACAGAATGAGACAACTAAGACATCCCTCTTTACTGTATAGAAGAAGAAGGGGTGACCTGATTCAAAAATTCAAGATTGTTAACGGTTACGACCGGATGATCGGACCGGACGAGCCTCGGGTATATCCACCTTCTGTTATGAACAACAACGACATTAGTTATGTCCAATTTCACTGAGGCGGTGTGCGATTTAACACGATCTATAACGTTAACATCATCGTCGTCTGCGAAATCCATACGAATATTACTCACATAAACGGTTTTAGTTGTCTCGAATTTGAGACCTGTGGGAGGTTTAACACGTTTTTTACCAGATTTAGAGTTTGTATCGCTTACGAGGTTGCCAGCTGGTAGAGCCACCGGGTTAACAATTGAGCGTTTGCCAGATTGAACGACCGATTTATATGATAAGGAAACTCCGACCTGGCTCGGTCTGGAAGGGTTGGGGGAATTCACAGCTTGCATTGTTTAGTACCAGATTTTGACCCTGAATCAGGTGTACAAGCAGTTTGTTTACCACCAGTTTTTGACACCGTGTCATGTTTATCAGCCAGATTACTAGTACTAACTGGAGGTTTCCTACAATTGGTGCGCTTCGCTGATTGAGTGGCTAAAGTTTAGCAGATTGCACAGCTGGGGTAACGCTAATTGGCTTAAAAGCAGTACACGTTGGTGATTTCGGCACATTTATGGACAACATATGGTCTAAGATTGTGGACATGTTGTTTACCTCAGCCTCCAACACTTCAATGCGCTTCTTATGAGACAATAGAACTTTATATCACAATCTGACTCCACTTCCACAATTTTAGCGTTCAATTCTTTAACTTAAGCCTCAAGTCGAATGACATTGGACATGTTGGAGAGGTTAAGCGCTTTGCATATATAATCGAAACTGAACCTGTACGTATAAGATTTTTGGCGCTAAATCATGCATGACATACATCATCGTGTTCAGCAAGAATTCAACTGTGCATCGAAATCAAAATTGACAGCATAGTGTTCAATAGACACGAGTAAAATGGTTCCCGTTGACCCAACGTCAAATTTCAAATCTCCCGTTCTAAATCCGAAACTCTGAAGCTGAAAGAGTATCTGAAGTAGACTAAGCGCGCATAAAACTATGAGCGCTCGATACATTCCTTTGTTAATTTTTGTACTTTGCGTTCACGGTTACGTTGTGAAAAACATCGTTAGCTTAACCTCTCCATTATCCCTATTTTCAGACTGAACATGAATTTCTATAGCTGTACGTTTTGCCTTTTTCACATCTTGCCGAGCTTAGAACCGAACGTGAAAAGTCCTCTACATGTTTATTGGCATATAGATATAGAACACAGATGTCTTTACATGATGTCATAGATTTATTGTTAATAATAATATAATAATAGTAAATTGTTCTAGAAAATTATTGTTATTTCCAGCCAGCTGGAGTTCTGTTGTGAAACATTCATTACTAACTAAATTATACAAGAACTAACTTCTAGCTGATAAACATATATGTTACAATAAGCATAATACATTTTAGAATTGGTATTGAACAGTTCTGATTTTACATCAAACACTGATACATTACAAAACGAAGAGAAGCCCTGTAGATGATCAACATTTTTATCATCACTTTCTTGTACTGTCTGAAAGATGATTTCAATGTGAAAAAATATTCTGTTATGTTTTGACAGTCTGGTATTTTTTATTCATTATGACAGCAACACCAGTCATATTTGCATGATAAAAATCCCCTTTACAAGGCTTCTTTTAAAGATTGACTCATCATTTAAACATCATAATTTTGTAAATATACATGATATACACTTTTGATTAACATCATTATATATAGATAATTCATTTGACTGGACGGATTCATCAACATACAAGTGTACATATACAAGGAAGACACAATAAATGTGTATAAATGAATATAAATTGACCACTTTATGACATGTATGAGTGCTGCAATGCAATTCAATGGACGGAATACGTTTTCGAACCATTACTAAATGGTTATTATGGAACATGTCGTTGCATCTTGCTTATTTTATTTTGAACCATGAACATTCATACTACAAGTGTAAAGGGGTTGGTGGTCCTATCAAATTTTGGTCCTACTCTCTATTGATTTATATGGTGACCTAATTACAATTATTTTCCTTATTATTTATACACAGTCAGGGCCAGTAAGGGCCATAAGGAAAGGGGACTATAATCCCCAGGGGACCATAATTTCTTTTACACCGGTATCTTATCAGTTTGATTTTGAAAGCTTCATACCTCCTTGCTTGGTAATCCAAGATGTGACCATTAGAAATATTTAAATCAATAGACAGAAATAAAGTCATAACTCAAAGTAAAGTATCATCAACTGTTATTAAACCACATGTGAGAAATGATCCCAAGACAGCAATTAACTCTCTAGTTGGTAAATATTGTTAAATGGCAACTTAGTATAATGTGCTTAATTTGAGAATATTTTTACAACTGACGAATGCTTATATTTTAGAAAATAATAAATCTGTCAAAAATAAGTTTTTCCTCTCAATACTTTAATAACCATTTAGCTGCTAAATATTTTATTTTCAAAATCATCATCAGGCCCACCTAGTTATTTTAGGAGGAAAATTTCAGCAAAAAATGAAAACATGCCTAAGCAGCTAGAAGGTTAAAAATTCAGTTAACTCCAAAGTTTTCATTGTACATTTTCAGATGTTAATAATATTATTTGTCATGAGTTGATCAATTAAACAGATCCATTCATTTAGTGCAAGTATTCCTTAGATCAGTTCAATGGATCCATTAACTTGATCTTCTATATGGTATAGATCAGTACAGTTGATCCTGAGTTGTGTAAATTTGCTTAAATTATATCCTCTGTATATTATGAATTAATGATGGTTTATGCTGCTTGTATTCCAATCAGATGCTGTTATTGTTCCATTCTCTATGGTTATTAAGATGGCAACATCCAGTTTTGATTGTGGTAGTTTGGTTGAAAAAATTAAGTACTTATATGTTCACACATCTGCTGTAAATGTGTCTCGGTTACAGCTGTAACTGCATTTATATATGCCATACACAACTGCAACATTTGACAGGTTCATAACACACTCCTGTTCTATAGCGCAAGTCAAGCACAGAGTTTTTCCAGATTCTGTTGACAATCCAAAAAGGAACCATGACTGTGAGAAACACTGGAATAAGAAAAAATGAATTGGTTGAAGTCACATACTAAATTGGTGCTAAGTAAGATCAATTACACTGTTCAGTATATACATAGTACATTGTATTTTTGGAGTAATAGTATAGAATTCCCATGGCTGCATCACGCAACCAAATGTTCTTGGAGGATTTCTTGCTCAATTTTGAGAAAATTCAGACTTTCAAGTAAAAATGTAAATAAAATTTAATTGGGAATATGAGTCTTGGAATCACAACAAGGCCTTAAATTTTATAGAGGCCCATTTTTGTCAGATGTTTGGAGGAAGTACATGGTCTCATTTTTCTCTCTTGAAAATCAGTGATTATTTATTTCATATTACAGGGTTGAGGCGCAGCAACTATTCTCCTGTTAGCTTCCATCCTTACTGCAATTTGGTAAGTGTAACCCGAATATGACCTACATGTAACTAGCTGTACACATACCTATTCCAATGACTGAGAAGATACTGAGGGCAAGAGAAAAGAAGTACAGTGTCCCTGTAGTCACGCTCTGAAATGAAAAATCAAGAAAAATCATCACAGGATTCATGAATATTTACACCATTATATTCATACAGCTTGATAATGCATCTGTGAGATAGCTTCATAACCATGAAACTGCATTGCATTCATGAGATATGCACATATTCATATGATACTGCATCGATTGAGCATGATACTGGATTCTCATGATATTTACACCATTGTATTCATACATGCAGAGATAATAATAATGCATTTCATGATACTGATCTCATTTGTGGAGGTGCATATTCTCTGGATATTTACACTTGTATTCATAGAGCATGATATTGAAATCATCAGATATGATACAGGATGATACATGCACTGCTTTCTCTGTATATTTACTTGTACACGTCCATTGTATCCAGCATGATACTGCATTTATGCGGCATATGATGTTGAATTCAAGACATATGATAGGCCTATACTGCATTCATGGGGCATATAATTATAATGAATTCAAGACATATGATAATGCATTCATGGGCATATAATGATAATGAATTCAAGACATATGATACTGCATTCATGGGGCATATGATAATGAATTCAAGACATATGATACTGCATTAATGGGGCATATGATAATGAATTCAAGATATATAATACTGCATTCATAGAGCATATGATGTTGAATTCAAGACATGTGATACTGCATTCATGGGGCATATGATAATGAATTCAAGATATATGATACTGCATTCATGGGGCATATGATGTTGAATTCAAGACATGTGATACTGCATTCATGGGGCATATGATAATGAATTCAAGATATATGATACTGCATTCATGGGGCATATGATGTTGAATTCAAGACATGTGATACTGCATTCATGGGGCATATGATGTTGAATTCAAGACATATGATTCTGCATTCATGGGGCATATAATGATAATGAATTCAAGACATATGATACTGCATTCATTGGGCATATAATGATAGTGAATTCAAGACATATGATTCTGCATCCATGGGGCATATAATGAAGTTGTATTCAAGACATATGATACTGCATTCATGGGGCATATGATGTTGAATTCAATACATATGATACTGCATTCATGGGGCATATAATGATAATGAATTCAAGACATGATACTGCATTCATGGGGCATATGATGTTGAATTCAAGACATATGATACTGCATTCAAAGGGCATCTAATGATAATGAATTCAAGACATATGATACTGCATTCATGGGGCATATGATGTAGAATTCAAGACATATCATACTGCATTAATGGGGCATAAGATGTTGAATTCAAGACATATCATACTTCATTCATGGGGCATATAATGATAATGAATTCAAGACATATGATACTGCATTCATGGGGCATATGATGTTGAATTCAAGACATATGATACTGCATTCATGGGGCATATGATAATGAACTCAAGATATATGATAATTGTACTGCATTCATAGGGCATATGATAAGTAATTCAAGATATATGATACGTGTACTGCATTCATGGGGCAATTACTTCATTCAATGGATATTTACACCATGTATTCTATTCATATGCACATTAGCCTACACGTGACATTTGGCAGTAATGTATGAACAATGAACATTGAATAACTGGATGTAGAAGTCTACTTACACATTCGCCTGCCAGTGAAACAAATATTGTCAGTAGCAACCCGGAAAGATATGTGATGCCTCCAAATATGTGAAATGCCAGTTTCACTTCCCATGGTATAGGGTCCATAATGGAAAATAGCACAGAAAAACCTAAAAAACACAATGCTATATGTTTTCTTTTTTGATAATTGCTGGCAACATGTACTGTACATGTACAAATTCACATAAGTATTTGGTATAAGTCAAGTAAAATAGTAAAATGGTTTCACCAATACAACAGTTTTGCATAAAGGTACTGTAAGTTATAAGTAAGATAGTTAAGGTACAGCTGGAAAGTAACATTTTGGTAAAAAATTGCTATACCTGCACATGTTAGTTTCTGGTACAAAATTAAGTATGAAGGCATGTGTATATTTTCAAATGTGTTTAAACAATGTTGTAATTCAACTCACCTGACATGCAAAATGTGTTTATACAATGTTGTAATTCAACTCACCTGACAAGCAACATGTGTTTATACAATGTTGTGATTCAACTCACCTGACATGCACAATGTGTTTATACAATGTTGTGATTCAACTCACCTGACATGCACAATGTGTTTATACAATGTTGTAATTTAACTCACCTGACATGCAAAATGTGTTTATACAATGTTGTAATTCAACTCACCTGACAAGCAAAATGTGTTTATACAATGTTGTGATTCAACTCACCTGACATGCACAATGTGTTTATACAATGTTGTTATTCAACTCACCTGACATGCACAATGTGTTTATACAATGTTGTAATTCAACTCACCTGACAAGCAAAATGTGTTTATACAATGTTGTAATTCAACTCACCTGACATGCAAAATGTGTTTATACGATGTTGTAATTCAACTCACCTGACATGCAAAATGTGTTTAGGCCTATACAATGTTGTAATTCAACTCATCTGACATGCACAATGTGTTTATACAATGTTGTAATTTAACTCACCTGACATGCAAAATGTGTTTATACAATGTTGTAATTCAACTCACCTGACATGCAAAATGTGTTTACACAATGTTGTAATTCAACTCACCTGACATGCAAAATGTGTTTATACAATGTTGTAATTCAACTCACCTGACATGCAAAATGTATACAATGTTGTAATTCAACTCACCTATCATGCAAAATGTGTACACAATTGAGACAATGAGGAATTCAAACAGGTGTTGTCCACAGAACCTTGCAGACTCTGGCGTTGCAAGTACAAATATTTGAGGAATCAGGAATGCAAGTGTTAAGAGGAGAATGAATATTCGCCTGAAAATAAATGAAACATAATTAATTCAACTCTTATCAGTTTGCTGTTGAGTGTATTCACATTTTGTCTTTCCCTTCTGTCTACTGCTGAGTACATGTCATGGGTCTGAGAACATGTATAAAAATGGAGTCTGAGTCCCCTTCTACTTTGGACTACAAGACTCACTTAATTATACATGTTCTTGAGCCTATGTTACATGTATTCATGTGCACATGTATGTGCTAATGTGAAACATTTGTTACGGAAGAAGGTAGGTCACAACTCACAAGTTCAAATTAAATGGAATAATCCAGATTGCTGACAATTAATTAACTGTACAGTAGAACCTGTATATCTGAACACCTGGCTAATCCGAACACCTTCCAATTTGAACACTTTTTTTTCGGTCCCATTTTTTCCTCCCATTGACTCCCATGTTAAATAAACCTCGAAATCTGAACTCCTCCTAATCTGAACATTGAACAACCAGATATGAAAAAGTGACCTGTCTAATCTGAACATTTTTATCAGAAATCAAATGTCTGGACATTTCAATAATAGCCACATATTGAGTCAATGTTATTATTGTTATTTATCTATACATATACATGTACAATGTAATCAAAGAACCAATACTGTCCTAATTAACTTATTTAGGCTCAGTGACCATCCCTTATTTGTGGAAAACAACAGGATGATTTGAAAAGGTGTGAATACAGGAGTTAATTGGTTTATCCTATTAGAAAAGAACTGAATGTTTTATGTTTGGATTAAGAGAAAGGTGTGAATCAAGAAGATAATTGATTTATCATTATTGGAAATTACCTGGATGTTTTTGATTTGGATTAGATAAAGGTGAGAATCTGGGAGATAATTGGTTTATCCTTATTGTAAATTAACTGGATGTTTTTGATTTGGATTATGAACAGGTCTCAGATGTTTTATATCCCATGGGTCTGTTATCTGGTTATGATAGCTAAGATTCAATCAGTAAATGTTTTATAATCACAAAGACAACACAGACACAACTGCAGACAAGATTTCACGAGAAAGAGAAAAAATTCAACTTCATAATATCCTATCACTAAAATGCCTCCTAAAAAGGGAGGATTATACATTATCTCGAATGAATTCACACTCATGAAAAATTATTTTTACTTGAAGAGGATATCTACTCAAATATTGCTAATGCTAAAAGTGCCAAAAAACAACATGAAGGACTTTTTCAAGCAAAAGTAAAGCAGTACGTGCTATATAACCATAATATGGGATAAGTCATTTGAGAAGCAGTAAGATTTCGTACGAGACTATCATATACAAAATTTTTGCCAAAATATAAGTTATTTTTACTAAAATAATGAAATTGTTCAAAATGTAAATAAAAATAGCATAAACTCATCAACAACATGTATTGTTTTCTGACTTAGTATAAGTGTTCAATATAGTGGACTGAACAATGAAAATCCCCCCCCCCCATCAACAATATCCTCGAAATTTGAACACCTGCCAATTTGAACGCTTTTGGCTGGTCCCATGGGTGTTTGGATTAGACAGGTTTTACTGTAATGTGTACAGATTATTGACATAGACAAGAAATCTAGTTCATACATGCATAAACCTGTAAACAAAGAGGTATTCAAATACTTACACTTTAGATCTGTTTGTCCTAGGGAACCATCTAATTAAGTGGAAGACCCCATGGGCCCATAAATATTGCCACACCATTGCTTGTAGTCTGTGAGTATCTATAGCTGACTTTCTCTCATTATATTAGGGTTGCATATACCTATAATGTGAAAGATTGTATGTAAGTGTCTTATGTTAGATTGTTTGCCTAAGCTAGTTTAATCACAGGCCCCAGAAACAACAAATCGAGTCAAGTTCTCTTCTCTTTTCATACAGAACTCGACTCGATTTTTTATACATATTCCCGGAACTATATGCCAAGATTAACACTGACCATAGTTTTAGATCAATTTTACCTCTTTCAACAGGCTGGGGTGGTCTGATTTAACAGCCTTTAATTGCCCTAAATTACTTGTTTTGGAGCTGTCAAGTGTCCCGTGAATGGTGGGATTATCCCGCGAATTTAATCAAAATTGTGTCCCGCAATGTCTTGAGAAGTCCCGCAAATGTCGGCTTTGACCTCCGCGGATTTCCAAAATTGTAGCAATCCCCTACTCCCTAGGCTAAATAATTGTGATCTTGTGATATACATGTAAGAAGCTAAGTTTTTGCACTTTTGAGGAGTAAAGTATACCTAATTTGAAAAGTGCTGCCAAACTCCCATCAGATCATTGAAGACATGCTTTTGGAAAGAGCATATAGTCCATTTAAAAAACTGTGATTTTGATCCAAATAACACCATAGTTGGCTTCTTAAGTACCTAGTATGCCGTTATTTGGTATCAAAATAAAGAGGAAGAGTTGAAACTATCATTTTAATTACGAAAATAGGGATGTAGGTCACAAATAGTTTAAACGTTGGCCTTTTTACTACAGGTGTGGCCTTCATCTCAGAACTGAGCAAATGTTAGCAAACGCGAGTTGCAATAAATGGACACTGGTATCTCGAAAAGAATGCTTACGTATGAAATATGGGAAGTTACCTACCCTTCTAGTTGAAAGCCCATGATTATCACGGACATCTAATACGTTCTTCGAATTGCCCTGGAACTATATTTGTATTTGAAGTCCCAGAATTTCGCCAGAAACATTCTCTCTGACTGTGATGATTATACGTATTTGATAAATCATTATGTCAGTGAAAGTTTAATTTGAGTACTTTTACATTAAGTCCCAATCACACAAATCCCTTGAATGTCCGCGACATCCCGCAAATTCGCAAGTGGTGAATGGAGATGGAATATATGTAAAGTCAGCAGCTGATTTCAGTATTTCAGTTTCATCCTCTAGCGGCTCATAGCGAATGAGCAAAGGCTGTTGTATCAAACCAGTCGCACAGCCTTTGAAAGAGGAAAGTTCAATTGACTGTTGAACATGAAATAAAATGAACTTTTAGACCTGTGATTCTGAAAGATCAGTAAGAACTAAAGCTATATATTTTATGTTTTCTTGATAATTCATTAATACACCATTTAACTTTAATCATTAATATCACCTAAAATTACCTCGCTTTGATACAGATGCGATGAGATTGTAGCATTTTAATTTTGAAACTTCACTAATTGAAAACGGAAGTAAACAAATCAACCCCATCTGGTGAGCAATTTTTCATCACGTTTTTCCGTAGCGCCACCTTTTAATGGGAGCCTCCAGATAAAAACATGTGAGTTTACTTAGTTTATTTTATCGGCTTTTTCCACCGTTTTTATTGTCTGTTACCATGATAAAAAGTTCGACATAAATATGATAGAGTTACTTTCGCATTTGTAACTCATTCAAGGTGATTGCTACATGGATAGTTACAGAGAACTTTTCAACTTTATATTTTCAATATTTTCCGATTCAATCAAACTAGACTAGGCTAATTCACAGTTCAATCATGGGCTTTCAATTAGAAAGCCCATGATTCAATCAATCATGAATCAATCCACAGGCCCAGGAAGATTTAAATAATGTAAAATATATAGTGAGTGGGAGGTGGATGAACTCTTGTTCCCTGTCTGTGAATCAATCAATGCGTTACTTCCTGTGAAAGCTATTTGGATATAATAGCTTTCCCACGGAGCATTTGGACAGCTGAATGATTGTGACCTTTGAAATCGAATTAAGTCTATCCGCAGCTTACTTTTGGTCTCTAACTCAGTCTTACATCAGTATCATCAATCCGTGTAAGCGCTGAAATACTTCTTTTTCGATGAAGACTTTTAAATTGTTCATCGAGTGAATGTTTTTTAGACCTATTTCCAATATGGCGGTTTGCTAGGAGCGAAATACGCAACGAACGAAATGAATTTTGAGAATTAGTTAGGTTCGGACAACCTCCGGAGATTTACGAAAATGTCTGAGCAGAAAACGCCATATTGGAATTTGGCAGTAAAAACATTCACTCGACTAACAGTTACAAGTCTTGATCGAAAAGGAAGTACTTCAGCGCTCCAATACTTACACAGATTGATGATACTGATGTAAGACACAGTTAGAGACCAAAAGTAAGTCGCGGATCGACTTTAGAGACCAAAAGTAAGTCGCGGATCGACTTAATTCGATCTCAAAGGTCACTATTAATCAGCTGTTCACTTCCCCGTTTGAGAGCCATAAGTTTCAAGATCTAACATGGCTCTCGAAGTGAGTAATCAATGCGGTGATGTGCTCAAATTTCCACAGGAAGTTGTAAGTCCTTTTTGGGCCTAACAGAGCTTTTTGCCCTTCCGCACTCTCAAAACAGTTCTCAAGGATTCCCCCCAAACTCGCGCTGAAAAAAAAGTGAAATCGAAAGTAGATTTTCTACAAGATCACTATTCAAAATTTGACCAACACAATTTGGAGGAAAAATACTCTCGAACTCAAATAAACAAAAAAATAACGACCTGTCTGATCCTTCATGACGTTTTTAGTCTTGCAAAAAATCTAGGCATCATAATGCAGAATATGTGCTGCAAATAATAAATATTTTCCAGACTGTAACTCTTCAATGACACGAGGTAGTTACAAGTACTTTTAAATCTGAGAAACCTTATACTAAAAGCATTATATATTTCTACACACACTCAACTGATTTGGTATACAAACCTTGGAAATGACAAATGTTTTATTTGTTTATTTTTCCATCTTCTTTAAATTCCAATATGGCGGATGGACAAGAAGGACACCCCAACACAGGCCCGTAAGACACTTTTCTCCAAGGGGGGTGCGGTTTTTAGCTTACTAAAGAGAATATAGAATTATCAGTTTTTTTGCCGCGTAAATCAAATCGCGTAAGACAGGGGGGAGGGGGTCAGTTACTCCCTATATTCGTTTGGAATTAACAAATGCAACTTCCAAACGTTCCAATTGTTTTGTGGGGGGTGTGATAGTATGTATCCAACAGTTCTGACTATAAGTCAGTCTGTTATGATGTACTACTTTCCTGTGGAAATTGCAGTGAAATTTTGGCACAAAATTATCAATTGGAGGAATCATTTCTTCAATAAAATAAACGTTACAAAATTTCAATTAAATAGTAAGGTACAATTAAATGCAATAAAAAGTGACACTGTGTTCTCCCTGACTGAAAAATGCGTGGCGCTCGCGCCACGCATATTGTGGCTGCGCCACGCTGATTTATTGCGCGCCACACATTTATTAACAGCGCCACGCATTAGACTTTGACAGAAAAATTTCCCAAAGTGAAAATAGAAATTGAAAAAAATCAAAGTTTTAATCACATCAAAATATCAGCCCGTTTTGCTTGAAAACGATACAAAATGCTCTATGTAGATAAAGAAATGTCTGTACTTACCTTTCTTGCACTAAAGAATCTTCAATTTACCTTCTATTTTGATAAAAAACAGTTTGATTTGCACAGAAATGAAACATGTTTTTTCTAGGTCAGGACTCACAGCCTCCGATTTTGAAGACTACACTGAACGAAAATGAACATGTGTGCACATTTTCCCGGGAATTTCGGACTCAATAATTATAGTTGAATTATATTGAAGAAATATATGGCCACATACTGAAAATTATTTTGTATATTGAACTTTATATTATATTATGGAAATAAATATTAAATTGAACATTGAATTAAAACAAACCTCTGAGCATTTATATTGCAACATGGCCTATTGTCATTAAAGTAGATGATTATACAGTGCTAAATTTCATTTGTTTTGATGTTATGTAATATTTATAACAATTGGCTGTTGATGCAAATGATTGTGATTAAGAAATGCAGCGAAGCGGCGCCGATTTTTTTAAGCACGTTTTTGTAAACTTATCACCACCCTAATAATTTTGCCACCACCCATCAATTTTTATTCAAACTTTTTCACCACTCACTTTTGAAAAATTAGGGAGAACACTGGTACTGTAAAGTGGAAATAAAGCTAGTTGAAGTTACAAATTTGCAAATTAATTTTACCCAATCGGCAATTTTGAATAGCACTTCCTATGTAAACAAATATTTAGGTTTACCAAACTGTAACATAGGTGCCTTATAGTCTGAATATAATTCAGACTAAATAGGATATAGTCTAGGGGGTGTGAGGAGTGGTCCACTCCCCCTAGAAAATTTTACAGTTTTGAGATGCTATTTGGTGCTTTCTGGGCACTTTCAAAGTGTAAGTTTCTAAGTAGTATGCCACCACCACAAGAATAAGAGTTGAGTGAATAAAAAACCGAGCATTCAGGGGGGTCTTGGGTTTCTCCCCAGGAAAATTTTGAAATTTGCTTGTATTTGGAGCGAATTCGCAACCATCTGGTACGCCTGTGCGTTATGAGTCAATAAGAAAAATGTGAATTTTTTTTCAAATTCTTTTGGGGGTGTCAAAGAGGGTGAAGTGGGGTGGGGTGGGGTGCCAGTAGGGGAGCAAGGGGTTGTCCCCCAGAAACATTGACCATATCAAGGTGCTATTTGATGATGTCTGGGCACTTAAAAAATGTCTGAGACAATACATGAAATTCAGAATATTTATTTTGTTTTGTGGGGGATGTGAGGGGTGGCTAATTCTCCTAGAAAATTTTACAATTTAAAGATGATATTTGGTGCTTCTGGGCACTTTTAAAGGTATTAGTCAATAAAAACATTGAAAAACAATCACAATTTTTTTCAAATTTTGGTGGTGTAAAAGGGGGGGGGGGGGTGCCAGAGGGGGAGGTGGGGCTGGGGTGCCAGAGGGGGAGCAAGTGTTTGTCCCCCATATCAAAATTTACAATATCAAGGTGCTATTCGATGAAGTTTGGGCACTTTAAAAGTGTTTGTGCCTAAAAGCGCAGATTTCCCAAGAAAATTTTACAATATTAAGATGCTATTTGATGCTTTCTGGGCACTTTCAAAATGTATGAGTCAATAAAAAAATTTGAAAAATCTCAATTTTTTTTGGGGGGGGGCAGAGGGGGAGGTGGAGTGGGGATGCCAGAGGGCGAGTAAGTGTTAGTCTTCCAGAATCATTAACTTTATCAAGGAGCTATTTGATAATGTCTGGTCAATTTAAAAGTGTCTGAGACAATACATAAAACAAATTCAGAACTTTTCCATTGTTCTGTTTAGGGTGTGAGGGGTGGCCCACTCCCCCTAGAAAATTTTACAATTTTGCGACGCTATTTGGTGCTTTCTGGGCATTTTCAAATTGTATGAGTCAATTAAAGAATTTGAGAAAATCACAATTTTTTTGGGGGGGGGTCGAGGGGGGGGGGGGGGCGCCAGAGTGGGGGGGGGGGGGTTATGCAAGTGCAAGATGCAAGAGGGGGAGCAAGTCCCCCAGAAACACTAACTATATCAAGGAGCTATTTGATGATGTCTGGGCACTTTAAAAGTGTCTGAGACAAAACACTAAAATAAATTGAGAACTTTTCCATTGTTTTGTGGGGGGTGTGAGGGGTGGCCAATACCCCTAGAAAATTTTACAATTTTAAGATGCTATTTGGTGCTTTCTGGGTACTTTCAAAGTGTATGAGTCAATGAAAAAAATTTTAAAAAAAAATTTCAATTTTTTTTTCAAATTTATTTTGGGGGGGTAACAAAGGGGGGTGCGCCCATCGCACCCCCCCATCTGACGGCCCTGCAACAAATATCCAGAGGAATATGTATGAAGTTCATTTTGGTAGTCTACTGGGTTATTTGGTCTTCCTCATCCTCAGACTCAGTATTAATATAATAATACTACTTAGTGTGAAAACGGACAAATAACCCAAGAAATGACCAAAATAGACTTGATACATCTTTTCTCTGAAAAATTTGTTGGGGTGTCCTTCTTGGCCATCCGCCATATTGGCGCAGAGGCTTTGTACTTTTATCATCCATCTTGAATTAAAATTTGGCCTATTAGCGCAATCATGCAAATCCCTTAAATGTCCCGCGAATTTAGGTGTATGTTCTGCAAAATCCCGCGAATTTTGGGTACTTGGTCTAAAAAATCTGTCCCTCGAGAAAATCTTTGGGGGTTGACAGTACTGTGACCATCAGACTGATATATAGTGGCAATGTTACAGCACTTTGAACAACATGCCCTAGGTGTGGCCATCATCGCGTTGTAGGCAAACCTGCACAAGTTGTCAATGACCCGACTCCATTCCTCAGCAGGTATGGCCTGAAAGACATAGACCTGATCTCCCTTTGAGGTTTGCAATTGTCCTGAGGTCATTTTTGTACACTCTATCTATCGCATATCCCCACAGGTAGAAGTCAGATATGGACATTTTGGACAGCATGTCATGGGTTTGCCTACAGCGCAGTAATGGCCACTGGAGCATGTTGTTTAAAGTGCTGTAACATTGTGACTGTCAGTCAGATGGTCATGAAAGATGGCATGTTAGTAGGAAATTGAATGATGTTCATATGTACAATGGATTATATATTATATGTGCCAAATATTAGGGAGAAATTCCCTAGAATGACAAAGATATGAGGAAAATAGCTGCAGGGTTGCCATTTTTTGACCACCCTCAATCCTGTACTTTTTTATGAATTTGAATTCAAACTAGATTTTTTAAAGTGTACTTGATGTGTAATTTTATTTATAGGATGTATTAATCTCAATTATCTTATGAAAATTTGTTTCTGCCGACATTCAAAACGACAACAAGTAGACTTGTCAAGCAGATTAGAATGATAAAAATTGAAATTACTGTACGCCCAGTATTATTCGCGAGCTTTAATTTCGTGAATTTTGCGAAAACACGGTTTCGCGGCTATTAAATTTTGCGAATTTCACAAGTTTGAAATTCACTATTCTCGGAATTCTCAAGCTAAATTACTAGTAGATGTACAGTAATTGCACTTACCTGATGTCATAGTTCAGATTTACAATAACTGGGATCTTTATCATCAGCAAGCTGCATATCAACTTCTATTATCGCATCGTTAATTTCGGTCTTATTTAAAACGAAAAAGCAGTTTGAATTCGTATTTTGTATTACATGTTGGTGGAAATCATCCAATTATCACCCAATAACACTAGACGAAACGTTTTACACAAAATGAAATGCATGTTGTAGTTCTTCTTACAGATGTAGGAATGGAGGGATCAGAAGTTGACGAAATGCATCAGAGCCCCGGGTAAAAACAAATTCCCGGGGATTTAATTGGCAATTTTGCGACGATAATTTTTCGCGATTTTAACACCAACGCGAAAAGCGCGAAAGTTAATCGCACGCGAATAATACCAGGCGTACAGTACCTCTTTATTCCCCTTATTAGATCTCTGAAGCTTAAACATTTACCTTGCTTAGATTTAATAGAGAGGTTTCACGACAATGGGCTATAGTTGGAACACACTGTTCTTTTACCCCCTGTAGATTTCACAAATAAAAATCATATATGATAAAATAAAAATCAATAATATTTCTATTTACATCTGCCTATTGTTCAAGATACTTGCAATGTTAGAAATGTTCAGGCAAATTAAAAGAAAAGATGATAATTATATTTTGTACTTTCAGTTAAAATGGAGAGGAAAGCTAAGAAACGACTCAGCAAGAACAAGAAAAAGACATGGAAGAAGACTGATGTACAAGATGTCGAGGATCACCTGGAGGATCAGAGACTGCAGGAACGTACTGGTGGCCTCCTGGCTGAGAAGACTGATGAACAACTGTTCTTTGTCGATTCTACAAAGCCTGTAGAGGAACCTGTACCAGCTAAAAGAAGCCGTCGTGATCCTAAACCTTTGAAATGTCACAGTGCCTTGTTGCCTGACCCCAGGATTAAACCAGCGAGGGTGGCCCATAATATCAGACGGGATAATCTGAAGCGTAAATGTGCTAAAAAAGTATCTGACATTCAGAATGATGTGTTGTCACCTACTAGAAAAGAAGCTCTTCATAATCAAGTTAACGCTAAGCTGAATCGTCAAACGAGAATCCGATCAAAAAAGATCACACCTCATGCCAAATTTGATCTTTGGGGTGGTGAAATAGACCAAACTAAACAGGAAGATGATGACCATTTTGCTACTGTGACTCGCAAGAAGCCTGTAAAACTGCCATCATATCACAATAAGAAACCCTCTAGCCTGCCTGCAGTTGAGGTGGCCCTCCCTGGTGCTTCTTACAACCCAACCTATGATGACCATCAGCAATTGCTACATGTTGCCAACAAGGTTGAAGTGAAGAAATTGAAGGTTGAGGAGAAGATCTTACGCCAAACAGACCACATGTTCCCAAAAGCTGATAAAGCACCAACTAAACAAGATCATTTGCAGGTTTGTGACTTTAATGACAGTGGCAGAGGCTTCCTTTATTAACATTTATATGTCCTGTTTTGTGAAGTATGTGAGAATTGGCTCATTTACAAGATGTTTCATGTTTTAATTCTTTTAATTTACAACTCAGAGGAGAGAATGTGTCAAACCCTTTCCCATATTGACATATTCTCTTCTCTAAAGTGTATTATATATTTTGCAGCTAGACATTTAAGAAGAGAGAATGTGTCAAACCCCTTTCCCATATTGACATATTCTCTCATCTAAAGTGTAGTTGTAAAATATAGTTAATTAGAATCTTAATGTATTTCACATTTGAAACTTCTACTCCTCCAAAGTAAACAAAAAATGAAAACATCATTTTTATAAAAAAATGAAAAAGACTCGAAACATTTTGATCTCATTAAAATACCTTCAGAGTTATGCTGAAAACTTATGCAAATATTATCCTGGCACTAGTGCCATTAAAAAGTTAATAAAATCTTCTGATCCTGACCCATGCTTTTTATTGTGAATTTCTTAAAATTTGGCCATATTTGTGCTAACCTTGTTTCATGTGATTTGCAGGAGATGTCAGCTGGCTTATATGAGGAGGAGGATGATAGCGAGGGAGAAGAAGACACAGAATACACGTCCATAAACCCTGCAGTCAGGCGTGACAAGAAGAAGACACCACAAACAAGACGCAAAGAAAAAGAGCGCAAAGCGAAAGAAACTCAACTGAAACTTGAAAAATTAAAGCGGAAGAAGGACACTGAGTTATTTAGAATTAAATCTATTCAGAAGGATGTCACTAAAAGCATTAAGCAACACAGTGAGAAAATGGCAAAGCAACAGACTAAAAGGGCTGAGAGGAAAGATAAGACTCAGAGATTAGGTTCTAATAAATTTGAAGCTCCAGAGACTGAGCTGAAGCTCTCTGATGAGCTAGTTGGCTCATTGAGACTGTTGAAACCAGAGGGGAATCTACTGGAGGACAGGTACAAGAGCATGCAGAAGAGGAATATCATTGAACCAAGGAAGAGGGTGAAGGTCTACAGGAAATATAAACTTAAGGACTATAAAAAACCAGGTCATGGTGCCCAGGCATATATGAACTCGTATAAGGCTAAGGGGAAGAAATAATATGGAATTACCTATTTGATTATAATGCTTGCCATATTATGATTATGGTGAAAAGATTTTTGAATATGAGATTTCCTGGAAATAAAGGAAAATGGGTGAAGGTTAATTATTTTGTCAACCTAATGGATATCGGTAATATGTTTCACTTTATACATACTGTTACTTGAGCATCTGATAAACAATGCCAAAAAAGTAAAAATTAATTTTGGGAATTTCTTTTCATGCTCTGTACATACATGGCATACATCATGGAATTCATCCTCTATTGAAACAATTTTAGGAAAATTTAAAAGGCTGAAAATACATGGAGTAAACTTGACCCTCGATTTAAAGTATGACATGAATTCCTCCAAACTTGAACAGAAATAGAATCAGTGGATGAATTCCTTTTAGAATCATGGTAATGTATATAAAGTGAATTCAGTAAATAAAAATATATTCAATAAAATTGAAATCTTACTTGGTCCATTTTTAAGAACTACACATATTTCCAGATAATCATTTACATATGTTATGCCAATAATATACATGTTGCTGTTGTATCTATAAAATGCTTCCCAATCCAAACTCATCTTATTTGTTTCCCCTTAAAGTGCAGTACATGCATTCATAGATTGTATGGGTGCTTTGGTCCACAAGTGGGTCAAGTTGAACAACTAGTAGATACATTATAACACATTTTTGCTAAAATTGTTATTGTGAAAATGGCATTAATACCAACACTAATCAACTCTAATTTGAGAGTAAAACCATGTTAACAAAAGTCATTATTAATATTCTGAATTATTTTTGTATTCCATTTATTACTACCAAGTGATGCTTTACATAACAGAATACTTGATAGTATGTCACATTCAAAGAAATGCCCATGGTCTCTTATTATGAGGGAAACTAGCCAGAAATTACTTACTTACTTACTTACTTTATTTTTGACACATGTTATTTCAAGAAAATTTGAAGCATAATATTGCATATACAAGGGGTGTTCAATCAGTAATGGATCACCATAACTAAACAGTAAAAAACGATGGTCAAGAAAAATGATTAAACATATACTACTTGTTACTAAATGCTTGTACTATTATGTATTTAGTATTTGTAATAGCAATTCGTCATAAGAATTATTTTAAAAGGAATCATAATCGGACTGAAAAAGGCAAAATTAGCAAATAATGTACATGCAGCTTCAGAATGTGTCATTTAAGTGTCTGTGCTGTGGTTTGTACATGAACTACTGTACTACCTTCATATATGGGATCTCCAATCTTTTGCATATTTTCAGGAATATAGTTACAGGGTGTTTCATAATGATCGGCCCCCAATCCACAGCCAATCCTAGATAACACTGGCCCTATAATCTATATACCATAATAAAGGTTATTCAGTTCTGGACTTATGTGCCAAATTTTAGCATGACTGGTCAGAATTGAACAAGCTTTCATATGATATATAACATAAGGCGATATGCTATTTAGGATTGGTGGTTGATTGGGGGACAGTCATTATGAAACACCCAGTTTTTGGATGATTTCTGCACTGGTGGAAAAGAATTAAGAGAATTAGTCAAGTCTTTAAGAAACTTTCAAGCAAAAAGAGTTGTTATACTTTGTTAATGATCACCACTTGTAGTCACAATCTCTCGCTCACTCTTAATTTTCTACAGTCCACGTTTTGCTCAAACACAAAATCACAGTATATATTCAGCTACTGAGTGATGGAAAATTTACCATCAATTGTATATATTTCCTTTTTGGTAGGACTATCATTATAAGTTTCAAGATCATGTTCTTTTTGCCATCTATACTTCATGAGTGCCTCAATGGCAATATAGCTGACTATTCCAAGTAGCAGGATGCCCAAGTTTGTCAGTACTTTAGCATACATACACAAGTTGCTGCTTAATGCAAAGGCAAGGGTAGAACCTACATTGTGCCACAGGTTCTTTGCACTGAATGCTGTCTCCATGTCTGTTGCGAACAGAATCCCAGTTGTTGCTGAAAAAATTGAAATCGGAGATACAGTGTATTAATTTTTGCATGCTTGGTTTCAACATGGGCTTTCAAGAGAGTGTTGAAAGCCCATGGTTTCAAGTCCAAGAAAATACATAGGGTTGATTTATATAATTATATTTCCACAAAATGATCATTCTACAATTCTGTTGATACTTGATAGCTATGACACATGATTTAGTAATTTGTGTCACATAAATAATGGATCAGTTTCTATTGCATACATCAGATAGCTAGATATTGTTAATAAATAACATAAATCCTGTTTCAAATGGATCACCATAAAAATTATCATTCAACTTATTGATATTAACTTATTGATATTCTTATCAACTACAATTATAGATCTTAGTTATTTTTTTTGTTCCCATTATAATCCCCTATTTAGTCCTAAAGTAATGACTGAATTGTTTCATACCACTAAGCTGGGTCTGCCATACTGCATCTCCAACACCCCACACGAATGGCAGCACAAAGAACATTGGCAGCTGCGTTGCTGTAGGAGTCCAGAACAACATAGCTGCCATGACTGCAGTATGGGATAATGCAGCCATAAATACCATTGTCACACGGCCAAGGTATTTCTGTAGGAAGCCTCCAATATAGGCAAACACTGTGTTGGAAACACCAATGAACAGCATGGAATAACCAACAAATCCTACTCCAAGCTCACATGTCACAAACGACTGAAACAAAATCATTTTTTGTCAGCATTCCATGGATTTAGATTGCTGGTTAACCCTCCTAGAAATACATGTAGGTGCAGATGGCACTAACATGCATGAACATTTATGAAAAATAGAGAGATAGTGATATAGTAAACGTTAAGAGTAACATCATGGAGTCCGATCATGATAGTTGTTCTGAAACATTTACAACATTCCTGGATATGGTACAGGGTGAGCCAAAAAGATAACCCAATCAAATCTTAATACCTCAGTCATCCAGTATGGGCACAAGTAAACATTGTTCAATGTTCTTTAACTCACTTAAGTGTCTAATGGTTATGATTTTATGGTCATTTTACAAATCATGCTCAAAATGTCTTTTTTCGAGGCAATCTTTAACACATCAGATTAAGTTTTCTGATTACCTGTTCACAGATATATTGTATAATGGCTCACATTTGCCTTCTTATCTCTTATTTCAACCCTGAATCTTCTAGTTAATAGTTAATGTAATGTACATATTACCTTTGAAATAGCTCCAAAAATAAATTATGTGGTTTCATATTTGATGATTTTGGTAATTTTTGGCATTTGGAGCATGTTTTGTAAAATGGCCATAAAACGATGACCATTGGAATGATAACTTGATAGAAAGAACATTGAACAAGGTTCCATTGTGCTAAATATGACTTAAAACCCATCTGGATGATTGAGTAATTTGTTTGGGTTACCTTTTTTTGGCTCACCCTTGTATGTTATTTTGCTTTCAAAAAGTGCTAAGAACCTTGCACGTACTGTACCTGTGTAAAGTCACTCTGCATCAATGCATTCTTGAATCCAATGTAAAGGAACAGTGAGATAATCAGGAGCAGCTTCACATTCTTGTGCAATTTCATTGTACCAAGAATCTTCATACCAACTGATGATGATTTCTTGGTTTTAGACTCAACTGGTGCGAGGAATAAGATTACTATGGTTACTGCAACCACAACAAATCCCAGATAAATGCCCAGTAAAGTGTACATCCTTCCATCTTCTGGCCTTTGAAATGTTGTCTCATTACCCATTGTGTCAATCTCATATGGACAAAAGTTTGCCCCACAGGTTGTTACCATTTTGGTAGAGTTCAATGTTGTACTTGGAGCTTGCTGTTGTTGTAAGACTAACGATGATATCAAATTTCCCCATATCCTAGCAGAGTTAAACAAGGAAAAGAAAATGCCACTGAACCTCCCGAGAACAACTTGGTCCTTCTCTCCTGTTAAGTCCGCATAATCCAAAGCTATTGTTGACCTGTATACTCCTAATGATGTTGCTACAAGACCTTGTGTTAAACCAACTATTACACTTGCTGGATATAATGTGTAGGTTCTCGGGTAAAAGTTAGCAGCCACAAATACCCCATGGCTGAAAATGCCAACAGTAAACATCCATTTTGCGCCAAATGTTTGAACAAGGAATGAAGATAGGAAAAGTTGAGAGACAACAGTTGCTGCAGATCTGATGCTAAGAGTTGTGGCCCCCAGTCCCTGAGCACCATTTAGACTACTCTGCAGGCTCACTAGTGAAAAGAATGCAGAGTGAGAGATCATGGAAGTCAATGATAAAATAATCAGACTAAACATTATCCTTCTTTTTTTCTTAATTGTATTTTGATGATCTTCAGGATCTTGTGCTGTTTCTTCATTTTTTAGATCTTTCTTTTTAAAATCCATGGTGATTGTTTTATAAATCTTATCCTCTATATCTCCCTCAATTAGGCATGCATAAAATGATCTTTCAAATTCAATACTAAAAATGACACAAGTACTTTATATTATTTAATTTATTTGTATCAACGATATTTTGTGCATGTCATCCCTCTTTCAAATAATGGGCAGTTTTCTAATTATAAATCGATACATGTAAATAATGGAGTTTTATAATTTTATTCACATGGCCTAACACACTTTTATGAAGTTCAACTCAGATTTAATTAACAACTTCTAGTTAAAAGATATGCAAATCATGAGTTAACTAACACTGTAAAAGATAAACGTGAGAAATTGTGAAGTGCCATGTGATTTTATCTGAGTTCATTGATATGCAAATCATGAGTTAACTAACACTGTAAAAGATAAACGTGAGAAATTGTGAAGTGCCATGTGATTTTATCTGAGTTCATTGGGAATGTGCAAACAGTAGCCAGGACAAACTCATAATATACTTGAGATATTGTTTTGTTTAAAGGGAATTGAAGTACATGTGCATTGTGCATGTAGTCTGATCCTAAATAACATTTTAATTACAAAGGATAGGTATCGATATGGTGCTTTATTGTTAACTGATTGACAACAATTCTTGAGAATGAAATGAACCTCGTTGGAACAAAAAAGCATATACAGCATTTTCTTAGACCTCTCAATATTATAGTTATACAAAGGAAATTTAGGTTGATTTTACAATTTTACAAAAAGTATTCAAAAAATTAAAACAAAACCCCCAAAATAGATAAAAATTAAGATAAACCTTTATTTCATTAGCAAGAAAAAATCAACCAAACTTTCCTTTGTACAATTACAATATTGAGAGACCTAAACATGTTCTGTTTACGTTCAATGAGTTTCGGATAGATGTTTCATTTCATTCCGAAAATATGATACCAAGAACAATAGAAATGCCTGATGTGTTTTCTAAAACAATATAGAGAAAAGGATATATATTTTTTCAAATTATATTGTTACCATTCAAAAGATGACCACTAAATTGATGATGTGTAAAATTTTCAGAATTCTTTGATGACTGGTTTAAGAGAAACTTTGTGTTCAAAAAGTTCACCATATCGATACCAATCCTTTTGGGACAATTTTAAGGCAACCTTTTTCAGTTTTAACAAGCAATTCATTTTTCTACATATTTAAAATTCTGAATTTTCACCATGCTTATGAAGTCCACTGATGGTCCATACTTATGAAGTCCATTACAGGTTTCATAATACACATCTTAACGCGAACAGTGTCAACAAGTGTTTGATGTGTTTTTTAAAACAATATAGACGGCAGTATGTATATCTATTTCAAATTATATTGTTACCATTCAAAAGATGGCCATTATATTGACAATTTGTAAATTTTTCAGAATTCTTTGATGACTGGTTTAAGAGAAACGTGTGTTCAAAAAGTTCACCGTTTCGATACCAATCCTTTGGGACAATTTTAAGGCAACATTTTTCAGTTTTAACAAGCAATTAATTTTTCTACATTTTTAAAATTTTGATAAGAATTTTCAACATGCTTATGAAGTCCATTGATGGTGCATTTTGTGCTAATAACATTCAGAATTTAAAAATTACTTAGTATTTAGTATTAAAGCAATGGCACCAAATACCAATGAAAGAATTATTCTTGAATCTGAAATGTGACAATATATTGACACAATGCTGTTCAAAAACATTGATTTGCAACTAAAAGATATTACAGGTTTCATAATACATATCTTTCCTAAGAGTGTAAAGAAAATCTGCCCACCAGTATTTGTGTTATTTTATGCAGATAGACCAATATATACATCATCGAAGGTCAAATCTAAAGTCAGATTTGAACTTCTGATATTTTGTAGATGATTTTGAAAAAAAGAATTGGTCAATTTGAAGCAAATTGAAGAGACCTTTTTGATGATCTTGAGGATCTTGTGCTGTTTCTTCATTTTTTAGATATTTCTTTTTAAAATCCATGGTGATGGTTTTATTATCTTATCCTCTATATCTCCCTCAATTAGGCATGCACAAAATGATCTTTCAAATTCAATACTAAAAAAATGACACAAGTACTTTATATTATTTAATTTATTTGTATCAATTTTTGTGCAAGTCATCCCTCTTTCAAATAATGGGCAATTTTCATAGGTAATTATATATCGATACATCTAAATCATGGAGTTTTATGATTTTATTCACATGGCCTAACACACTATTACTAAGTTCAACTCAGATTTATTTTACAACTTCTGATTTCAAGCTAAAACTGTACAAGATAATCGTGTGAAATTGTGAAGTGCCATGTGATTTCATCTGAGTTCACTGGGAACAAGCAAGCAGAAGCCAGGACAAACTCATAATGCACTTAAAGATATTGTTTTGCTTAAAGGGCATTGAAGTACGTATACATGCACATTTTGCATGTAGTCTGATCCTGAATAATATTTTAATTACAAAGGATAGGTATCGATATGGTGAACTGAATTCAACAATGTGTTTCTCTTAAACCAATTATTGAAAACATTCCGTAAAAACACGGTCCTCTATGTAATGTAAACTGATTGACAACAATTTATTTATTTATTTATATATATTTTATAATTATAACTGTTTTTGTTAACATTTTTCGTTTTTTAGTGCAATTGTTTTTTATTGTTCCTCATTGGAACAAAATAGCCTTGTACAACATTTTCTTAGACCTCTCATTATTATAGTTATACAAAGAAAATTTTGGTTGATTTTACAATTTTACAAAAAGTATTCAAAAAATTAAAACAAAACCCCCCAAAATAGAGAAAAATTAAGACAAACCTTTTATTTCATTAGCAAGAAAAAATCAACCAAACTTTCCCTTGTACAATTACAATATTGAGAGACCTAAACACGTTGTGTTTATGTCCAATGAGGTTTGGATAGATGTTTCATTTCATTCCGAAAATATAATACCAAGAACAAAAGAAATGTCTGATGTGTTTTCTAAAACAATGTAGAGAAAGTATATATATTTTTTTCAAATTATATTGTTACCATTCAAAAGATGACTACTAAATTGACGATGTGTAAAATTTTCAGAATTTTTTGATGACTGGTTTAAGAGAAACGTGTGTTCAAAAAGTTCACCATATCGATACCAATCCTTTTGGGACAATTTTAAGGCAACCTTTTTCAGTTTTAACAAGCAATTAATTTTTCTACATATTTAAAATTTTGAATTTTCACCATGCTTATGAAGTCCACTGATGGTCCATGCTTATGAAGTCCATTACAGGTTTCATAATACACATCCTTTCAAAGAGTGTAAAGAAAATCTGCCCACCAGTATTAGTGTTATTTTATGCAGATAGACAAATATATACACCATCGAAGGTCAAATCTCAAATCTAAAGTCACATTTGAACTTCTGATATTTTGTAGATGATTTAAAAAAAAAGATTTGGTCAATTTGAAGCAAATTGAAGAGACCTTTTTGACCTTTTTTGACCTTGAGAAGGTCATTGAAGGTCAAACCTCAAATCTAAAGTCAGAATTGAACTTCTGATAACCTGTGGTGGTGGTACTTTTGATACCATTAACTCTTTTAATGGGTGGTAAATTAACAACACAGTTTGAATGATTCAATTCAACTAGAAAATGTATTTTACAAAGCAATTATTTTCTACATTTTTTCAAGCTTTAATAGTTACAAAAAGAATATTTGATAAGGTTCAAATCCATTGATGGTGAAGTAAACATCATCAAGAATTGAAGTATTCTTTAGTATTTTGGGGTAATCTAAGGATTAGATTCAGAAGTAGAAAATGGCAATGTCACTAAACACCAAATCCCAATGAACATATTATTCATAAATCTCACTGATCCCCAACTGGTTTTATAGATATCATGTCTTTATAACAAAATGAATAAACTTATGTCAGAAGAAACATTTTCACCAAGAACAAGAAGAAGGTCGATTTTTGTATCTGAAAATTTTACCCGTATCCAAATATTTCACATGTTTGTTAATAGTAAACATCCAGGAAGTTAACCAACCAAAGCGTTATGAAATAACTGGATATATTTGCTTGTGATTGACTAGCTTTTCAGTAAGTGGATGTTAACTTTTAAAATACATGTAAAATATTTGGATACAAATCAACCTCTTTGTAGGTGAAAACTGAGAACGATGAAAAAAAATTGTACAAACTCAAGTTCACTCATTTTGTGGGGACCAGTGAATCTGAAATGTGACAATACAATATGTTGACAATCTGCCTTGAATTTACACATAAAAAAGATATAGACATCCAGTAGTGATATATCAGAATTCCCATACATATCTTTCCAAAATGTGAAGAATCTCTGAGCACTACACAGGGAAATATGCTGATTTCTAAATTCGTACAAAATTAGCAGTCTGGCAAAAGCACACTCATAAGCACTCAACTACAAGTGCTGGTTCAATACTAATTTAAATTTGTACTTACTGAGGACTCAGTTTATGTATGAGTGCTCATTGAGTATTGAAAAATCAATGAAATCAATGCTATTTTATCACTCATTATACTCATCTAGTACTAAAAATGCAATAAATCAGTACTGATGTCATAAGTGCTCATTTAGTACTAATATTTACTGAAATGAGTACTCAATATTAGTACTCGGCATATCTCCCTGTGTATTACACTACACAGAAGTATTTGAGTCATTCTCTGGTCAAGTGGACAGATATATATACTAAGGGCTTCACAGTATTCGTTTGCAAGGATAATTATGTACACTGATTCTAGATCTTGTTCATGGTACCCAATTCTGGATGCCTCTCACCCAATAACAAAAATATCTAAGTATTAAACTAATGATAAAGTATGTCTTTAGAGTATGTATTTATGATGGTTTTGGGAATTATTTCCACCAAACTCATGCACAAAATACTGTGTTGTCTAGGGTAGTCGCCCATTAAATTGTTTATCATCACATCACAGATATGAGTTAGTATAATCAATACTTTTGATACCATTAACTCTTTTAATGGGTGGTAGATTAACAACACAGTTTGAATGATTCAATTCAACTAGAAAATGTATTTTATTAAAAATAAATTTTAAGCACAAATAAGTTCATAAAATAAAGGGTAGTTTTTGAGTTTCCTGATGTTGTCCTTTGTGCTACCTCTCTTCATAGTTCTATCGCAAACATATTGACCAATATTAACAAAGGTCATCAAGACATAAGAGTAGTTTCAGATACATTTAAGTTTTAATTAAATTACAGGCAGCTATTTTCAGGAGATTACATGATAATATTATCTGGATAAAATGAAAAATCATATTTGCTCCTTACTAACATGTGATAACGATCGTATATGCCAAGGTAGCATAAGTCAGTAAACTCCACTCTATATACATATTATCACCAAAATGCAGTCTGAATACAGTGAATAGAGAATTTCTTGTTCTTGTACTGTTAGTCACAAATAAACCAAGATGGCAAAGTCAGTACAAGTCAGTAATAAGTCAGACTCAGATGGAACCTGAATAGAGAATTTCTTTTCCTTGTACTGTTAGTCATGAATGTACCAAGATGGCAATTGTACACAAAAATGACTAGATGACAAGTGCACCAAGACAATATGAGGTGTCAGTTTGTTGGATACTAGACTACCAATCTCCATCAAGCTTGTCTTGGTATTTGGTGTTCCCAATCATGTTTGCATTTTGGGCACTTTGGGTTTGTTTGATCTTTGAACAGTCTTACAGCACAATATAGATGTAGTTTGGTATTATCCTCAGGTCTCTCTGCCCTGTCTTCACACACTGAGCACATCTGGCCCTGAAAGAAGTTTCATAGATGTTTTCAGTAATCTGGGTCTGTAACAATGTACATGTATGTACTGTACAATGAAAATGCATCATCATGCAGAATAAACCTGGTCACAGCCTGAATCTAATATGCATTGAACAAGTTGGAACCAACAATATATCTTACCACTTTTGGTGGTGGTGACATAAAAAAATTAGCATAGCAGGGTACAAGAAATTTTCTCCAATTTTCCATAAGTGCGATTTTTTGATTACTTTTACAATGTCTGCCTAACCTCTATTTTCCACATGAGCTTCCCTTTTCAAATCTTTTTGTCTTTTTATTTGCAAATGCTGAATGGCAAACGTTAATTCAGAACTCTGTTGTTGTGAACAATGAACAATTTTTTGGGGGGAAATGTCATGTCAATAGACTAGATGCAGGTAGAAATAATCTTGATTTACATCAAATATTCAAAATTCATATTTAACATCTACATGTAAAATTACATATAGAATTATGGTTTCAAAAATTGTTTAAGGATGTAAGCCCTGGACTCAGTACAATGTGGAATGACCATTCCTTGAAGATGTTGCTTTCCAAAATTTGCACGAGATGTGCAGCATCGAGTACTAATTTTAGAAAACAACGCCTGAAAGGAATGGTCATTCCCCAATGCATCGAGTCTTGGGCTTAAATTTTTCACACATTGCCAGTGGTTTCAGTAACTTTTTTTACAAGAGGCAGCAGATTAGAAATACAAGGGGCGGCATTCAAAATAACCAATTTTACACTCCCGGAAATGCAAATTTTTGTTTTACACTGGTGATCCGCTTGATTACACTGGTTACCGAAACTGTTCGTTTTGGGGTAACAAAATGTCGGAACGTCAAAGGTACGATTTTTCTTTTTTCCTTATTTCACACGTTGTAGGCAGAATCCCAACGCCATTTTTTCTCAAAAACTAGTATCAGCACCATATGTTTTAGGAAATGTACATGTTTGCGAAAAAATATGTCAGAAGACAACAAAATCGTCGATTTAATTCCTCACTTTAACGGTTTTGGGTTAAAAGTGCAGATCTTAACTGTTTTTCGAAAAACCGTTTATGTAACTTAAGTGAGGAATTAAGTAGACGATTCTGTTGTCTTCCGAACTATTTATTCAAAAATATGTACATTTTCTTAAACATATGATAGTCATACTGATACATGTTTGTGTTAAAAATGTCGTGGGAATTCTGCCTACAACGTGTGAAATAAGAAAAAAAGAAAAATTGTACCTTCGATGTTCCGACATTTTGTTACCAAAACGGACCGTTTCGGTAACCAGCGTAATTGAGTGGATCACCAGTGTTATTAGAGCGTCGGCGCACCGAAAGTGGATAAATGGGCAGGGAATGTCAAATTAAATTCACATTCTGATGTGCATTATGCTGTTGCTATTGCGTGGGATCACTGATCAGATGGGTTTGATGTAATCCATGGTTATTATTGTTCTTGTAAGATTAAAGGCAAAATATACTACATGTCACAAAAGTGCAAGGATGAAGACTTCACCTGTGAATATATTTCAGACAACGTATCTCATACACAAGAGTATTGTACAGTCATTCAAAGTTTTGAACATTGAATCCTATTTGAGAGGTGATTTAAAAGATTTTACGTGTTGCAGGTTTTCCAAAGTCATTTCCATGTGTGATATTGTCAATTTAATTGACCACAAGACACGGGCTACACAAAATAACATCTTGAACTGTGGAATGACTAGGGCAACTCATATAGAATGCCATTTTTATTTTTTATATTCTTATAAAATAAATTATGATTTACTCTTCCACAGGTTTCATTTTACAAATTCAAATGCACTTCCTGGGTTGAACACTCAATATAGAATGCAACCTGTGTGTATACAATGTACAGGGCATTCAATAAGTACTGATGAAATGATGTGACTTTTTTAATCTCCCCCCTAAACTTAAGACCATATTTGGCTTCTGACAACCGGCGAATTATAGAAAACAAACGGCGATTTTGGACTCTCGCCCCCTGCTATTGAAAGCCCAGATTGCAAAACATTTTCTAAAAATTGTCACTTAAAAGAAATCACTAAAATAACATATTTTCAATGAAACCTTTTGTAAGGGTCAAGTTGGCAAAGCATCAATTTATATCTGAAGAGCCAAGTTGTCACCTTGAAAACCACATAAGGAATGACCTTGGATGCAGTGATTGGTTATATAATGCACTGCAGTTATATGAAATACTGTTTTCAGATTGGCTAGAATGGAACACACATTGCCTATCCATGTGTCAATTATCAATATCAACTATGAAAATTTAATTTTTTTTGAAAATGTGACAACTACGTTGTAGGTCGGGTATAGAATCCAGGTTATAATAATAAAATAACAAGGCATTAACATGACAAAATGACACCGCCTAGTTGCGCACAATATTATTAGTTCAATCTTAGTCAGATTTGAACTTCTGAGAAGTTGTAGATGATTTTGAAAAAAAATTGGTCAATTTGAAGCAAGTTGAAAAAATACCTTTTTAACCTCGAAAAGGTCATTGAAGGTCAAGTATTTTTTGTCCTTAAGAATGTCATTGAAGGTCAAATCTATAGTCAGATTTGAACTTTTGAGACATTCTAGATGATTTTGAAAAAAGTTGGTCAATTTGAAGCAAGTTCAAAAAATACATTTTTGACCTTTTTTACAATGAGAAGGTCATTCAAGGTCAAATCTCAAATCTAAAGTCAGATTTGAACTTCTGATAACTTGTCAATGATTTTTTTAAAAAATATGGCCAATTTGACGCAAGTTGAAAAAAAACCTTTTTGACCTTTTACCTTGAAATGGTCATTGAAGGTCAAATCTAAAATATAAAGTCAGATTTGAACTTCTGAAAACTTGTAGATGATTTTGAAAAAGCTGAAGTCAGTCTAAAAGGTATTTGTTAAGTTATTGGAAATTTTAAGAATTTGTAACACATGCCAACCGCCACCCACCGATCACCAACCAGCAACTACCGGTTGCCACCACAAAAAGACGAAGACCACAACAATATGTCACCACTTTTTGGTGGTGACATAAAAAGTGTAATATTTTTTCTTGAATTCAGCAGATAATATTTTCTTTTACTGGAGATTAGAGATATTTTAATTTGTATAACTACATTAAGGCAATCTGAAAATTGTTCCACCAAAACTGTTGAGTATTTAAGTTTAAGGGAACTATCTACTACTAGTTTCTGTCATTTAATCTGACCCGAATTATCCACTTTGATTAGCCACTGCGGCATTCAGTAAGTTCTGATAAAAATTAAACTTGTGAATTTCTGAAACGTGCATTATTTAATGACAACATAGTAGTTGCTCATACCTTGATACACAGTCTTTTGCAGATGTTGCAATTGATGGCAGACAATGGGTATGTCTTGCTTATGTATTGGTCCAGTTCAAGGATGCCTCTTGTACCAAGAGATATAATGCCCTTCCCCTAAAACACAATAAAATACATTGAAAATTTCATGATCATATTGTTATAATTGTCAGATCTTGAAGCTCTATAAAAACAAATAAAAGCTCCTCAACAAGTCGAATTTCAAAGGTGTATCATACATATCACCTATATAGCACAGCGGTAGAGCACATGTACCAAGTATGCATAGGTCACGGATTTGATCCCCGGTTCAGGCAATACTTAATTTGCTTGTTTGCGTAAAGTACTTCAGGGTGTTTAGTTGAGCAGTCCATGACTCGCAAAAAGGCTGTGGTGTGTACTTGTATGCCTATGTATGAGTGCACATAAAAGAACACCGGGGTTCTTCAAGGAGGGGTTCCTAGATCTGACTTCCATGATGATGCGTTAATTACGACCGTATATATACGGGATATACTCAAGAGGTATTGCTCACCTTCAATGGTGGTAAACAAGATACAATATAATACAATCACACTTCAAACATTCTTGTTTTTTGCTTAGTGACATAGTAAATATATGATGAACTTCAAAACACCTGCCTTGTGTATTGTTATCCAGCCTGCTGTGGACAGAGATTCAATAAGTGTTTCAGCTTCTTTTTTTGTCATTCTCTTTTTACTTATGGTCTTTATCTCATCAGTGAGGTTGACTGCTTGTATTGTGTTGATCTCCCCATCCCCATTCACTATCTTTTGAACCTGTACATATTGCAAGTGTGATATAAATTAGATTACTGTATATAGAACACTGAAGCTGCACAGCTACATAAAGGCATTTTTCATCAATGTCAGCATTAACTATATTCTCTGGAACCAGTCATCTGACTATGCAATGTATATAATAAAGTGTGATGTGTGAATTCTATATTGGTCGGGGTATATGGACAAACTAAAGGCAAGATCATGTGAAAAATTCACACTTTAAGATGAACCGGCCAATTGTCTTAATGACATGAATGAAGGGTGTATTTGACTAATAGTAAAGAATTACTTACGATTTTTTTGAAAAGCTCAAGTTCATTGACGGTGTATGTTGCAAGGTGTGGGTTTTTCAAGAAGTCAGAGTCGTATGTATTCACCTGAAATATTTAAATGTTTCACATTTAAATTCTAAATCCAAAGATAAACCAAATATATTGAGCAGTATTAAAGAAGTCAAAGTGAAAAGAAATGGCACTGAAAAATATCCAAGTCTTCCAATAGGTTGGCTTTCATTTGCTTAGCATAACCATATACGAGTACATGCATACATTGCAATTCAAAAATATAAACCTAATAAACATTTAAAAAACATTTCATTTTTTCTTTCCTCTCCAAAATATGTCCTTAAATCTCAGCTGGGACTGGTCAAAGGTATTCAGATGGACAGGTGTTCACATTTCAAGGTGTTTACATGGTAATCTTAGCACATGTATTTCACATTGGGAGGTGTACAAGAGGAGTTTAGATATACAGTTTTACTGGCCAAGTACATACCAATGCATAATATGAGGATCCTGTAAATTCACTGAGGCCTTTCTTTATTTCAATTCCAACTGGTTTGATGTTCCTGTTTATCTCTTGGACAAATTGTCCTAAGTTTGTTTGATCATAATTAGCTGAAAATATATAAATTAATGTGTATTTTATGTACACTATTGAAATGCCTCCCATCTGTAAATTAAATGGACAATGATGAATACATTATCATTAAGAAAAACACATAGTTTCCATGGTTTAACATTGTAATTACCAACAGAAAATCATGTTTTTGCCAGTTATTGCTCAGTATTACATGTTTTTACTGTTAAAAAGTGGCTGTTCAAATGTGTAAGTATCTTGAAAAATATGTTCAGGTAAAATCACTTAAAAGTCTTCATAATCATGTAAAATTGCAATCCAAGAATGAGAGCTGTTTTTAAAGTAAGCATGGAACCTTATTACACTCACACTACACAACTTTTTCAGAAGAGCAATGTAAATTAGTAATAATTATCATGGTAACCATGACAGCAGGTTTACTAACTAAATCAATGGTCATACCTTCAAACCTTGCACAACTCGCCCTGTGGGCCATTTTTACACCAGACGCATCCATTATATTTTTGCTCATCAACATCTGTAAAAAAACTCTTTGTTCATCAGACATTGCCTCCATTGTTTATGAGATGCTTGGCATAAACTATGATGACTTGGCTAGGATCTTTGCTGGTGATGTATTGTAGATTTTTAGGTATCCAGGCCAATTCTTAGGTTACTTTGTGAATATTCTAAGATCAATCCTGTGAAGACTTTCCTATTTGCCTACTATATTCTAGTCCAGATGTACATCTATTAGGTGGTGTAAACTATTTGGTGTAGACTTTTGACTTTCTGGAGATCTAACTGGAAATAAACATAATAGAATTGTACTCAAGTAAAAAGAAATTGCAATTTTCATGCAATAATTGTTTAATTATTGGTTAATAAATATTCATTTTGATTAGTGTTAATCTGTTTCAGTCAATATAAAATATTGAAATTAAAAGACTTCTTTGTTTTTTGTTTACAGAGTACATAAGAGTACATGTGAGTTATATAATAAAACAAATAGTGACAGCCAATTTTTGGCAAACAGTGTCAAAATTTTCCTATGGAACATGTCAGTTGATAGGATAATCTCTCGGGAAAATATTTTGCAAAAAAAAGTTATTTCCCTCAATGTTGCTAGTACATAGGAGTTTGATTGCAATAAACCGTGATGGCTAACATTGCCACGGTTGCACCAAACAGAATCCTGCATCTGATCATATGTGAGAATTATGTGTTAGTGCACTTGAATGAGTTTTTTTGTTGAAAACATGGGACCATGTAAATTGCGCTACGGGGCTTGCAGGGGGAAATCTCATTACCTATTACGCAATGCTCCACCAAGAGGGGGGAAAGCCCCAGAGATCACCACATCTGTTTGCTCAACTTCTCACCAGCTAGTTTTCAAAAATAACACGTTGCTGTGCTGTTTTAATCGATGTAAGCATGTTCACTACACCTTTCTTTATCTTGATCCAAAATAACAAAAACTATGATATAAATCAAAAAAATGACAGAAATTAGCCTGTAGTGTAGGCAGACAAACCAGCAGCCCTACCACCATGCTGAGGAATCTGCAGCTGCCAGTACCACTACAAAACAGACATAATTTGACAAGAGTAGTCATGCTTTACAAGATAGTCCACCATAAGGTAGCCATTCCACCAGCGGCATACCTTGAGCCAGTAGGATCTGTGACTAGGGGTCACAACCTACGCTACTTTGTCCCATCCTCAAGAGCACTGGGGATGAACTGGAAACGAGGGAGGTTTTGCCTCGTATCAAAATGGCGGCGCGTGAAAAAATTTCATTCGGTAAGATTTTTGTTTTTTACAATTTTCGTGCTTTTATCCTTCAAATTAAAACTTAATATTTGGCAAGTAAATAGTTTATAAGTTCCGGTTTTATAATATGATTGCAAATTAGAAATCAATACAGACATTGCTGAGATATTTACATTTCAATTCTCTCACTTAGGAAACGAGGCACCTGTCTACATTTTGTAACAATGAAACGAGGCAATGTTTGACTTGCAACGAGGCAACTATTCTTTCTCTGATAGTGTCTACATTTATGATCTTATTTCCACCGTTCTTTCTGGTCACATACTACCGATTACGTTTTACCCGATATACATGATTATATATGTAAGAGTTAAAAAGAATAACCATATTGTTTAAAGTACCAATACAGGCAAAAGCAATCACATCATATACAGGTACAATGATGGTACATGTGTACACATTCCAAATGTAGTTATACATATTAGGCTATGACATGATGAGCTAATAAGAATGTATGATAAGCATGTAGGCCTATGTATATCTGATAATCTGTACAATCTGAATGTTTGATAAAGGAACTTGATGATGCAGCTGAAGGTATGGAATGATTAAAGTTGCAGCAAAGAAAAGTCTAACTGTACCAATTTAGTTAAGCTACATGTTGTTAAAGTCCCCGATAAATCGGGCTACGTATACCGCCGTGTTTACATTAGGGGATTAGAAGAGTTTATTTTTTACTTAGGTATGCAAGCTACGTATATCAATATTAGGCCTTCATTCATGTACTCGTGTGCATGTAATCAGCATGCCCTTCAATATTATGTAAACCAGGCTATTCAAGTACTGTATAATGTACACTATTTATGTGTGTACTACATACATACAATACAATTCCCTGGGAAACAAAACACAAATACTTTTTATATGTTCAAAATGAGCCATTTGATTGATGCAAACACTAAATAGCTTCATAAATAACATCTACAAAGTATATCTAATAGTAATTTTTAATTTCAATGGTGAAACTTCCCTGGTTACGATTATATGGGAAATCATCACGAGACGAAGATCGTTCGCCTTCCTGGCTTACCTCTGAATCGTGTACCCGGTAATCTCTTTATATAGTTTAGCGAGAGCGGTGCGCCTGCGCAGTTTTAAACTTTGGCGCACACTTTAAGGTTCATCTTTAAGTACAGAAAATGTCAATGCACTTCACTCGATTCATTCTTTGCTGCAGCTTAAAATTCATGCTAAGGAGTTATACTGTTTTATTTTTTAAATATTTCGAAAACGTTAAATAGCATTGCTTTGAGTGTCAATTCCAATAAACGAGCCAGCTATCCGAGCTATCAATGGTAGCGCATATATCGTCAAAATGTTCTCTCAAATAAGAAAATCTCGTTCAAAGAAGTGCTATTTTAATAGCTAGGGAGCTTAAGCTACACGTATTTTAGAAATGGCGAACGTAAACGTGAAATGACCCCTGGGAACTATAGTTCCGTTCTGGATTGACTTATACAAAGACCCAATTAAAACAGTTTAACTGATACCTTTGTAATCATTCATGCAAATAAAGACGTTGAAGACAAGAACTAGTTCTCTGAAGATTGCAATTTTACACGTTTACGTACACTTCTCTTTAAAACATGTGTCGTTAAACCTCCCTACTAATCGTACGCAAATGGGGCATTGTTGTTGCTCGAGATGGATATATTTGATAGAATATAATTCCAGATACGATAAAAAACGAATGACCATGGTAATAATTAAATGACTCGCCTATATTACAAAAATAGCAGAGTCAAGGAGCACACTGACATTGTCTCATTTGTGTACATTGGATTTTACTGTTTGTATTCTTTAATGTCTGTATGTTACACGTTCAATGGCAAAGCCAAAATGATGAGACGCGTATACAAATGAACCTGTTTTCTCATCTAACGTTCGTTTCCGTACAGAGAGATTACCATCATGCTGTTGCATCATATGGAATACAATATCAGCAACGTTGTCGTTTCCTGTGTTACAGAAATAGCATTTGAACAGGGACGCTTCTTTTTGTAGGCCCCGTTCTGTAATAAAAACAAAACATTTTTAATTAAATATGGTTGCCTCGTTTCATTCTTAAGAATGCTATATAGCTGCCTCGTTTCCTTGAGAAACATGCCTCGTTTCCTAAGTGAGAGAATTGATATGTAAATATCTCAGCAATGCCAGTATTGATTTCTAATTTGTAATCATATTATAAAACCGGAACTTATGAACTATTTACTTTCCAAATATTAAGTTTTAATTTGAAGGATAAAAGCACGAAAATTGTAAAAAACAAAAATCTTACCGAATGAAATTTTTTCACGCGCCGCCATTTTGATACGAGGCAAAACCTCCCTCGTTTCCAGTTCATCCCCAGTGAAGAGTAGATATACATCTTTACTCATTTTTCCCTGCAACCATACGACTATGGAACCTTCTTTCAGCAAATGTAGCCATGATACATTCCCTGGACATTTTTAAGAAGGAGGCAATTGTGATGCTTTCGTACGAAGTCAGGGCTCTCGCCAGGCTTTTAGACTGTGGCGCAGCACCACACTCTATTTAGCTCCCTCCACACCCTATTGGCAAATCATGACTCTTTCCACAGTCTATACTTGACTAAATATACAATAATAGCATTTAAAAAGGATAAAATATGACATAAATATGATTTATCACGATTGAACGGTTATTCTGAAGATGTTCGCACCACACCCTAAATACATCCTGGTGAGAGCCCTGTAAGTGATGACGATTTAAAAACGATTTTAGAAATTTTAAAGCACATTCACACTACAATTGTATATATACACCGCACACAAGCACACATAGTACGAAATATCCTCAAGAGGAGTCTGTACTGTAATAGAAGAAGAAGAAGAAGAAGAAGAGGAAGAAGAGGAAGAGGAAGAAGATGAAGAGGAAGTGGAAGAGGAAGAGGAAGAAGAAGAAGAAGAAGACGAAGAAGACAAAGACCCTATCTGTTGCAAGACTTTTGCTTGGCACAACCGTCACCATGTTATTAAGTGTTGTTAAGTTTCGCAAGGATCCTGCCATGACCATTGTAGTGTTATCGTGATAGCCTGATATAACCGTGACAATGCTATATTATACTGCATGGCCTGTCATGACCGTGGTAATGTCAGCCTGATATGACCATGACAATGCTATACTATATTGCAAGACCTGTCATGACCGTGGTAATGTTAAAGCCTGATATGACCGTGATAATGGTTGCACTTAGGCCTGTCATGATTGTGGTAATATTAAAGCACAATATAACCGTGACAATGGTTATATTAAGTGACATTAATAGCATGAGAATACTGTAATGAAAAATTTCATCGTTTATCTACCTTAAATATGTAAATCTAGACTACTACATGCCCATAGTCAGTTTTTTGTAAGGGGGGGGGGGGGGCTTGAAACCCCCCCGCACCCCCCAAAAAAATATTTCCCCATTCTAAACCAAGACCCTTTGTATTGTAAAGGACAGTGGCGGATCAGGAAGCTAACAAGGGGACCCACATTTCAAGTCAGGAAAAAAATATCCGCGCTTGCACGGAAAAACTTTTTAGGGCCCTAAAACCAAAATTTGGGCCAAAATTTAGCAAATCTATGGCATGTTTTTTGAAAATTTGGCTTAATATTGAAAAATAAGGCCTAAAAAGATTAAGTAATGCCCAAAAAGGCCCACTAAAGAGGTCCTATGATATTTTTTGGCCAACATTTATTTTGGACCAATTATTGCCGCGCAGAAAACCTTTTAGGGCCCTAGAACTAAAATTTTGAAAATTTATAGCCCGTTTTTTTTGAAAATTTGGCCTAAAATTGAAAGAAATAAGGCGCGAAAAGGTCAAGTAAAAAGGTCAAGTAAAGGCCAACTAAAGTGGCCCTACAACATTTTTGGCCAAACATTTTTTGTCAAGGCCCATCCTAGGGGCGCGCATAAAATGTTTAGGGCCCTTTAACCAAAATTCGGGGGAAAATTTTGAAAATTAATGGCCCGTTTTTTAAAAATTTGGCCTTAAATCAAAAATAAAGCCTAAAAAGGTAAATCAATGCCCAAAGAGGCCTACTGAAGAGGCCCTACAATTTTTTGGGCCAAACATTTTTTGTCAAGGCCCATCCTAGGGGCGCGCATAAAATTTTTAGGGCCCTTAAACCAAAATTCGGGCGAAAATTTTGAAAATTAATGGCCCGTTTTTTAAAAATTTGGCCTTAAATCAAAAATAAAGCCTAAAAAGGTAAATCAATGCCCAAAGAGGCCTACTGAAGAGGCCCTACAATTTTTTGGGCCAACATTTTTTTCTGGGCCCAACCTTTTAGGGCCTTGGAACTAGGGCTGGCACGGAACGGAACGGAATCGGAACAGAACGGAATTCGGAACTTGGCTTCGGAATTCGGAACTTTCGGAATTTTGGACCTTATCTAAAATAGTTCCTACTTCTCCCCTTAAGTTCTCATTTTTGTTACCACTGGAACAGTGTACAACTATATATATATATAAGTTGTATTATGTTTATTAAATACAAACACTAACACTATCTAACTGCCAGAACAAGTGGCATAAATGTTCAAAACTAATGGCAAAATGTAAATGTCCTTGCCTTCTTGGCATACAACTGTTACTTTATATTGTATATTATCTTTCTTACAATAATTGTCTCCTCTTATAGAATATATCTAAAACAATCACAATTTATTTATTTCTATCATTCATTACATATAAAACAACTTTACCAAGTGAAAATGTTTAATAATTATATATATTTATTGATTTCGTTTCATAGTACTAGTTCGCTATAGCGTGTTAGCGTGTCGCTATAACGATGAGTGAATGTTCTTTAAGGAAAATAAAAATTCCGAAAATTATCGGAATATGAGAAGGTAGGTCCGAAAGTCCGTTTCCGAAGGCAAAACCGGATGGTTCGGACAATAATTCCTTTCCCTGCCAGCCCTACTTGGAACAGATCAAGTAAAAAGGCCAAGTAAAGAGGCCGTACAATATTTTTGGCCAAACATTTTTTTCTCGACCCATCCTAGGGCCGCGCGTAAAATATTTTAGGGCCCTAAAACCAAAACTCGGGCCAAAATTTAGAAAATTTATAGCCCGTTTGTGAAAAATTAGGCCTGAAATTGAAACTTAAAAAATAAGCAATCAAATGACCATATTGAAACAGTTTATGTAAAAATAGAAACATTTATATTTATCCTAACTTTTGTCCTCTTTGTGTCCTCTTATATTTTGATACTTCTCTGCCATGTTATTTTCGGAAAAATTAACATGGATGAAAATTAGGGTGTCCCAAAAAATCACTTTTTTGGAGTTGAGCTTAGCACAGTTGGGGTTTGGTTCCTTTTGGGGAGTTTATTAAGTGTGTAAAATATTATAGAGACAGATCGATGTTTCAGTTGTTGGAATTAGACCTAAAAATGTAACGTTTTTGGCAAAAATCGCACTTTTTGACCAGATTTACTGAAGAATAATGGAAACCTACCTCACCTTCTGTTCATAAAAATGAAGGCTAAATGAAAGGTTGTGCACCACATTACCACTCTAAGTAAGAATACTGCTGAGATTTGGGTATATACCCTCCAAAAAGACTCTGAAATGAGGCTAAAAATGACATATTTTAAGATTGAAATCAATGGGTAACATTCATACGTATTACAAATGTTTTATTTAGCTATAGATATGCAGATCACATAAGTAAGTTCAGATCAGTTCTTCAGGTCAGTTCTTCAGATAAAATTGTCCATATTGTCCATTTGTTGTTTGTTAAGGTTTTTAAAATCAAGAAGCTGGCGGTGATGGTTAACCACCATCTGAACACGATCGCGGCGATCCACACCCTTACTGTAGTTTGCGAACTCGGTACATCCTTGATTGCCCGTTCTGCACAATTGTTAACTACTTCCATGGAAGTAACGAGCTCCTTAAATCTAATATACTCTGGAAAGTGGAAACTGATCCCAGTTGTCGGGATTAAATTCCATCCAGTGTACATCTACTTGAAAGAGGTCAAAAATTAACCATGACCTTTCCCCACCAAAGTTTTCAAGCGTGACGTCCCCTGGTCTTGTTAACAAGTGAACTTTCATTTGTGTTTTCTGTTGAGGAAAGTTCTGGGGACGACCTGCATCTATCATTACTCTGACGAACTCAGGCCATGAAAACAATTCTACTATTTTTTTCATGGCCTGAGTTCGTCGCTAACATGCTAAATATAAGAGTTAGCTGACGTTTGGGAGTCTGACTTACCTTCTAAAGGTTAGAACCCGAATCTTAATGAAACCATATCACCTTTGTTCCGTCGATGATGATGCATAAACACAGCATTTGATAGAAATTAGTGTAAATGTTTTTCCGACATTTTCATTTTTCATCAATGTTGACTTCCGGGAAGGCGTTGTAGTTATCACGAAATAACGCATTGACCCTTAAACTTTACTTTGTTGACGTGTCAACCAAGCATGTCTGGTGTGAAAATTAAAAGAATATTAAGCAATGTTCTACATCCGCCAAGCTAAGTGAAGTAGCCAATATTTAAAATTACCAATTTCAAGTGAAGTACGCAACGAACGAAACTGCGCGATCTACACTCCCACTATTGGTCTGAACGAAATGCTACATAGAAATATGAGCCGTCTGCTGTATTAGTCGATTAATAGAGTAAGACCTGTTGGTGATGCTTTATAATTTAGACCAAAACATTGAAGAACAAACGAACCTGTAAATCGTAACGAACAAATATTCGGTTTTCACATATGTTCGGTAATTTTTCGTATTGAAACTTCCGGAACTTACAAGGAAATCATTCATCTTCACGGTCTTGGATGTTATGGCAAATGCTCCATGGTTGACGGAACAAAGGTGATATGGTTTCATTAAGATTCGGGTTCTAACCTTTAGAAGGTAAGTCAGACTCCCAAACTTCAGCTAACTCTTATATTTAGCATGTTAGCGACGAACTCAGGCCATGAAAAAAATAGTACGTGAATTTTGTTGTGGGGACTGGCAAAAGTAATTTTTGAAAGGGACAGATATTAGACATACTGAAATGCCAAGTATTTTATAGATAATATATTTAAAATGATCAAGATTATATAGCATAGTATATGGTATCTCTCTCGATCACTAAAAAGGGAAAATAATATCGAAGAAATATTCATACTCCCGCCATACTTACAGATGATTGAAGAGCTCGCCAAGCATGAGCCACCACGTCTACTTTTGAGGGGCTTTTGAACTATCAATTTGCAATAAAGCATTATCAAGTTCTTCCCGCTATTTAATATCTTAAGTGTTGAACATATTTAGTTATTTATGGGTGTTCATATTACTAAATACATTGATGGACGATTGAGACAGAGGGAAGAAGAAAGATCAAACCGGAAGTACAAACCCGGAAATACAGACACGGAAGTGAAAAGTAACATGTGTTGAAATCACAAAAACACATGTGTGAAAGTGTCTAATTATATCGTTTGATTTTCAATTTGAACACCTATTTGTCGCTCAACAAACCAATCAAGAAGTTGCACTAGACATAGGAGAGGTCGTATGTTGATATAAAACAATGGATTTGATACAAAATGGATGGTTTAGTGAAATCAATGAACTTTGGCCTGGACAAGCAATGTCTCTTGCAGTGGAGAAAGTTCTTCACCATGAGAAGTCTAAATATCAGGACATCCTATTGTTTGAAAGGTGAGTTTCAAACCTTTTTCGTATACTATCATAGGCCAAGGGTAAAGTAATAGTAAGCCGTATATAGAAGAGACAGGTGAACAACTCTGACTTAGACCACTTGTTAAGATGGAGATTTCAACAATATTTAGTGTATTGTTTTCAAAAAGCAATGGGGAGTTGATAGAAAATTGATAGTTTGTAGCTCTTACCTAAGATTGAAACTCAGTCAGATGATATAGAGTGAATAATGCTGTCTAAAAGAGAGAATTTCTGAAAACCTGCAATTGCTTGGCAGGTTCATTAGTAAACAAGTGATCTGATTGGTCACTGCTGACCTCCCTGACCTCCACCAGTGACAATCAGTTTCAGCTTGCCAGGCAATTGCAGATATCCATAGTTCTTGTTTTATATGCAGTATTATATGCAGTTTTTAGATAAAGATTTGAAGAAAACAATGATATAAGTTTGAAAAACACTTTGAAGAAGATTTTGGAGAGATTTGGGAATACAATTTGATACCAGTAAGGAGAACTAGTGCCAAGACTTAAAAAATTGGAAAAATTTTCAATCTTACTTGTGGACCTGTCTCTTCTATATACAGCTTACTATTACTTTTTCCTTGGCCTATGTATACTATAATAACTATAGGCTGAAGCCTATGTAATCCTCTTTCAATGAAACATATAGTACTGTTTTAGTGGGACATACATGTATACTGTGAATGGAATGCTCGACCATGTACATGTATGTGTCCCACACCACAGACACAGGGACAAGAGTTCATCCCCCTCCCACTCACTATGTATTAGGTAGAAAAAAAGACAGGCTCGTATCTCGGGGAATCTTAGCCTCTACTTTACAGGTAATTGCTCTCATATCTCCCCCTGAAAATTGTCATGCATTATATCTTTTGTCCCAATGCAAGGTTAAGAGAGACCCTATCTGTTGAAAGACTTATGCCTGACACAACTGCCACCATGTTATTAAGTGTTTTTAAGTTTTGCAAGGATCCTGCCATGACCGTGGTAGTTAATGAAAACACAGGATGAAATCCTTTGCTAAGGGCTGATGTGAAAAAGTCAGTCCACCCCAGTGGGGATTGAACCCACGACCCCTCGCTTTCCGGGCAAGTGCTCTACCGCTGAGCTACAGGACCGACTGGTTTTTTCACATCAACATTGCATATACAGCATTGCAGCCATGTCTTACATGCCCAGTTTCCTGGACCCCATATGAGTTACCTGTCTTTCCAGGTTGTCAATCACTCTATTCATGATGTCACGTGGACTTTCCCACGGGCCATTCCCCCTAAGGAGAAGTAGTATTAGTTAATGAAAACACAGGATGAAATCCTGTGCTAAGGGCTGATGATTATTAAGTGTTTTTAAGTTTCGCAAGGATCCTGCCATGACCGTGGTAGTGTAATTGTGATAGCCTGATATGACCGAACAATGCTATACTATATTGCAAGGCCTGACAATTGACCGTGGTTAAAGCCTGATATGACCGTGACATTAGTTGCAAGTTTTGTCATGACCATGGTAATGTTCAAGCCTGATATAACCATGACACTGCTATATTATATTGCAAGGCCTGTCATGACCGTGGTAATGTTAAAGCCTTATATGACTGTGGCAATGGTTGTAAGGCCTGTCATGACCGTGGTAATGTTTAACTCTGATATGACCGTGACAATGTTCACATCCTTGAATGGCTTTATATCTCTAGCAGATTATTTCATTGAATAAGCAATCCAAAATGCTAATTAAATTTCAAAGGAAGTGCACACACAAAACCATAATTGTATTTTTCAGTAAGTCATATGGGCGTGTGCTGGTGCTTGATGGTGTGATCCAAACAACTGATAGAGATGAACACTCTTACCAAGAGATGATCACATTCCTACCTCTCAACTCTCACCCTAATCCACAAAAGGTAATTATCCCATTGTTGTCTCCTCATTCAAAGTGAATGGTTAATCAAATTTTCAAAATGGCTTTTAATGTCAAGTACCATGTGGCACTACATGTATTGTTGTCACATAGTTGTTTTGTGAGTTAAAAAAGTGGAGAAAATTAAGTTTAAAAATCAAGATAAAAGATAAAGTATTTTTGGGGGAGCTAGGGCAATGCTTACACAATGAGAGATGGACTTATTAAGTTATTCTTAAAGCAAAGAAACACCTGTTCTCAAACACTTACAAAACACTTGTGAATAAAGTATATGGCTTGTGCGCGACCTGTTTATTAAAATAATCCATATAATATACAGAATCATACAACAAATTTCTCTCTCAGTGATTCTCGACTAATGCACCGAGCATTGCTGTGGCCTCTTAGTCATTTAAACATTATTATTTCTGAACAAACAATAATAATCAATCTCTCCGAGATTATTTTGATTATTTCAATGCACCAAGCATACGTGGCCTCTGCCATTTGAAAACTACATGTATTATATATGCAATAAACTTTTTCAGTCAATGATCAATAAATCTTTGACCTGTTTGACAGCACACATTCTATGTGCAAAGACAATTCAACTTATTCGTTTATCTCTCTGTTTTCTACTAAATGATGTGAAAAATATTGGTGGCACCTGTAACTTAACTGTGTGCCAAGCATGAACATGAACTGTCACACTTAACAGTAATCATGGCATTTATAATTTAATAAAGACTGCAAATTTTCAAGTTTCAAGATTACTTTGATAAAATATGATAATGAATAACATGTCTTAATTGTTTTGAACTTATGTCAGTTTCGTGGAGACCCTTCTCAAGAAGTGTAAGAAGTACCTAATATATTGGATTTAGATAGGAGGTCTACCTACATCCTAAGCTGAAACTGATGATGTAGGCTCCATAGCTGTAATGTAAAATATTGAAATATATTAAATTAACTGTCTTTAACAAAATGCCTTCTTAAATTAACAAATATGTATCTTAAAAATAAATAAAATATCTGGTAAATTAAGTGACCAACCTATCTGGTCCGCATAAGAAGCCGAAGTGACCAATTTATCTGAACAAATCATAACCAATCACACGATATTACACAACAAATTAGAACTTTAGTATCTCATTTAGCGCCTAATTCAAAAGTATAACACTTCAGTTAATGCATTAAATCATTTTCAAACTTATTCACTTCGTTCAATCGTTAGAACATACAAATAATCAATGATGAAAGTCAGTGACTATCACTGTATAGTCCGATCCATGGATCAACATTAATGAGGTCAAGGTCTCTTGGTTATTCCATACATGTATATATCAACTTTGACTCACCCTGTATAATCCATCGACTTTTTATTGTATTGTATTTTGTTTACCACCAATGAAGGTGAGCAATACCTCTTGGGTATATCCCGTATATGTACGGTCGTAATTTACGTAATTATCCTGGAAGATAGACCCAGAATTCCCTCCTTGAAGAAGCTCTGTGTTCTTTTATGTGCACTTATACATAGACATACAAGTACAAACCACAGCCTTTTGTACGAGTTGTGGACCACTCAGTCAAACACCCTGAAGTACTTTACGCAAACAAGCAAATTAAGTCTTGCCTGAACCGGGGTTCTAATCCGGGACCTTTTTCGTAGGAGGTACACGCTCTACTGCTGAGCTATACGGGTGGACTTTAACATATTTGGATGATACCTGTAAAATATTCATACTGTACTTTTATGATCTTTGTTATAGGTCTTGCTGATAGGTGGAGGTGATGGTGGTGTAGTCCGAGAGATAGTAAAGCATCCAGCAGTGCAATCTGTAGTGCAATGTGAAATAGATGAGGTAACTGATGTGTATTAAAGTCCCCATGTAAAGTTTAAACCACTTTGGCTTATATTGTAGTCTTACCCAATGTAATCAAAGTGTGATATGTGAAACCTTTTTTAAAATTTCAAAAAGTGGTTTTTGATAGAATTTTTTTGTTCCAAAATTTGTGAATTTATTTAAAACTTACTTTTAGAGGTCACGCATATATTTTAATTAGCCACAATTCACACCAGTGCATAGCATTCATCCTCGCATGTTTTTTGCCGAACAAGTTAAGAAAATCGATTCATAGATAAGTGAGAAATGAACTCATCAGTGCATGAAAATAGTTCCGAGAAAAATGCATTTCAAAATTTTAGTTCTCATAGAAACCAATGATACAATGATATCTAAAACATAATATTTTCTTCCTTTTAACCTGGTTAGACAATTAACATTGGTTTATTATTGAAGTCTAGCAATTTAGGTTTTTGCTACCTTAGTGACATCACTAATGTTCAAAATATTTTTTATATGCGAAAACATTGAAGTGGCCCATTAAATATGGCATTTTATTATTGAAATAGAGTGTCCTTTGTTCAATCTTTGCATTGGTGTTAAAAGATAATCTTTTTTTGAAATGCATTAAAGGCCCCATGTAAAGTTTAAACCACTTTGGCTTATATTGTAGTCTTACCCAATGTTTTCAAAGTGTGATATGTGAAACTTTTATTTTAAATTTCAAAAAGTGGTTTTTGATAGACTTTTTGTTCCAAAATTTGTGAATTTATTTAAAACCAACTTTTAGAGGTCACTCATATCTTCTAATTAGCCACAATTCATACCAATGCATAGCATTCATCCTCCCATGTTTTTTGCCGAAAAAATTAAGAAAATCGGTTGATAAACAAGCGAGAAATGAACTTATCCGTGCATGAAAATGGTTCTGAGAAAAATGCATTTCAAAATTATAGTTCTCATAGAAACCAATGGTACAATGATATCTAAAACATAATTTATTCTTCCTTTTAACCTGGTTAGACAATCAACATTGTTTTTTTATGAAAGTCTAGCATATTTAGAAAAGATTGACATCGAAAAAAAAATTTCAATTTTTTTCAAAAAGTTTTTGTTACCTTAGTGACATCACTAATGTTTCAAAATATTTTTGATATGCTAAAACATTGAAGTGGCCCATTAGATATGGCATTTTATTATTGAAATAGTGTGTCCTTTGTTCAATCTTTGCATTGGTGTTAAAAAGATAATCTTTTTTGAAATGCATTAAGAAATATTTGATGATTAAGAAATTTCAACTTTTTTTGAAAAATTGCGGGAAATTTGAATATTTGAGAAATGAAATGCTCACAACTTTTTTTCAAAATTTTTTTTTCAAAAATCTCTAAAATCACTTTTTAAGTCCTGACAAATAGTAAATGAATGATAAAAAAATGTTTTCAAACTTTAGACGGGGACTTTAAGAAATATTTGATAATTAAAAAGTTTCAACTTTTTTTGGGAAAAATGGCGGGAAATTTGAATATTTGAGAACTGAAATGCTCACAACTTTTTTTTCAAAATCTCTAAAATAACTTTTTAAGTCATGACAAATAGTAAATGAATGATAAAAAAATATTTTCAAACTTTAGACGGGGACTTAAAGTCCTCCTTCAGTTTTAGTCAAACTACTATTTTCCCAAGATAGTTTAGATTTTTTCCCTAGAAATTTCAGACCATTTTTTAAAATCAGTAGAGAGGTAGGCATATATTCAATGAATGTACTGAAAGTGAGAACCTATGCTATCCCAAAACAGATGATATGTAAACTTTTGATTGCACTGTCATCTTTTTATGATCATAATTTTTATTGCCTAGCCTGGGCAAAGCCTGGAGAGTCTGGTACTTCAGTTTAGGGAGTCTTGTTACAGGGTGCTCTGTTATTAGCAAATATCATTCAAACTACCATAGCATAAATACTGTGAATTACGTGTATGATTAGTTACCACTACAATGGTAACTCCAACTTTTTTGTGGATGGTTTTCGGTGCAGCTTGGCAGGTTTTGCATGTTAATGTCTTATTTGTTTGTGTTATTTTGCTCATACAAGAGGCTTGCAGTAAAGCTCTGCCCTCTTAGCATTTCAAATGATGATACAGTTTTGACAATCATAAGCATTTTGTGGCGTCATTCAAGTGACTTTCTAAATCCAAAGAAAATCTTTTATGCTTAGATAGATGGCATAATTTATGAAGGTAATATTACATACTTCGATATTTGGAACCTTGTTTAAACTTTCCACATCGAGCACATTTTCATACGAATTAAGAGTCATTAACCGAAAATGATCAATATTATTGTCTCCTGTGCCGCCCTTGAGGGAGAAGCAAAATTATTCTCATGCAGCAGCTTTAGTATTTAAATTGTAAAGAACATTTGTGAGATACAGGATGTCCGGAAAGTAAAGACACACAGACTCTAATTTTAAGAAAGTTTTTTTTAATGAAATTGCTACAGATTGTAGAGGAACTATATTACAATACTACCAAATTTTTATCACATATAGTCTAAATGTGTTCAAGTTACGGTTGTTATGGTTAAGGATTTGAGACATATGCGGAGCAGTTCCAGAACAACGCTGGAAAATTGCTAAAAGACAACCATTTGAAACAGTGTTTTTTGTTGTATTTTCTATCTATGTTTTGTTTTGTTCATAATTTTATTATTGCTGCCATAGTGTTTTCTTCTACATAATGATGTCATTGCTACATATCAGAACTTTGTTATGTCACTAACCAGTATACATAATGAAAGAAATATTATACAAGTGCCTAGAAGAATGGTCCCTGGCCATGAGTAGGAAAGTCAGTATTGCATCTCCACAATGCACCAATTCACAGAGCAAAAAACAAATCTTACAATGGAGTGTCTTGACATTAAACCTTTCTATACAATGCGCTGTATTCACCTGAAAACCTATTTAGACGTTTACCTTAATGACCATTGGAAAGCAATATTTGTAAAAAGTTCAACATACAAATGAGACTCAGCTGGAAGCCAATGTTATCAGCAATCTGAGAGATGGACAGCAGCAGTTTTGTCAGGTCTTTGAATCGCCGGTCAAGATGCACCAAGAATGTATAGATAATGGGGAAAATACTAAATATTCAATGATAGTAGTAATACGAAATGATCAGATACTGTTACATTACTAATCCCTATGCTGTTGTGGTACATAATTTGATATAATATAGGAAAAGATGGTGGAGTGCCAAGATCATATGAGCAGGAAAGAGATATGTAGAACACAGTTGTGACGTTGCTCCACTTACCCTCGACTCCCGTTACCATAACAACCATAACTTTTTCATTTTGAAAGTGAAAGTCATGACAGTTGCAGGATATATTGCTATTATGTCATTCTACATTCTGGAGCAATTTAATATCATAACAAGGAAATATCTTGAAATTAGAGCAGTTGTATCTTTACTTTCCAGACACCCTGTAATAAGATGATTTGTCTTCATTTTCTATTGTTAAAGCCCAACCATTTGCAACATCAATTTTATTATTGTTTCAATATACAGTACTTTGTAAATGTTGTCATCCTGACATATTTCACAATTTTCTACCCATATCTTGGCCTATACCTGAATTAGTTCTCTAATCTATTAATCTTTCAAGATTTTCCAGGTTACACCTACATCCAGTAAATAATCATTGTCTTCGTTTTTACCAATTTACTATGTGAAAGAAACCCATCAAGTATTTATGAATATGAAGTATTCCATTAATGCATGAATATTAACTTCATTAAATAGAGATTTGTTCAAGCTGAGCTGTCACCAATGCTGTATCCAATATCGATAACCATTTATCAGCTTTTATCTCTGCTAAATAAAGCTATTGTTATTAACATAAAAATTAAAAAGCTATGTACTGTTGATATAAACTTAACTACCATTATTTTCTAATTGATGCAATATGTTTTCTCTGCAATGCGGTCTTGCACATTTTATGAAAATAATTTAAGAGAACTCAATAACTCTTTATAATGAGATCATAACTGAAGGCATCGATGCTGGTTGTGTTTCACTTGTTTCTTTCACCAAGGTAAAGCATACTGGTTGTGTTTATGTTGTTTTCTGTCCCCAAGGTAAAGCATACTGGTTGTGTTTAAATATTTTTTTGTCCCCGAGGTAAAGCATTCTGGTTGTGTTTATGTTGTTTTTTATGTCCACAAGGTATAGCATCCTGGTTGTGTTTAATTGTTTTCGGTCCCCAAGGGCAAGCATTCTGGTTGTATTTATGTTGTTGTTTTTTGTCCCCAAGGTATAGCATTCTGGTTGTGTTTATATTGTTTTTTTTGTCCCCAAGGTAAAGCATTCTGGTCGTATTTATGTTGTTTTTTATGTCCCCAAGGTAAAGGATTCTGGTTGTATTTATGTTGTTTTTTATGTCCCCAAGGTAAATCATTCTGGTTGTGTTCATGTTGTTGTTTTTTGTCCCCAAGGTAAAGCATACTGGTTGTGTTTAAGGTTTTTTTCTGTCCCCAAGGTAAAGCATACCGGTTGTATTTATGTTGTTTTCTGTCCCCAAGGTAAAGCATACTGGTTGTGTTTATGTTGTTTTCTGTCCCCAAGGTAAAGCATACTGGTTGTGTTTATGTTGTTTTCGTTCCCAAGTAAAGGTAAAGCATACTGGTTGTATTTATGTTGTTTTCTGTCCCCAAGGTAAAGCATACTGGTTGTATTTATGTAGTTTTCTGTCCCCAAGGTAAAGCATATTGGTTGTGTTTATGTTGTTTTCTGTCCCCAAGGTAAAGCATACTGGTTGTGTTTATGTTGTTTTCTGTCCCCAAGGTAAAGCATACTGGTTGTATTTATGTTGTTTTCTGTCCCCAAGGTAAAGCATACTGGTTGTATTTATGTTGTTTTCTGTCCCCAAGGTAAAGCATACTGGTTGTGTTTATGTTGTTTTCTGTCTTTAAAGCATTTGATGAGGTCCATCATTTCAAGACTTTTTGAAACATTAAGACAGATCAAAGTTATGAGTTTTTACTCTTGACTTTGTGAAATATACTTTTAGAAGTAATTTGTCAGTAACAAATTGGAGTAAAGCTCACGGGAATTGAAACTACAGTAAAACTTGTCTTATCCAAACACAATTTGGACTGGCTAAAAGCGTTCAGATTAGAAGGTGTTCACATTTCAAGGTTAGGATTGAGACCATTCAATTTTATTTCCAAAGATTTGGATATCATAATAAAACAGTGATTAATAAAAAAAATATTCAACTACTTTTGTAAGAATTTTGTGATCTTTTATTATAAAATTATCATATCAGACAAGTCCATAGTGTTCAAATTGAGAGCTGTTCACATTTCAAGGTTTCTTTAACATGGTAGTTATAATGAGAGAAATAAAAGGGACTGGAAAAAGTGTTCATATTGGGAGGTGTTCCAATAGACTATGTGCGAGTAGAAATAATCTTGATTTACGTCATTAAAAACTGATGTCATATTTGGAATCTACATGTAAAATTACATCTAGATATGTGGTTTTGAAAAGAGTTTATCAACTTTGAAAATTTAATTTTCTTTGAAAATGTGACTTCTAGGTCGGGAAATTCCCCGTGGACCTCATATTTTAAAGTCGCAAAAAGTGAAATATCTTTTCTTTTGTTAGGCAGATAACATTTTCCTTTACTGGAATATTTTAATTTGTATAGCTATCAGATACATACGGGTAATATGAAAATTGAACCACTAAAACTGATGAATATTCAAGTTTAAGGGAACTTTGTAATACCCTGCCATGTTATTTCCCCCGAATCAGCCACCTGGTGGCAAAACTGGTAACTACCTACTTGCATCTGAGTAATTAGCCAATTTTCTGGATATACAGGTTTTACTGTATTTTCATGACTGTATTTAAAGCTAATGAGGCAATTAGGGAACCAATTATTTTGGATCACCCATCATATAGTCTTCTATCTGTCTATACAATCCTCTGATTTCAGAAAGTTATTGAAGTATCTAAAAAGTATTTACCCAACCTAGCAGAGGGTTATAAAAGTGATAAACTAACACAACATATAGGAGATGGTTTTGAATTTATGCGGAAACACAAGGGAGAGTTTGATGTGATTATTACCGATTCCTCTGACCCTGTGGGTAAGTATCAGATTACATAGTCAGTAGTTCTACGAAAATGTTCATTGTAGTATTAGTTGCATGTAATTCTTATTCAAAACACCAATTTCATTTCCCCATCAAGAACTGTTGCTAACTTTACCCATGATTTAAGCTGCCTGGGTCCGTTCTGTAACAAATTCTTTTATAACGATTTGCAATATCTTTACTAGGTCACAGGTGACATATTGTCATGTTAATTAAAATGCTTTATTTTAATTTGCTTTCTTTGTTGTACTGCAATTCAATGTACTGCATATGTATATAATAAATATTTTGAATTACTCTTGTTATCATAGAGGGTTGAGTGATATTAATTTGTTGAATTATTCAGATTTGTCCCTCAAAATCATGAACACTTGATCATGAACAATTGATTCATGAATATTGACAAATGAAGCAATCATCAATTAATAATCTACTTGTAGGCCCCGCTGAGTCCCTATTCCAAAGGTCATACTACGATTTGATGAAAAGTGCTCTTAAGCCTGGTGGCATTGTGTGTACACAAGGTGAGAATATTGTAATATTTTGTTAACCATCTCCCCTGGGGATTATCAATGTTCATGCCCATCCTTTGAAACTGAGGGCAAATTAAAGGTCAACCAACATGGTATATTGTCGGATCTAGTAATAGATGAGGTGGGTTTTAATAGGCAAGGCTTATGTGCATCCAATAATTTGACAGGATTGTATTATCACTTTCAGTTGAAAACAAATTGAGAATAATAATTTTCTGGAAAATGCTGACAGTGCAGTATATGCATCAAAATTGCTTGTTACGTCTGAAATCTGATGCGACAGACTTTAAAGAATATGATAAAAGTCTGAAACTTAAATCATTGTTATAGGTGAATGTCTCTGGTTGCATCTGAAGCTTATAAAAGAGATGCAAGATTTCTGTAGGGAACTGTACCCTGTAGTGAGCTATGGTTTCACCACTATTCCAACTTACCCCAGTGGCCAGATAGGCTTTATGCTATGCAGTCTTAACCCAGTAAGTGTTCAACTATACCTAGGAATAGTCTTCACCATTCACAAGCTTTCTGAGTTTTGAATATACAACATTGTTGCAAAGATTGAGGAGTCCTATTTCTATAACTTGAAATGGGCAAGTCAACACATTTCACTCCAATGTTAGATTGCATGCATGTGTCAGTTTAAAAGCCATATCTGCTTTGTCAATAAATGCCAATAACAATGTTTTATTTAAGGATTTAAACCCTTGGACTCAGTGCATTCTTTTCACACATTGCAAAATATTTTCTACAAAATCGCTTAAAAGATACAAAATCATGAAAAGAACATATTTTCAATGAAACTTTTTGCAATGGTCAATGTGGCAAAGCATCAATTTCAATCTGTAAAATCCAAGTTTTCACCTTGACAACCATACAACAAATGCATTATTGGTTATATAACGGAATGCAGTTACATGTACTAGCATGTTCTGATTGGCTGGGATTGGACATACATGTACCTTCCCTAGCTGTGTGTGAATACTCCCTAATATTAATTTTAACCATACATATAGCACGATTTATGATAATGTATTATACTCGTAGGATACTTCATTTAAAGAACCTGTCTACAAGTTTAGTGAAGCAGATGTTGAGAAAATGGGACTCAAGTATTACAACACAGACGTCCATAGAGCTGCATTTATCCTGCCACAGTTTGCTTCTAAGGTATGATAACCATGGCAATAGTAAGTTAGCAACACATTAGCCAGGTATCTTTGCCATTCAATTCATTTGTAACACATTTTATATGAACACTGTACTTTACAAAGTATACCCCTGTAATAGCTCCAATGAGATTGTTGATATTGGTTGTAAAGTCTCTTATTGTAAAGTTAAGTATTGTAAAGTATTACAATCTCTGTGATGATTTGCAATTTGTGTGATATTTTGCACCCTGTGTGATGTATTGTACACTCAGAATGTGATATTGTACACTCAGAATGTGACATTGCATGATGGTTTGCAATTTGTGTGATATTTTGCACCATGTGTGATACATTGTACACTCAGAATGTGATATTGTACAATCTGTGATGTATCTTATTCAAGTATTCCAATCTGTGTCATGTTTTGCAATTTGTGTGACTCTGTGTGATGCTATGTACACTTAGACGTGACATTTTGCACTCTTGAGATGTTTCACACTATGTATGATGTTTACACTCTGTGTAATGTTTCACAATCTGTGTGATGTTTCAAACGATGTGTGATGTTCTACAATCTATGTGATGCTTTACAATCTGTGTCATGTTTCAAACTATGTGTGATGTTCTACAATCTGTGTGATGCTTTACAATCTGTGAGATGTTTCACACTATGTGTGATGTTCTACAATATGTGTGGTGCTTTATAATCTGTGTGATGTTTTTTACAATATATGTAATGTTCTACAATCTGTCGGAGGCTTTACAATCTGTTACATGTTTCACACTTTGTGTGATGTTCTACAATCTGTGTGATGCTTTACAATCTGTGTGATGTTTCACACTATCACTAGGGCAGAGCATTTGTACTGAAAGGAGCGTTTTCAGTACAAATATGTACTGAAAAATGTACTGAATTTTTAAGTATATTTTTCAGTATAAATATGTACTGAAAAATATACTTAAAATTTCAGTGCAAATTTCAGTATAAATATGTACTGAAAAATGTACTGAAATTTTAAGTACATTTTTCAGTATATATTTATACTGAAAAATATACTGAATTTTAAGTGTGATTTTAAGTGCAAATATGTACTTAAAAATATACTGAAATTTAAGTGTGATTTTAAGTGCAAATATGTACTGAAAAATATACTAAAATTTAAGGGCATATTTAAGTCTAAATTTATACTGAAAAATATACTTAGATTTTGAATTACGACATCTTCCTGACTTTGACATCTCGTCGCATGAGAATAACTTTGTACTATCTCACATTTTTACGGAACTGAGAAATCAAGGTTTGAAAGTTTAGAGGTCTGTATCTTACTTAGTATTGCCATGTGAAACTTGATTTTTTGTATGTCACCTGGTCTCACCCTAGAGATATCTTATATGAAATATCATACCTTGAAACAATTTACAAGATCCTTTTTTAAAACTATGGAAATGGAGTTGATACAATTTCCCACCGGAATAACAGCTTATTTCTAATTTCAAATTGTCATATCTGATATCAACTGTTTCAACCAATCAACTCTCTAAGAATTGGTCATGTGACTTGCAAAACTTGGAGTTATAACAATCTTATATTAAAACAAAGTATGCCAATATGCATGTTATTGTATCTAGAATGAAAAATAATGTTTTGCAATGTAAAAAAATCTTCAAAATCCAAAGAATATTATTTAATAAAATAAAGAAAATTCAATTTATAAAACTTTAAAATCAATTTCTCAAATAAGTACAATTATTTCTTAATTTTGGAATCTCACGACACCCTTCAAAAAGAATTTATTGCCTTTGAAACTAAGGCAGAAGTACAATGCATTGAAACCAATGATGCCAATACGGTCCCCCACATATTTCCTTCGGTATAAACCCTGTAGCCTAAACCTCACAGCACATTACAATGTAGCCCCTAAGGGACAGTCCGCTGGTCATTATCAGGTTATTTTTGATACAGACCAGTTGAATTTTTCACTGGGTATAAGGAGAATAACATTGCAACTGGTCCGTAATTCCATTTTGACCAGCAGGTTTCAGATCCTTAGGGCCTAAGACATAACCAATTTTTATTACATGCACATGGAAGAAATTTGAAAATAGAAAAATAATTTCTAATTCATTTTAGATTAATGAAAGTGATGAAACCTCGATTTAGGTAATCACATTTTGTTCATTGGGATGCAGCTATCATTATCCATTCATTTTCTGTTGTTTGCTACTCTGTGGAGTACAATTGGGAATTGAAGCAATTGTAGAAGTTGGGACTAAGAGTGGTTCTTTGTAAGGAAATTGAATCAATTTGTTACTTTTCCAAAATATAATGTAGATGATCAAAAACAATGATCCCAAAAATGCAAAAGAAAGGGCAAATCTGAAAAACATACTAGTAATAAAATAACTAAAAAGATCCCAGATGTTCAGTGAAAAGCGCAAAGTAAATCATAGATGAAGAGAAAATAAAATAAGTTTTTTAAGGGACTATACTAACATAAAGATAACTCCTTATTGATATAGTGTATGGTCAGTAAAAGTTAAAGCTAGTTTAAATAGATTTAGCTTTTTTCCACAAACTATAAAACATCATTTTGAAAGAGATTTCAATAGTATACAGACAGTGATTGCCTTTGAGCAATGTAGTGCAAAATATGACAGTTACTATTTGTTTTGATTACTATATCTAGTATATAACCTATTATTATGTACTCTATTTGAAGAAACAAATAAGTAGTCTTTCATTTTCAACATTTAATGATGACAGCTTCGTATATGCATTTCTATTGCATTTGGCCATTCAAACCCCTATAAGACCTGGTAGCAGGGAAGATAAAGGGTACTTTTGACTGCTCACATGATCTAATTAACTGGTCATTTGTACTTTTCATCTTCCCTGGTAGCAAGGATTTAGGTTTTCGAGGAAATTAGTAATTCTATTTCATATCATGCGGCCATGAATAATCCAATGAGCATCCATAATACAAAGAGTAATTGAGGGCATATAATTTGAATATGCATGGGATTACACATACTGTATCATTTTATTTTTTTGATCTACTTGTAATAGTTCTAAAACTAAAACATGAAAGGCCAGGCATGCAAACTGGCATGGTATTGTGTTACAAAACATTATTTCATTCTAGATACAATAACATGCATATTGGCATACTTCGTTTTAATATAAGATTGTTATAACTCCAAGTTTTGCAAGTCACATGACCAATTCTTAGAGAGTTGATTGGTTGAAACAGTTGATATCAGATATGACAATTTGAAATTAGAAATAAGCTGTTTGTCTGGAGATGGTACAATTTCACACTGAATTCTAGCTTAATGAGAGGGAATTGAGATGGGGCATGTATCTGAGATGAAAGCCTGTGTGTCAAATAGTAAAATTCCATGTCTATCTCAATTTTTTGGAAAATGGCAGTTAGTACAAAGTTATTCTCACGCGACGATCTATACCATGGAGTTTGCTATACTCGAACAAATGAGGTTCTATGTTCATGTTATATATTTTAATTTTGAAATCAATTAATTAATTTGCTCAAGCAATATGAATGGAAATCTCATGAAAAACTTATTTTTAAGACTGAGAAAATGTGTACCTTTAATGCCTCTCCAGTTTGATTAGAGTCTGCTTTAAAGGATGTGTCTAAAGAAACTTTATTAATCCATTAACAAAACAAAATATTTTGACAAGGCAAAACAAACCTGATTACAGAGAGACTCTTTTAAGTTTGGTTAAAGTCTGCTGTAAAGGAAGCATCCAAAATAATTTCATAATGTAATAGCATTCCTGGGGGGGGGGGGGGGGGTTCAGGGGTCCAAGCGAACCCCCCCCCCCCCGGCCAAAAATTCTTTTAAAACCATGCACTTTTTCACCATTCTAAGAACTTTTTGAGTGATTTAGGCCGTTTTTAATAAATCCATAAACATAACTTCTAAAAAGGAAATCACTTGATTACAGTAAACCTAGCTTCTCCAGTTTGATTAGAGTCTGCTTTAAAGGATGTGTCTAAAGAAACTTTATTAATCCACTAACAAAACAAAATATTTTGACAAGCCAAAACAAACCTGATTACAGAGAGACTCTTTTAAGTTTGGTTAAAGGCTGCTTTAAAGGAAGCATCCAAAATAATTTCATAACGTAATAGCATTCCTGTTGGGGGGGGGGGGGGTTTCAGGGGTCCAAGCGAACCCCCCCCCCCCCCCCCGGCCAAAAATTCTTTTAAAATCATGCACTTTTTCACCATTCTAAGAACTTTTTGAGTGATTTAGAGTTTATAAAGTATGCCTTACATTTACGTTTTCTCTTATTTCCATTATTGGGCACAAATATTTCTCATTGCATATATTTATACTTAAAATTATCCTTAAATTTCAGTATATTTTTCAGTACATTTTTATACTGATTTTGCACTTAGATTTCAGTACATTTTTTCAGTATATATTTGTACTTAAATTTATCCTTAAATTTTCAGTGCATTTTTCAGTATATTTTTGCACTTAAATTTGTCCTTAAAATTCAGTACATTTTTCAGTACATATTTATACTTACATTTGTACTTAAAATTCAGTATATTTTTCAGTACATGAATTTGTACTGAAAAATATACTGAAAAAAATTCAGTGCATTTTTCAGTACAAAAATATACTTAAATTTGTACTGAAACAAAACAAAACTAGTACATTTTTCAGTACATATTTGTACTGAAAACGCTCCTTTCAGTACAAATGCTCTGCCCTAGTGTATATATGATGTTCTACAATCTGTATGATGCTTTACAATCTGTGTGATGTTTCACAAATTCACACTCTGTGTGATGTTGTACAATCTGTGTCATGTTTTTCAATCTATGTAATGTTTTTCACTTTGAATATTATGCTTTAAACTCTTTGATATCTTTCACTCTATTATGTGTTACACTCAATGTTAGATTAAACATGGATCATGACATCAAACAAGCTTGACTGAAATCAGCTTTTCATATTTTGTTATGAGTTGGGGGATGGCTAATAATCCTATATGAGAGCATTGGTTAATTGATATGCTGTAACCCAACCTGGCTACTAGATGCATTAATTGTTCATTCAATTAATTTTTCATAGCACTCTGATCCGATATAAAAAGATAATCTAGTGAAAACAATAATGATTGTAAAGATAAATGGGATAATGATTTAGTAGAGCTCTTTCAAACGAGGCAATAGACCTTTTTATGCAGTACAATATTAATCTAGGGAATGCATTTCTATATGAATCATACTCATCATAGTCAATCATATTATCTATCTAGGCCTACGCTTTTACTCCATCCATTGTTTTACACATCATTCTATCATGTTTTCAGGTCCTCAGAAGTTAAAGTGTATCACACAGTATACAGCGAGGGTGCCAAATTCTCAACATTTACCATCAACAAAATCAGTAAAAAAATCACACAATACACAGCAGCATGTGAGGGTGCCATATTAACAGCATTTACCATAAAAAAATAGTAATAAGACATGGAAATGAACTTTAAAATATTAATTTTAGTTGCTTTATATTACCCATGGGTACTGACCAGATCTCGTCATTCTTTGAGTATTCAAGGTTCTGTTTTGAACTGATCATATCACCAAATTCTCTAATATACTGAGCCCATTGCTCAAGCCAAGATACAACACATACTTAACTAACTCATGGAACAAAGAGGTATGCCAGTACTGTGACATTTACTAAATAAGTGGACAATAAGCTTTTGAGTGAATTAGGTTTTGTAATAACAAGGTCAGAAAGTGTTGGTATTTTCTATTGATCAGTGATCTTATCATTTGGGTTAGTACCTTCTAGTACATGATATTTAATGTCATGGGGACTCTACAGGAATCTCTAGTCTCCCAGAACTAGTTAGCAAGAACGGAACATATATTATTTATAATGCCATTGAGTTGATTTTAATCAGTGATGGCATTATGTTACCGTGTTCATGTCTCATTCTACTTTTATTACATGCAATTACAAACCCTGTTTTACCTCATTTCAACTTAAAATGAATAAAATAGATATATTTATAATACAGGTCTCTCTTTTTACTTATTTGGTAACGCATATTGATAACATTGTATCTAATGTTCTACAATTACTTTTTACTACAATAATACAAGCTCATTCGGTCACCATGGTAACCATTATATATTTTCTTTTATTCAAGATATTGAATGAATTGAATTCTTTATCATTTTTATGTCACCACCAAAAGTGTTATGTCACCACCAAAAGTGGTGACATATTGTTATGGTCTCCGTTTTTTTCCGACGGCGGTTGGTGGTTGGCGTCCGGCGGTTGGAGGTTGGCGTCCGGCGTCTGTAACAATTTCTTACAACTTCCTATAACTTAACAAATACTGTTTAGACTGACTTCAATTTTTTTCTAAATCATCTACATGTTCTCAGAAGTTCAAATCTGACTTTAGATTTGACATTTGACCTTCAATGACCTTCTCAAGGTCAAAAAGGTCTTTTTTCAACTTGCTTCACATTGACTAAATTTTTTTTCAAAATCATCTACATGTTCTCAGAAATTCAAATCTGACTTTAGATTTGACATTTGACCTTCAAATCTGACTTTAGATTTGACATTTGACCTTCAATGACCTTCTCAAGGTCAAAAAAGGTCAAAAAGGTCTGTTTTCAACTTGCTTCAAATTGACTAAAAAATTTTTTCAAAATCATCGTGTTCTCAGAAATTCAAATCTGACTTTAGATTTGACTTAAGATTTGACATTTGACCTTCAATGACCTTCTCAAAATCAAAAAAGGTCAAAAAGGTCTTTTTTCAACTTGCTTCAAATTGACTAAATTTTTTTTTCAAAATCATCTACATGTTCTCAGAAATTCAAATCTGACTTTAGATTTGACATTTGACCTTCAATGACCTTCTCAAGGTCAAAAAAGGTCAAGAAGGTCTTTTTTCAACATGCTTCAAATTGACTAATTTTTTTTTTCAAAATCATCTACATGTTCTCAGAAATTCAAATCTGACTTTAGATTTGACATTTGACCTTTAATGACCTTCTCAAGGTCAAAAAAGGTCAAAAAGGTCTGTTTTCAACTTGCTTCAAATTGACCAAATTTTTTTTCAAAATCATCTACATCTTTTCAGAAGTTCAAATTTGACTTTACAAGTTCTCAGAAATTCAAATCTGACTTAAGTTTGAACTCATAATATTGTGAGCAACTAGGTGGTGACATTTTGTCATGTTAATGCCTTGTTCTAACTATAGTAGTCTCAAACTGAGATTTCACGGGCTGATTAATATATCTTGTGATCAATTATTGTCTCAATTGGCAAATGGCACAACTCTTCTTTATTTTGCAGAGAAATATAGTCTTATTATGTCACCACCACAAGTGATGACATATTGTTAGTCTCCCAACGTTTTGTAGACAGCGGTTGAAGTTCGGTGTCTTTAACAAATGGCATATGTAACAAAAATGGCAGGTGGTGACATTTTGCTTGCTCAATTTTGATCGCAGTTTTGATCAAGCCAAACCATATACTGTTACTATTGTTAAGTACCTCAATTGAAACTCTCAGTTCTGATTGGTTAATGAGCGGTCAACAATACTACTAGGTACTTACAATGCTACTAAATTCTGTTGACTGCTACTTTTGAAAAAAAAAGTTTTTTAAATGTTGAAAAAATTGAAAAAATAAGTTGTGAAAAAAATTACAAATATATTCCACGGTATGGGGATTTTTTTGCAAAAATATGATACCTACACTTATCAAATATGTTTCAATATATGTTCAAATATGTCCAAAAATTTATACCTCAACAGTAAACTTTGAGAGTACTGTTGACCTAGACCTCCTGTCTTGGTCAACAGTAGTTTCAAAGTTTACAGTATATACAATTTTGCCAGTTGACCTCAAGAGAGGTCTACAATTGTAAGTCTAAGAAACAAATTCTATTTGAAAATGATTCACACATAGCAAGGCAAGCGGTGTCCGATTCCAGCCAATCCGAACACAGTATTTCACATACAGAACAGTGTGTGAAATATCAATAACACATGCAAGGTCACTAGTTAAACAGTTGTCATGGTGATGAATGGACTTTTCACATTGGATTTGATGACTTGTCAATTTGACCCTTTCAAAATCTTTCATTGAAAATGTGTGCCTTTAAGCGATTTCATTCCTTTTGGATGATTTTGTAGAAAAAAAAAATTGTAATGTGTGAAAAAAATTTAAGCCCAAGAGTAGACTCAATGCATTGTAGCATTGTATGATTCAGCAAACAATGCACTGAGTCCAGGGCTTAAATCCTTAATTTGATGATTTGTGAAAACAAATTATGCATAAATGTAATGAAATGAGTTCAACTATCCTATAGAATAGAAAATGTTTTTTATAGTCACGACCGTAAATCTGACAAAATGAGTGGAGGGGGATGATGAGATTTCTGATAGAAAATTCAACAAATTAGCAAGATTCATCTTTTTTACTTCAAAAATATGCGGGAAATTCAAATTTTCAAGTCATGACAATAATATTTGGATGTTAAACAATACTTTCAAACTGAACATTAATTATGGCAATAATATTTGGATATTAAACAATATTTCCAAACTCTACACGGTGCCTTTAATCTTAAAAAACGTATTACTTGAAACATTTTTTAATTATAGTCTCAAATTAGCTGCTAGTACGTCAACATTAAGTACAATAAGCTGCAGGTGCTAAAAGAACAATGTTGCACCCTCTTCTGCCGCGCTAATGAAATTGGTTTATTTAATTGGAAACTAATCCTCTTTATGTCTTATTCAAATCTACGCTATAAATCAGAGTCTTAGACACTGATCATGGTATGAAATATCGGTAGGTACACAATGTCTCTTATGATAAGGCAATTCTTGATATAAATAGATAAACTCTCTTGAACAGTTCATGGAACCTCATATTTTTATTCCAGTTAATTAGTTGTATGCAATCCAAGTAGTATTTGCATGTTTCCCAAACATGTTCACTGTAACTAGTGGGAATTGTTTCCTCGTTTTCAGACAGGCATGATGATAAATCAGTGTATGTGAAATTAACCTGGGTGCATCACCTTAAAAACAATTTCATGAAATTATGGTTTTCATATTCTATTAATTCATTTGGCAACAAAGAGCGAAGAATATTACCCTGCGCTCAGAGTCTAATGTAAAGTCCGAAGACGAACTCTCTTTTAAGAATCAAAGTCGAACGAATGCAAATGGACGTATATTCTGCAATGACCTTGAGCTTCTGATTTGACCTTGTTTGACCTCAATAATGTATTGTAAAACAACATAGCATTGCCCCTGAAATGGCTTAAAATGCAATCGTTTTCAAAGAGTTTGATTTTCAAACTTGTAAGTAGAACACATCGATCGCAATCGATCGCAATCGATCTTTCTACTATTTTTTTTAATTATGATGATTCGTGAATCTATTTTACTAACACCAAACATGAATATTTTAGGTGAAATTTGAAAGAAAAGATGTTAAAAGATGTTACTGAATTAGTTGTTATATTCAAAAGAAAGATACTTGCAAATCACGTCAAAATATGCAAAATAAGGTATCCAGTTAATAAGTTTATTTGTTGATGTTTGCTAAGTACTGGCTGCATGGAGTTGCATCAGTTAACAATGTTTTGTACTAATAAGGACTAAGTCATACTTGAAAGGAACTGATTAAGAAAAAGTAGTAAAAAGATAAATTGATGAATTTAATATATAATTGGTTGTTAATGACGCCCATTCTCTACTATTTTAAACAAAGGAGCGAGTTGCATCTTGAAACTAGAAATTGAATGCCTCATCAGGATGGTTTTTCTGCCTTATAATTTTGAAAAATCATCAGTGGCCTAAATTAATGGATAACTTTCTGCAACCTCTGATTTGCTCATTTTTGTCATGTGTATAAGATTATAAGCCACATACGCAAGCCCATTATGATTATTTGTTAATACAAGGGATCCAATCACCAATCAGCGCTCGGGTATTACAGGGAGTACTAATAATCAGATTCCACCATCTACTGCCCCGCTAAATAGTAAACACGCATCAATTATTGACGTCACCCAAAGGCCAGAAAGTTGTACACTCTGATTTGAGGTATTTAGACTTATTGGAAACGTTACCGAGGGAACTATTTAGTGGATGTTAATATTCAAGAGAAGGCGAGCAATTAAATTGGACCCACGCGTTTTTAAATATTGAATTCTTATAAGAACTTTTGACTGATTGTATCAAGAGTTGAGTACGGATTCCAAATAGGTAAGGACTACCTCAGTTTATATTATTGTTAAACGATATTAATGTGTTTTTATTCAGTTTCACATTTTAAGCTCTGTCTTGGTTGAACCATAATAAATGTTTTACATCTAATAACCATTCCAAAATAAAGTAATTAAAAATAGAGAGAGAGGCGATACTTTAGAAACTTATTCAAACAGGAAAGTGGAAAAAAGTTGTCCATTAAACATATGATACGCGGTGGGCCAAAATGTCCATGTATTATTAAGCTAAACAAGAACATTTCTAGAATTTGTAACCGGGACTTGCATTCGCAATTTGTAAATAGACAGTATGCAAAATGGTTGAAATTGCCCCTAGACTGAACAGTCAGTAAATTACTATACTGTAATAATAGCTTTAATTTATGTTATTATATAATTAAACTTTTGATGTATAGTAACTTCCATAGTTTTAGAAACTTTCTATTTTTGATGACTGAATCTGTGCGGAATCTGTGGAATCACCAAATTACTCTGCATGCAAAGTGGTTGAAGTGACAAGAAATCTCATCAATCTTTCAATAGACACTGGTGATCCACTCGATTACGCTGGTTACCGAAACGATTCGTTTTGGTAACAAAATGTCGGAGCGTCGAAGGTACACGTACGATTTCACGCGTTGTAGGCAGAATCCCCACGACGTTTTTTCTCACAAACGTATATCAGTATCATATGTTTTAGAAAATGTTCATGTTTGCGAAAAAATAGCTCAGAAGACAACAGAATCGTCGATTTAATTCCTCACTTAAGTTACATAAACGGTTTGGGTTAAAAGTGCAGATCTTAACTGTTTTTCGAAAAACCGTTTATGTAACTTAAGTGAAGAATTAAATCGACGATTCTGTTGTCTTCTGAACTATTTGTTCGCACATATGCACATTTTCTTCACACGTTTGTGTTAAAAAATGTCTTGGGAATTCTGCCTACAACGTGTGAAATAAGGAAAAGAGAAAAATCGTACCTTCGGTGTTCCGACATTTTGTTACCAAAACAAACCGAACCGAAATGTGCAATGTCTTTTACCAATCATATCTTTTTATTTTTCGTTATTATCATACCAAACATTCAGAGATATAATATGTGTATCTTCGACCAAATGGAGAAAATTTCAAAGAATTTCGTAAATATGATAAAAAGTTCGAAAGGATGGAATAGAACAACTCCCACGTGAAAAAAATAGATCGTTACTTTTTACCATAATTTGACGTCATAACTCTAATAAGAAATCCTATACCCACCAGCAATGTGCTCAAGAAGGGGATCTTCTATTGATGAAGTTAAACTGTTAATTACGTATAGAGGAATACACCATTTTAAAAAGTTTTCAATCCAATGAAATTCTGTGAAAAATATCGGTTATAGAATGAAGGTCGAATTAATTTCAACCATTTTGCGATAACATTTGCTTCAGATTCTGAAGTCTCTTCTCAGTTCAAATTTAGAGGTAGGGGTAACATATAGCATATACTTGAAATTGTAAGATAATTATAACGCTTAATATTTCTCAACGACCCCTAAGAATGTTATACATCCTATACTTAGCTTATACATACCAAAAATTATGTCAGATGTGATCTATAAATGTGTTTATTGAGACGTGTCGCAAAAAGGTGGCGCATTTGTTTTTTAAGGGTATCGCGTAAATGTAACTTTGATTCCCCGGATTATAAGATAATATTCTAATTAAAGTTATATATCATTTTAAAGCTGTTTCGATGAAGATTTTAGATCAACTACACTCTGTTCACATTTTTGCGCGTTCGTTTTTAAAAAAGAGTTTTTTTACCAAAACATCTGGCAAATATCCCATGTTGACATGTTACATTTTGAATTATTACCTCAACGAATGAAGTTCGGTAGGGATATAGTGAAGCCCTCCGTCCGTCAGTCCGTCAGTCAGTCAGTCCGTCCGTCCGTCCGGAAGATAACTCAAATATTAGTAGACGGATTTTCTTCATATTTGGTGGAAAGATGTATATTGATGAATAGTTTTACGCAAAAAAAACTTTTTCAAGATGGCCGCCGCTTTAAAAATGACGGGACTTTTTCGCAAAAATCATAAATTTTTCATTCTAAACCAAAGTAATTATTTATTGTTTGAAATTTTGGTAGTATATTTGCAACATCTATCTATTTCACATATATTCCGTGTTTTTCATCCTGACCCCCAGGGGCCGTGTATGGGGGGTCAAGAAAACAGAAATTTTCGCTAATTTTTAGATCTTTCTGAAGTATAGCTTTATTATACTCAAATGAAAGGCAATTAAGAGTAGATTGCAAATATTGTATCTTTTTTCCTGATTCGAGCCTCGTAAAATTCAAAATGGCCGTCTAATGTACGATTTCGCAATAATTTTTCGATCCCTTCAAAGTATGGCTATATAATACTCAAATTGAAGGAATTTTGGAGTAGATCACAATTATGGTATTCTTTTTCAGATTTGTACCTCAGAAAATTCAAAATGGCTGCACAATTCTAAAATCTAAATTTTTCAATTTTAACCAAAGTAATGAGTATAATTGGTTGGAATTCGGTAATTGATATTTTGTTCGTTGGGATTTGCTACTCCGCGGAGTTGCCATTATCTAGTTTTTCGTCTTTAAACGCTCATAACTCAAACAATATATGACTATTATACTTATTTTTCGTCTTGATAAAGGTAGATGGAAGTTTTATTTCAAAGGATGAATTTTAGTAAGCGTCCCATATTGTGACGTCATAGAGTCTGAAAAATAGAATCTGTTGACAGCGACCTTTTTTGCTCATTTTTTGGTACCTTCAACTTTTCAGGTGTACATTAAACCAAAAATACGAGATCAATTTTTAATAAATCATACATGATTATTTTGCTCCTAAACTCTAGTTTATTAATAAATAGTTGATTTTGTTCACAAAAGTATGTGTTTTCTGTTGTATGTGGAAAAGTGGAGGACGAAAGGTTTTCAAAATTCATTAAAATAGGGCTAATTTACGCCATTCGCCTATTTCCAAGCACAGCAACACGTATATTTATTTCACCTAAAATATCAATTGATTCGTGTTTTATGATGCTCCTAGCCCACTACTGATATCAGAGTTATTCGTCTAAAATGTTTTGAGATATAGAGGTAAATGTGGAGGACGAAAGGATTTCCATGTGTGTACATTTTTCTCAAAAACGTCACATTCTATCATGTTAAAAGCGAGGATCCTCTGGATTACGCCACAAAATGTGTAACAATGCGTGCGCGAGCTTTTTGCGACACGTCTGAGCAAAATTGTTACATTCTATTCCTAATTTCACTGCTAAAATCGTCTAAAAATAATGTTTTAGACGGGTTTTGGCACTTCTTCTGTCAGTGTGTCAATGTTTATTTCAAACCTGTCAGTTATGACTAGTTCAGGATGGGCTTTACAATGGTATGAAGAATATAACACATAGAAAATTATGTCATAGGCTTAGAGGAAATGTATTCCAAATTGTAATTTATGACGTAATTTAAAGGAAAAAGTCACATTTAGTGAGTTTGTGTGACACTACATGTACTTTTAACCATTGCTAATCTTTTTTTTAATTTTAATTTTTTTTAAATTTCCACCATTTATTTACAATATTTATGCCATGTGCCTCCAAGAGTTTGGCAATATTATTTAAAAAAATGAAAATGTTATGACTGATAAAGGACCATGCATCTTTTTTTCTTTACAGAGGGTATGCACATTTTACCTAGCTCTCTGTATAGCTAATAAACTAAACAATAATGATACTCAATACATAGAATAAGCACTAGTTCCCTAATTGAGTCTTTGTCTCATCTCATACCACGAACAAGCAATGAAGATGATCATATATAGTATTTTTGATAGAAAGCAGGTCAAATAGGGTGAAAATGGGCCAGATTGTTCTCAGGGGTCAGGTATTTTGAGGATTTTCTTTAGGCCTAAATTTATTTCAAATTCAATTTTACATTGTTGTGTAATAATTTACAGTTAATGCATAACTCACATCATAAACATATTTTGTGTTGAAAAATCAAGATTTTTTAGTTTGATGAAAAATAATGAGGAAATTAATTCCTAAGCGCAGAAAAGTGGTTCAGAGAAAAAAGCATTCTGAAATTTTGGTTCTCATTGAACACAATGGTACATACAATTTTATTTCCAACCTACCTAGACCAACTATTATATGAACTCAGACTTTGATTTCTATGGTCAGAAACTTAAATTCATGGCCAGAACGGGATGTTTTGGCCTTCGCTCCGACCTTCAAAGATGGGGTCAAGGCAATGGTATATGTCTCTTTTGTAACCTCAATGTTAAAGATACTGTACAGCATAGACTTTTTGTCTGTCCCTACTTTGGTAGTGATAGGAATGTATTTTTCAATAATGTTGTGTCAAACTGCAACCACCAACTCTCCTCTGACTTTCTAGCAGGAAGTGTACAACTAAAAACATGTTGGGCTCTGGGAGATGACACTTTAATCTTGTGGGGACATGATAATTACGTGAAGTTTGACAAATATGTCAAATTGTTTTTAAAGAAAATACATGTACAGTGCACACAATAGTCGTATGCATGTTTTTAGTGGCCTTTTGCATGATATGTTTTATCCCATTTATATTTTATATATGATGTATTGGATGCACCGATTGAGTGCCGCTGCTCTAAAAGCGTTTTCCAAATAAATAAATAAGAAATAAAATAAAACAAATAAAATAATTGCTTAAATTTGAAAGTTTAGCATATTTAAAAAGTATTTTAAATACGAGAAAGAATTGACGATTATTAAAATTGCCACCCGAGTTAGATCGTAGCAAATCACCGTGATACCATACATTTTTGAAAATGCTGTAAAACTTTTGCCTGATGATCTATTCAATGGAGAAAATATTTGTGTTTTACAGTGTTAAGTGTTGTATTTGACAGCTTGATGATCTAAAAATCGAAATTTTGTTTCTAAAATGTTTCTAAAATTATACTTGTTGAACAACCTTTT